GTGCCCCTATTTTTCAGAAAGAGATAAGAAAGACCTCGTTTTGGCTTATGCGCCTGCCAATCCCCCCCTACGGGATCACGCACTATGTTCCTGTCGTAGATGGTAGATGTCTGAAGATAATCAAGGTATTTGAATATGTCATTTCAGATACAAGCAAGACAATATGCTACATCTACACCAGGCCCTTCCCGTGCTCATCTTGGTTTTGGTTTTCTATCCTTATCTTGCTTTGGCGTCGTTGAGTGACAAAACATGTAAAAGCTGTAATCTGGGCTGCAAGAGTACCTTCTGCAAACAGGAGTGCTCCGGGTTTCCATGCAACATGACTTGTGATTCGGCTAGAATTTGTTCCCAAAACTGCTCTAAAGGACACTGTGACGTTATGGCATGCAAAGCAAATATGGTAAGCTCTTCGGTCTCAAGTACCGTATAGTTTTTAATTGGGTTATTGCGGCGTAGTTATGATGCAGATCTTAATGCCCTCAAATAGTCTTTGTACTTGTACAAGAAAATACGTATTTAGTATCTGTCTCGAGCTTTACCGAAGCCCTTGACTGACCTCTCTGGGAAATCCTGACATACGTAAAAGCCGTAATTGGTTCTACGCAGGGAAGAGTTAAAAGTTCCGTTTTCCCACTACAAACCAAAGCATCCTTGATGCGTAACTGACATTCAAAATCATCAAGCATTAAGCAAAAAACATCAACCTAGTACTAGTGCCCTTTTAGATAAGATTTGAGGTAAGAGCTTTCCAGTATCATAAACGCACTTCTCTGCACTTATTATCATTGAAGAACTGTTTTTTAAAAGATTTGTTTACTCCTTTTTACAGTGCAATTCTAACTGCGAAGTTGGGTACTGCTCGAAAATGACATGCGACGCACCCATGGAATGTCGCCTTACTTGTGACTCGCATTGCCAAATGACATGCAGCTCCTATTCATGTATCATTTTATGCTTTTCTGGTTATTGCCAAATTTCAATTGTTGGTGGCTATGAAGCTTCGGTCTTTTGCTTTGGTGGTAATTGTAACATACGGTGCCCCAGCCATCGAAGGTGCAACATCATGTCATGTCCATCAAATTCATGCAATATAACCTATGAGAAGGAACTCGCACCTTCTGGAAAAAGTAACTTCAACTTGTCTGCTTTTGACCGTACTCCTAGTAGCTTAGTCTTGATTGCTTTATTCATCTCTTTGTCTTTCATTAAGGGCTCGGCTTAGACATTTGTACTTGACCGCATAACCTTAAAAGACGCCAAAACCCTCTAGATATTTAACCAGTCGTAAATTGGCTATCGTTTGGCTAATGACAGACAAAGACCCAAGTTTTCTTAGTTAGAACCAAATCCAAATCATAGTGGTTAGAAATGTCTCAGTGAATTTGTAACTAATTCAACTGGTTTTGCTACCCTGGGTACCAGACTCACGTTATAAATTGAATATCCAGGATATGGTTTACAATATTATGAAGTATTTTGTGCTTTTCTTGGAATAGCGACTTCAATATACCGCGCTATAAAGAGATGCATTTCCCACCCAGGAGTGTTGCAAAGACATTCTTTAACCTTCGTCAACGGACATGTCAAAATTTGATATATTTTTGCAAATTTTGCAAAATATGCAAAATATTAATATATGAGCCCCCAACTTTTTTAGACCCCTACTTTTCTCAAAGCTCCGCAGTGCCTGGTCGAATGTCAGAATGAATAACAGGATTTAATAAAAAGATGGAAACAATAACTTGGCAGTCTCTTCTCTTCATTACAGCTCTATCAAGCTGGATAAAAAGATTAATTTCTTCTGGGATATAATATCTTATGAAAAATGAAAGGCAGTTTTGAAAAGAAACCCAGATTTGTCCCTCATATGACCTACAAGATTGTCCAAAGACCAAAGATTTCCTACTCCAGCGATTTCCTACTAGCATATTCAACAACAACACTTTATCCTTCTTTTTTGAATTATATAGGAAGTGGCTGCATATAATCTTCCTGAGGACCTATTTTTATCAGATTAACCCCCCCCCCAAGGTTTCAAAATCTGCATGCGCCACTGACGGAATGTGTTAGGAAGCATAAAGGTTGTAGACCTGTACTTGATCTCTGCTTTAAATTACCATGATAGTTTGTATAGATAGTCTATAGCATCAAGCATGCAAAATTGCGCTCATCTAGAAAATTATGACATCATTGACACAATATTTGCTTAGTCAAATTTATCAGGATGTATTTTTAATTGAAATTTTCCGAGATATTGTTGAATTTGCTTTAATTCGATATAATTTTGTAACACGATTTGTGAATATGTTTGTATGCAAGACCCCTGTGTAACATGCTCGGTAAAAACCGAACCATGTGTAGAATTTCATGACCAGGGGATTTATGCATCCCTTTTCGAAAAATCGAATTATCAGGGGATTTTTTCATTTCCCAAAATCCCCTGCAAGATTTTCTGTCCTCAGCTAGTGTTAAGCTCCCCCCTTTGAAAGTTTCCCTCTCGTTAACAGTTCTCTTTGACCCCCATTTGCCAGGTTAAGTCACCCATCCTCTGCAAGTCCAAGACAAATTTTGTTCAGAAAATCAATTTTTGTGCTTGTTACACAGGGGATTTATGCAGTAAACCAAATTATACCGTGAAATATATAAAATGTATGAGAGATAAAATGTATAAACATGTATTGTATTTAAATATTTGAAATTGAAATTATCCATTTTAGTGGCTTGATATTGCAGTCTGCATTTCTAAAGTCGTCTGTGTCATCGCTATCAAGGAGATATATTTTGAGATGATAAATACTTTCTTACTACCAAGAACTTTTAGTACTTTGGTCATCTTGTACGGGGAGGCGGGACAGCTAGACCGGTGATGGAAGGAAGCAGTGGCGGACTGGCCCGTGGCCGGTGGGCCCCCATTTAGAATCTGGCAAAAAGGGCCCCATCTTTGCAGAAAAAGGGCCCCATTTTAGGAATATGGGGCCTTAAGATGTCCCATTACGAATCAAAACTGAGGTTAAATGAACAACATAGTGTGGTTATAAAATGAATTGGGTCGAAGCTAAAAAAAGAATGACTTTTTTAGGTTATGAGAGGTTAATAAGAGACTTTTTAAGATGATGGAATTTTCTGAAAATTTTTACTTTTCATAGACCCAGGTTCAGTTAATCTGCCCGGCATTAACTGTAGAGTGCACTTAAATTTTTGCCAGTTTACAAAAAAGTAAGGAGTGATTGAGTAACAAACTCGGCGTTAACTTTTTCTTTGACTCAAGCCATAGCATTAAGATAATGCGATGTGAATGATACTTCAACGGGGGTTGCTGCATCGTCTTAAAGATTCGTTTACCGAATAATCTAGTTTTTTTGCTTGCGCTGGACTGTCTAGTATAAAACACGAACAGGTAAGGTTTGCCTTATGGAATGAAAAATTGACATAAAAAGATGTCAATAAAATGGCAAGAATTAGCCAAATTGCACATAATGTACGAATAAACTTCGAATCGCAAATGGTTCTCAGAAAGGAAGGCAAAGTTGATGCAAAAAGTGGACAGGACTTATCACTGGTTTCTTGGAAAGAAAATTAAAGAAATGAAATTTCTGGTAGCATTCGATTGAAACGGTCTTCGAAATGATAAACCTAAAAGTTTTGTGAAAAATGTAGTTTGTAAGCACGTATCAAGTCTAAAATACGGACAGCAAACCAATTTAGCGGATGATTACACAAAAATTAAAGGGAACCTTCTTGCTATGATTTAGGTAATATCATGATTAAGATAGCAAATTTTCGTATACAGAAATGATTCGCTTTGGCTGTATTTGTCGCTGAGCACGTTTTTCCATTTTGAATTTTTGAAAGAAATTTGTACAACCCAATAGACGTTCAATGTATTCCGCATGTGAGCCACAACTTCTAAAAATCGAATCAGTGCACCTACCTTTCTAGTTTGCTATTTTTAGGTCTGCCATCTTTAGTTTAAATTTCAGTAAAGATTCCTCACACCTCAGATATTCTGTGATTTAAACTTACTATCCTTTATGCATCTTAGGTTAGTTTTCTTATAACTTTTAACTTTCTTTCTTCGAGAAAGTCTCTTGTGCAAAATTACTTAAATCCAAATCAGACAGAATTTATATTATCTAATGTTAAATTTCAATTAGTGTACTCAGCACCCATTTGTAATCGACAGCTCAACTTTCCTATTAGTGCTACATATGTTATGTTGCTTAGAAATTGATCGATTATGATGAAATGCTCACTTGACCACGCCCTGATTTTCAGACCACACCAACCTGGGCCCCTCTAGATATTTGTGGCCGGTTAAAAATTCTGAGCCAGTCCGCCACTGGAAGGAAGAATACAAGAAAGGAGAGGAAAGGGGAGACCACGGGGAAATTGGATGGGCAATCTTAAAAAATGGAATGGAGAAGGAGGCTCGTTCTACTCTGACAAGAATGGCTGAAGATCGAGAAGGATAGAGACAGACTGTCCATTCATGGGTACACCCAGGGCCACCCAGGGCCACCCAGGGCTACCCAGGGCCACCCAGGGCCACCCAGGGCCACCCAGGGCCACCCAGGGCCACCCAGGGCCACCCAGGGCCACCCAGGGCCACCCAGGGCCACCCAGGGCCACCCCAGCTAATAAGCCGATGATGATGAAGAGCTAAACTGCGTTGAAAATAATTTATTATTGCACACAGGAGTTGATAACAAAAAGAGCGTGCCCCACAATCCCAGTAGATGCTAATTGCATTCAACATGCTTCTGAAGGAGAGCACAATCAACATATAAATGTTAGAGTTATCAACATCATCCACTTATTTATCATCAACATACCTGTGGAGAATTCATAAAGGTTAAAAACGGAGCAATTTTCAAAATTCAAAATTTCTAAAATTAATATTCCGACGTCATAATTTAATCTCGAAACAACAGCAACATCAACAACAACAACACAAAACATTCGCAATTTTGGCTGGGTGGAGTGTTGAAAAAATTGCCATGGCGTATCCAAATGCTTTCGCAGCTCATCCTTTCCAACAGCAGCCCTTGCCACCCGGATGGGAAGCAAAATACGAGCCAACGTACAAAAGATAGTAAGTAAGATGCTTTGTCGTGATGAATGTTGAACAAATCTACTCTGATCTTCTCTGCGATAAAGCTTGCCAAAAAGATAGTGCCGTGTCATCACTTTTAGGCCGACAAAAGCGAATCTGTTTGTCTTTTACATGATCTCATATGTGCACCTTAAAAAATTAAGGCTCGCAGCCACGCAACTTAACTAGAACTGAATGAAAAATAACTTACTCTTCAGATGGTGATTTCCAGATAGTGTTAAGATTTTTAACAAACCCCCTCTTCCTATTTTTTAAAAACAGATTTTCTCCACTGTTAAATGTTCTATACGCAACTTCAAACTAATGTAAGACTACAAACAGACTGAAAAACCTCCCTGCAACACTTTGTAAAGAGTGTGGCATTTTGAGATTTGGGCGTGACACGAGATGTCCTTTTACTATGGGCAAATTTCCTCTAGATCAACATTATCTTGTATTGATAACAAACTAACTATCAATCACATTCATTTTCTGATCATCACTTCACTTTTCTTTCCTTATTGGTATCCTTGGGCTCTACCATATTTGTGTGCACTAATGTGCATAATTGACGTGCATACCAAAGTGCGTTTATACCAAAGTGCACTGTGAAATTTTACTCTTGCACACCTGAGATCTTGTTGGAAATTGTCATACTCTTCAGCCCATTTGAAATATGTTTTCTTCAAAGGATCAACTTCACAGTTTAATACATTATTCACAATTTTTATTTTATTCTAACAGTTTTCCTCTTTTTGATAGACCCAAAAATCAGTTATAGTCACTGCAGACTCATTTGAAAACATATTACTGATTTATTTGCAAAAACTTTGCACTAATGAGCTAAGACAACTAAATATTAACTTCAAAGATATGGCAATAAAGTGATAATATTAAAAATATTCTGCAGTTACTTCATCAACCATGTCACAAAAGAGACATCATGGATTGATCCAAGAACTAGAGTTCAGCAGCAACCAGCAGCTACTCAACAAGCATTTCATCAAGCAGGCCCTTCACATTTACAACCATCACCGCAGCCTCAAAGACAGCATCAGCCACAAGTACAATATGGGCAACCATCGCCACAACCCCCTAGACAACAACAGCAGTTTCAGCAACCTGCACAGCCAACATCACAGCCTGCTAGACATCAACAGCAGGAAAGTATTGCTATGCAGAACTTGGGACAACATAGATCTCAGGTTCCTTTATAATTGTTATTGCAACGCACAACACTAGATATCTTAGACCATACATTAGAATTAGATACATCCCTGGAAATTTGGCTATATTGAGGAAATTGGGGAAAAATGGGCTTTATACTCACAACCATATGGTGAAAGGTAGATCAAAGTAAGCTTGCTAGTCTTCCCCTCAATGCAAAGCGAGTTCTGTGGATTTGAGATTATGGTGTATGTTCTATTATATCCCCAAAATCCCTGAAATCACCAAATTCTGCTGAAATCATCTGGCTGTTTTTCATATTGCATTGGTCTTAACTTTGTTTACATGCTGCTGGATTACTTTTTATCACATTATTGCTATTTTTACAAGATAACACTCAAATTTGCCTTGCCTATCCTTTTTTAAAACTCTCTCCTGGCACATGTCCAAGTAGAGTGTAAGGTGTACAGTGGAGGTATAAGTAAAGTGGAGGTATACAGGGTACATTCAAAGACAGGGATTCCGACAAAAGTCTAAAACTTGCTCACTAAACCTTTGCCACCTACTTTCACTCTCACTTTAGTAAGACTGCACAATCTTTAGTAAACCTATAGACACCTACTTTTAAATTTGAGCCTTCTCCTTCAAAAATCAACGAAAACCCTGCAAAGATGTTGCTCATATTAGGCATGCTATCGAATATGCACACCTCCACACATGCCTAAAGCTCTCTAGACATGATTTAATTGCACATGCAATGCCACATTTTAAATTGACTATACTTTTTCTCTTTTGTTTCTTTTAATTTTTTGTTTCTCTAAATTAGTTTTTTAATTTATTTTGTGTGAGTTATCTTGGTAGCTTTTCTGGGGGCATTTCAACTCTGTTTTTAAAGGTCTCATTTTCAGATCATTCCATTTTCAATTTTTTTATAATTAAGAAAGCATACCAAAGGAGAATATTTTGGTGTTGGGGATGTATCAGTTAAAGCCAAACTTTGTCTTCATAAATTGATTATAACTGGCAGGTTTCAAAACTTGAATGTTTTGTTATCCTGCTCTTAATCCTTTGCTTGCCTAAAGATACTTGTTTTGCTATAATTTCTTTGAATGTCTTTTTTCATAGGCCCTGTCAACTATATCAGTACTGTCTAGATAATACTTTGTATGCAAGGGCAGACACTTGGTCAAATTTTGGGGGCAAGCCTATTGTTTTAATTATATGACGTCACATTTCCCATTGTTTTGGAACAAAAGACCATTGTCCTCCAAAGTGTCTGCCACTGTTTGTATGTTTTAATTGGTTTCAAATAATTCTAGATATATTATTTGAATTACCTATTATAGGAAAACCTTTGTTTTTATACAGGAATCACAGCAGCAAGCCACATCATTCTCTGAGGGTGCAGCTAGTGGTAAAACAGCTGCAGAGAAGCAAGCTGGTGAGGCTAGAAAATTAGAATGGCATAAACTGAATGAGAAAAGTCATTTTTTGTTTCTAATAGCTATGATATCATTGACAAAAACCTTTATTCTACCCTTAGTCAAGTGGAAGTTGTCCTCATAAATTATTTAGTTATAATCAGTAACCTTACTAATATTAGATTCTTTTAGTGGAAACCTCTCTTAGTATGTTGCCATGTAAATATTTTTCTGATGGTCACTTTAACATTGAAGCACGAAATAGCAACATATATGGGCTATGTTTTATTGGTAAATGAATTTGTGGGCAGAGTATGCAGAGCTCAGTCTTTATTGTATAAAACACTATACAACAGACCTGTTAATATTAATCTTCTTGTTATTCTTAGACCATTTTTAAAAACTTTTTTACAGCTTTCGAAAGGTTTTGTTTAAGTCATATATCCCTGTCTCTGACTTTAAAGTTAATCAAGCAGTTTTTTTATTTACTAGAAATATTTTTTCATGTCATGCTAATAGTATAATTCATGCATTTTATTTTTACCTATATATTTTATCATTTTTGTGAATTAGTGAATGATGACAAAGCTGATGAAGGACTTTGATGTTCCAGACACTCTGTTGGAAGCTGCATGTTCCAGACACTCTGTTGGAAGCTGCACTGCAAGCAGTAAGAATATCATCTATATCTTGATATTGTAGTAATGCTATCGTTTTTGCAATGCAGGAAAAGTTTTATGAAAATTTCTTAAAACAAAGGATGCATTGAGAATTAAACGGGTGCAAACATCAGATCTACTTGAAAGTTTTATCTGCAAAGCTTACAGTGGTTTCTTCTGAGCAGAAATTGATATTTTTGAACTTGACCTCTCTACTTCACTGGTCAAGGGTTGATAAGCATTACTTTTATTTATATTCCATGTATATTATTCAATTTCTTTTAGTAGAGTTTAATAGAGTTTAATGCTGGATGCGATCCTTTTCAATGCAATCAATCGAAGAAATCATTCCTTTATCTTTTTATATAAACAATATAAGATATTATATATAGTATAGTTAATTGTAAAATGTATAATTGTTTCGCTTTCTATTTCAGGTTGACTATAATGAAAACCTTAGTAGAGAATTACTACGAAGCATGGGATACAGTAAGTACAAATACTTAATATGAACTTATCAATAATGAAGCACTAATAATATAGAGAGGATGGTCTGCTGTCTTATTTTTGACATGCCTTGGCTGCACTAGTTCATCCCATATATTAATGATTAGACTGGTAAGTTTTTCTCGAAAAGCCACCGAAATGGATTTTCCCTGTCCATGCAGAGGATTGGGGATGTATATCAACTTTTATATTCCTATAATTAAATGTTTTCTCATATTTGGTGATGTCTTTACAACACTATAACGTTTTGTTTAAATATCAAATAATCTTTATGTTGTATAGGCAGAAGGAAACTTAGTTTGAATCTTATTTTTGGCGGATTTGACAGACAATTTCACCGGCCTTTGCTATTATATTTTATCCTTAACGGAACTAGATAATGTTTGCATGCTTTTAATAAGAAACGACAACGCCTTTTTCAGAAACAATCCTTGAAGAGCAAAGCAGCTCATCGTCAGGTAGAGCGGGTGAATCTTCAGGGACAACTAATGCTGGGCCAGAGGATTCCAGGTATTCCGTTAAACAAAGAAACCTTGACAATCATCAATTCTGTAAATGCTAGAAGATTATTATTTGATTCTCCAAAGCTCCAAAGCTTCAAGCTAGCACCTCTTCTTTCAAACATTCTTTAATTTTTCTTCTTTTTCTAGTTTTGTACCTTCGATAAAGTAACAAAGACTTTGCTAATGAGCTCAAAAAGAACTAGTGTCCAGGCCAGAAACCCTACCAATTACTTGAAGAATTACAAATTCCTTTTTATGTCTTAGTTTTTTTAGGATATGTTTCAGCTTGAAACATAATTGTTTTAGGTTGTTTTGTCACGTTTGATCACAGGATTAGCCTAATGTCGATTAGACCCGATGACGTTTGTTTTGTGAGTGGATGAAATGGGAAGCTTGTCGAAAGTCTCCTCTCTAATTTTTTGAACATACTCTTATGCTAAATAAGTAACATCCCTATAAATTTGTTTTATGAAAAAATCTGTTTTTGTGCTTGTATTCCACACTATTGATCATATCTGATTTGCTATTAGTTCCACTCCGCGTTATGTTGAAATGCAGAATACAGATTTCGGTGCCATGTACAGTACGGCAGCAACCACTGAGGAGGAGGAGGATATAACAGAGGACAATGTTGTTGATGGTTTGTACTGTTTAAGTATCGTAGCAGCATCTAGAGCTGGTGTTGACAGTTAACGATTGTAACAGTGCAGTCTCATTGCACATAGCCATAAATGGGGAGCTTTGTTCTTAAACCTTCAGTTTTTGGTCTCGTTCTAACTCGCCTAGTTTTTGGCCTCGTTCTAGCTCGCCTTGGCTTTGGCCTCGTTTCTTTGACAACGTTTCTTAGATTTTATCGATGGCGTATTTTATATGACTATAATTAGAGGTGATCGACCGTTAGTATGTGCTAAAGTGAGCTATGAAAGCTGTCAATGTCAAGTAATCTTTATGTTGTATAGGCAAAAGGAAACTCAGTCGGGAATCTTTATTATTAACGGAACTAAATAATGTTCGCAGGTTTTTAGTAAGAAACGGTATGAAAAGGACATGTGCAGTGATCGCCACTAATAGATAGCTCGCCATTCACTTCAAGCTAAAATGTAGTGGAGTTTGACAAACAGTAGTCTATATAGTTTAGGGTAGACAATGTGTTGCTAAAATGGTTTAAAATCATATCTTGTAGAAAACGTGCTTGATGACACTCAAGATTTGGAGGAGCTCAACGACGCATCATCTAGCGAAGTATCCCGACCGACAACGGCTGTGACTGTTTCAAGAGATGATGTCCACATCTCTGTGGATTCCCCCTTGGGTGGTTTGTTAACTGAGGACGCTGAAGCAAATTTTAATCTGGATACAAACACAAGTGCTATAACTTCATCAAGCAGGAGTGCTGCTCTAGAAAATTTGCTCAGTACTAAAAATGACCAACCAGCTCTCAAGTGAGTTTGTTTTCTATTCAAGCTTACAAAACAAGGAACGATATTTAATATACCCCGTCCATAGCGTGATCTGGTTTCTCACCAGCAATGGCAACATTATTTTTTACAGCATTAAATTAATATCATTATTGTTCTCATTTTCAAGTAAAACAGGCAACAAATGATTTCTTTTAGTACATAATGGGTTAGCGGTTGCTGAATGGTCAAAAAGGAACTGATGAAATGTTCTTTTCCATTTATTTTTGATTCGCACTTGGACTTAAATTTCTGTTCACTTTGTCGGCATTATCTGAAAAAGGTGTGAGGTGGCTCTGTGGTTATGGCTGCAAACTACTTATCCAAGGGTGTGTGGTTTGCATCATTGAGATGTCAAGACTCTCCTTTAGAATGAAGAGAGTTCTAAGCACTCTGTTGTTCCAGGCGTTGGAATTACGAGGTATGGTTACATTGAGAGAAGGGATCATGACCCTGCTCGATAAGCGCATCTTTAAAACTACCTTCTGAGCCTAGCTAGCAACAAAAAATTCTGAAAAAAAGCTTTATTATCCCTTCTTGGAAAAAATTTTTGATTAATTTTTAGAAACCACCCTTACGAATAACAATTTTCCTTTTATCACAGGCAGAACACAAGCATGTCAACTTCAGTTGCGCAGACATCAGCGGAAAGTTACGCAAAAGGCAGTTTAGTGCTAGCCAGTGGGCGTAACAAGCTTCTTGTCAAGGGTCCTGATACCAAGCTCCGCAAGTACGTATTTAACTACTTTGTTTATCAACATTTAATCTACTCTTATTGTCACGTACTGTCAATGCTCTTTAGGAGGCTTCGGCTCTTTTAAATGCCTCTTCTTATATATTGGCTTTATTAACCTCAGCTAAATGAAATTAAGGTCCCCCTCTCTGTTGAACCGCCCTCTTTTGGACAATCAAGGGATTTAACTCCCATCTATTAACCTGAAAATGTCGATGACCATGTGGAAGGTTATTGAAGACAACGGCATCTAAAGTTTCACGCCTAGGTTGCGTTTTTGTCTTTTAAAGGGGGCTTTTGGACGATTTGTTTCATTAACCATAGGAAGGATGACACTTTTCGCGACTGTACTATCATTAGAGTAAGAATAGTCAAATAGTAACTAAAGATGAATGCATAGATATTTGAAGGGATGCTCCATTCACTTTATTTCATCCTGTCAACATCCTGGTCATGTAATTAATGTTCTACATAGTTAACGTTGAACTTGTACAAATGGAAAATCGAGCTATTTCTTTCTTACGAAGACCGTGTTCTTTCGTTGCTGTCAAACTGACTCAGACCGATTTTCGCAGCAGATCTCAGTCATGACTTAATCTAAGCTGTATTTAAGCAAAAAACTTCGTAAAGAATTATGTTATCTGTGATTCCGGGTTGATTGATTATTTCTTCTTTGAACCTAGGAAAAATGAAGTGACCTTAAATGGTCCAGACTCCAGACTTGCTCGCGGTCATGATAAAGATCTGCTTTCGCATAGCAGAGTGAACCGCATTTCTAGCCGTGTGGCGGCACAAGGTAAGCAAAGGAATTTTTTCTTAGATTTATCCCTCGTCATTTAATTGTATCTTGTGATGACAATATAGTAAGTCACAGCCATGGATTCTGTATCATAAAGACGCCAGTAGCTGAGATAATACTTATTTATGACCCCACCTCACAGTACAGACGACTGGGTGCAACATCAGTAAATTAACAAGATTTTAACAAAATGGAGACGATAGCTCAGTTAAGTAAGGATAGGGGATTGGCCAAGGGCAAAGCTAAAAGAAATTGTGGGGGGGGGGGAGGGCTGGGGGTTGCAGATCTCCAGTCTTTCTGAAAAAAATTGCCGTTTTAAGGTGTGTCTGTAGGCAATGATAAAACGTCTTCAAGTGAAATCTTAAGCTAATTTTTAAGGCAGAAATGGAGTACATAATTTGAATAAATTCGTTTATCGCTATTCATAAGTTAAAAAATTGGAGCAATAGTTTAAAACCCACCTTATGGCCACGCCCCTGGGAACCGCATACTATAAAGTCTCCAACAAGGATATCTGTCGCCCTCTGTGATAGAAAAGCTTGCAAATTGATGGTGGCCCACGTTTATGAAGTCAGCCCCATAAAATTGAAAGATTTCTATGAACTATAAAAGATTAAATGGTGACAATAAGTTTCATATACAGAGTAGGTATTTTACAGTTTGTAATTACATTTTTGTTTTCTTTAAAGTTAATCACATTTCGATTTGGTTTTTAAGACAAACCTTGCATTTCACCTTTTCCCATTTCTCTTTCAACAAAAGTCTTTGCTTTGAATTCCAGGGCCCAACCCAAGCCTGTGCAGAGGTCAAGACAGAGGTCTTGCTCTTGGGCCAGTTGCCAAGGTTACAGCAGTCTAAGGGTTTTATGCTTTGGAACACAATGCCAGTAATATGCGAATCCTTATTCGCTTAACAGTGCACAATTTTATGTACATACTTGCTTATAATCTTAACATTTCACTAACATTATTATACACATCAAGGACGGTAAATTCACTAACCACATATTGCAAAATAAACATTAAAAGTTGATGGATGAAGCTATATATGAATTTAAAACTAAGAATGTACATTATCTTCATAAGGTTCCTTTATCTACATTTTATCATTTTGTTTCGTGCTTAAGTATAGAGTGATAATAAAAAACATATACAATGTTGGCCATAGCTTTTTTTTCAAATCGAATCTGAAGTTTGAAAATGACTTTAAAAGTGGCTATGAAAAATGTAAACATTTTACAACATACTGAAGCTTTTCGTCTGACGCGCTTCACACACGCTTCACAATGTGAAACGTAAGAATCAGGGTCAAGAAAGATCAAGGAAAAATGTATTTATCCCAATTTTTTTCGCTTGTAAAATTTTTGCTTTTTTAAAGCCATTTTGAAGTTTTGTACCGCCAATAAATCTGATGTTCTAAAATCTAAGGGCCTTTCTATCTGGATGTGTTTTTTTCGGTTTTTCTCACTTGCTGCTTGTTTCTGTGATTTTTTCTTGTCTCCGCTCTATTTGTTTTTGGTTCTCAGAATTATTTTGGGCTTAACTATTCTCTTTACCGTGATAATCTGGTACATGCAGGGACGCCGGAGAGGGGGCGCGGGGACAACAGGCCCTTTTTCCCTTTGATAGGACTCATAAAATTATGACTGTAGTCCCTTATTCATGACGAAATTTCTCATATCTTGTAAATAAATTTCTTATGACAGCAGTTAGTCCATTAACAATATGCCTACAGAACATCGAAATAAAATGACAGTTACAGAATAAGTAGAAACTAGAAGTCATATCACAAATGCCCTTTTACTGAAGCCGGTCTCCTTGCCTCTTCGTCATACCAGCATCCCTGGATACATATCAGCAAAAAGCTTTTGAGTCCAACGATTCTGTCGAATTCTTTTTTCGATTTTTCGGAAACATCTATCATCACTCCTCCTCCTCAATTTGGGTAAATATTAGTTATAAAATTTCATCTAATACCTACTGTCTGTGTATAAAAGATAATAATTTGTATAAAATATAGTCAAAAATGCTGCGCAACCAGAGTCCTAAGAGCCAATTTTCGAACGTAACTAGAGAATGTGCTATTTTTCGAGCTCTATCTGGACTATTCCAAAGAACGGTTCCTCTGTAGCCGAAATATTTCTGATTTTTGACCCCATATTAAATATCATAAAACATCATTGAATTTGCCGGTTAGTGTTTAATGTGGTTCGTTAGGCCAGGATATTACGAGTTCGCCTGTAATTCGTCACCTTACATTCCTATTTTCATTACTCCTTGCATTCCCAAGGGGCATGTAGCAGTTGTTGCGATTTCAATGATTTGGTCTCTTGGGTAACTTGGTTAAAGCGATCAATCCCCTCTATTATGTTTATCCTCGCCGCGAGTTTCCCTTAGGGCCTAAACAGCCAATCCGACATATTTGCTTGGCTTTGAATAAATTGGATGTGAAAGATATGGTATCAAATTAAATCTTGATTAAACTAAAAGCAGTGACCGATGGAAATCCATGGACATTCTTGCGAATTACAAGACCTGTAAGTGCAAATTTTTTTATTAGTCGACTTCATTAGTCGAAACGGAAGCTCCTTCGAAAGCCATCTAAGGTATTTGATTAATGAGATCTTCTGCAGTGCGACTGCTCGTCAATTTGAAACGAAATAGTTTTTTTAGTTGAAGACGTTATAGTTGTAACCTGCTTGCATTAGGTTTGAGTTCTAGTATAAAGCTTTTCGATTCCCCTCGCAATATTTTGCCTGCTATATCTAAACGTACTCCAGGCAAGTGAAAGACCGTTGATGGACAAACCCTCTTCCAATTTTTTTATTTCATACTTGAGTTGCTTTGATTGTACGGGGTTCATTTCGCCAATGGAGTTACCTTGCGCCAAAACCAGGCTTCTCGCACCAAACTCGAACATAAATTCAGGATTAACTTACCTGCGAATCGAAAAACCCAAGCATTGGATAGTAACTTGGTTAAGTTTAAGGCCCCGTTTACACGAGAGAGAAAGGAACGGATCCAAAAGATCCGGACCTTTTAGGTACGATATGGGTACGATCCACAAGCGTTTACACGAGATCGGATCCTAAATTATAAAGCGTTTACACGGGAACGGACCAAAATCGAATCGCTTTTTTGCATGCGCAATGACAAGGTAATTGTTAATTTTGGCGGGAGAATATCTAAGATGGCGTCATTTGCAAGCAACGATAAGCGTTCATTTTTACATTAACAGACGAGGAGACAGCTTTGTTGATGAAAGTAGTTATGGATTACAATGCTGCTAAAATGCAGAATGGAGAAGACTGGGGGTCTGTTTTGTCGAAATACGAAGACATTCTACTTAAATTTATCGAGACCTATCCAGAAACAGCAACAGAGGACTTTCCAAATAGAAAAAAATTACAAGAGAAAAGGTGAAAAGAAAATAAAACAAGATGAAGACAGGGTTCAGAAAGGCTGTCGACTGTGGAAAAAGAGTGGGGTGGGAGAGTAGTTTCTTTGTTGTATGATGAGTGCTGCGTACAATTGAAATAGCCTCCATTGACCCCAGCAACAGTCTCGTTCTACTGCCGTGCCTTTGCGGGTCCGTATCTTCCCGTTTACACGGCGCCGATGAAGGTACGGATCCAAATGGATTCGCTTTCGAATCGTACCCAAAAAGGTACAGATCCCTCCCAGAAAAGATACGGATCCTACCGTGCCCGTGTAAACGCAAGGCCTATCGTAGCCAGTTTTGGTACGGATCTATGCGGATCCGTTCCCGTGTAAACGGGGCCTAAACTCTCGGCTAGCCTTGCCGACTTAAAAGCCAGCCAAGCGGAGGTAACAAATGAAAACTGAAAAGACGTGAAAACAGAATGCGGAAATCAGCTTGAGTTGGATTGACAGATAAACACTGCAGCTGAAAGCGATATCAATTTGACAATGAAGGTTTCAGACAGATAAAAACAGTTTTATTAGCATTTAAACGTTTTTGAATAAATTTAAGTATTAAATAATACATCCAGTTGAAGTGCAATCATACAGGAAAGTAAGAACACACTGCTTTAGCAAGTCTAGACCCCAGCTACATATGTCATAATTAAAGCTAGGACTCAGAAAACATTAGCTATCATTTAACATTCAGCCCGTTATTACGTAACAAGGTTACAGCGACAAACAAGATAAACCCTGTTGAATGTTATAAGTTCCTATTTTGGCGGGCTTGTCCAATAATCTGGAATGTGTTGCTTGGCACAAATGAGTATGGAAGACAGGAAACGGGTCAATCCAGTGTCTTTGGGCTACAAAACGAAATATTGTGTACAAAATAAGAATCTTTTTAGATACATTTCATACAAAGATGTTGTATTTGGGTGACAAATAAGATTTTGTTATTATAAGTCACTCAAGAAACGCATAAATCTGCATACTAAGCAACATATTGTTCAGTTCAAAAACCCAGCAATTGGATTTTTAAAAAGAAATATCATTGAAATATAAGCTTGAGCTGATGCCAGTAAATAGTTCAATGGCAAGCTGGGATATTTGCAACAGCGTCACAAAACGGGTCATGTAGCTTGCTTTTTTTGTCCTTTTTGATAAATTTCCAGATAATCCATTGCCAATATCACCATCACTTGGTATCCACATAGCACACGCCATTTCAATTAGTATAATAAACTGATAGCTATGTTGACTTAGTATTTCATACAGGTATTTCGAAACGCATGACAAAATACACAAATCAAATTTTCCAACAAAATCGATATTCAATTCCATATAATTTCTATTCTATATTCGTAGGATTCCTGGCTGTGAGACAGTTAAAATATAAACCATGACAAAGATTTTTTTAAAAATATATAGAAACAATTTCTGCACTTAAAAAAATTAAAAACCCTTTAAGCAAACAAACCTATCCACTGGAATTGTTGAATAGCGTAAAATAATCGGTTTTTGCATTGATGGTGCAATCTTACATAGGCATATAGTTGCAATTTCTTTATGATTGGTTGTTACAGGAGACTCCTTAAATAGCAAAGCTTTGCAGAATGGCAAAAACGTTTTAAAATATACACCTTTTTAAGAAACAGTGTGACTTTCGAAAAGGGGAGAAAAATTTCTTGAAATGCTCCAAACATAGTTAAATGGTTTTCCATACCTAGTAAAAACCCTTATGAACAATGCTACAGTAAAAACAGATAATTTAAAAAATTTCAGAGCCAGTTTTTGGTGAAACAAATGCAATTAAATGGAGCTTGTTTGAAAATGATGTGCTTCATTCCGTAAAGATATGGTTTGTATAAGATTAGACTAAATTTCATATAATTTTGTAAAGACATCATGTATAGATATCAAGACATATTTTGACACATATTAGTAAAAAAAATACAACAGCGCAAAATACATTTATGAACAGCCTTGGACACATACTTTGTTTAATCCTCTGAATAACTTGTCTTTCATTACAGCAACGAATTCTTTGTTGCTAAGATGACCATCATCTACAAGTAAGCTTCGAATGTTATAAGGCCTAAAGAAGTGACGTAATTGATCAATAAGATTGTTTGTTTGATGAAAGCTTAAATAAACTCAAATGAATTTGATGAATGTAAAAATGATATTAAAAATCCGAGAAAACACAAGAAAAACTATCTGGTTCTTTTAGCAAGAATTTCAGATGAACTTTCTGTTGCCTAGGTTTTTAAGATCGACTGTTAACACTTTTGCACATAATATTCAGATACAAATTTCGTTGGTTAAATCTTGATCCACAGATTGTTTTTATAAGAGATAATTTCGCTCGGCTGGGAGGAAAGTTTGACTTTTCAAATATTGCAACTAATGCACCTTTGCTTCAAAATGTTGCACAGGAAATATTGCAATGAATAGCTTCTTCAGAGACAACTGGCCTATCCATATGATAATCAATGAACCTCATATCCTATTCACGTCATTGTTGATCATCAGCTCACACTATTTGCTTTTGATATGATTGATAATTTTGAGATCTACTTCAACATTAGAAAGCAAGGATATTTGAATCAATGCATTGAATCACACCGTTATATCGCATGATTTTCCATAAAGACACAGCAGTTTTCCTTGATCTTTAGCTTGGTTAGGCAATACAGAACTCAAAATACATTGCAGAACTCATGTTATATTCTAATAAATGAAAAAGACTTACCGTTTTCATCAAATAGTTTAAACACAACATCAACGAGATGGTCTCGAAGATTCACACCAGCTACAGTTTGGGCCACTTGTTTGAAAGTTTCTGCAAGTGGAAAAGTCTCAAGATTTGGCGATTTGGCGAGATATTATTATATTCATTACAAAAATTAGTCACAGAGATGTCACAGCAGAACAAATTCAGAACTGCAATCAATATTGTGGATGTAGTCCAAAAGACTTTTCAAAACGTTAAAAGGTGAGTTGTTATATGTTCTCCCAACCCTAATAAAACGTCTGAGGCTGTGAAGTGATACATCTCATTCAAGGCAACAAACACAGAGCAACCCATTCTCATAACCTTTAAAATTCATGATCATTTTGTGACTACTTTGATTGCCATGTTAAGTTTTTTACCTATTTTTTTTGTTTTTTCATTAATGTTTGTTAACTAATGTAGTTATTTCTTGGGTACTTTTCTAGCATTCTTCGTCTATTTAAACAACTTTAGAGCTCTTCTTATGATTTTTCCCATGAAATGGTTATATAATACAAATGCCTTTTATATTATACCAAATCTCCGCTCTTTCGAAGCTGTCCATTAACATTAAAATTGGTTTACCACGATTTACCACGAGAAAGCTTAAGGAAGATCATTTGACTATGGCAACATCTCATTAAACAATTTTTGGAAAATCTGCAGCCTTGATTTAACAAATTTACACTCGCTGGAAATATCTTCACACGAAGGTGACAAAACAATGAGCTGTAGGAAGGCCATTCTTGATCGCTTCTCGTTCAAATCAGACTGATTTCAATCCGTTTATAAATTGTAGCCAAATCCTTACGAACTGTTTAATTACAAAATAGAATACACGTCTTGTGAATTGCAGACTTATTTAAAAATATTCAAACAAGAATCGTGTCTTAAAACCCAGAATCTTCGAAAGACACGTAGCATGTTTAAAATTAAGTTTCTTTTACGCTGTTACAAAAAGGTTCCTATCTGCGGAACATGTAGGTAGTAAAAGATAGGTAGGAGCAACAAAGAGCGTCAGAGGACGACCCAAAATAGATGAAGTACAATTTGAAAGCGTAAATGCAAAAATAAAATTTAATAATAATTGAATTTGACTCTGGAGAAAACGTCGAGACTTGGCCACAAATAATCGTCGATATATATAAATGTTGATTTTTTTAAATATCAAATATCATCACTTGTCCCACCTCCTTCACCTTCTATCCTACAGCCAAGCGCAGGGTCATCGCTATAACGCCCTGGCTTTAACGTATTCATGTCTCAATTAAAAATTCTCCATCAAGTTAAAACGCAGACCACAGAATAAGCAAAGCGTGATAGGTTTTTATCCTCTGGGAATGTATAATTAGTAAAGAGATTTGACTATCAATTCATTTGTCATTTTGAACACAGAACGGCTAAGTTACCTGGATCTACGGCTTGTCCAGCGACGGTATGGAAGCTTAGTGCCATGTCAACGTCTCGAATATTGATCAGAAAGCTGAAGAAATCCAAGTAGTCACTGAACAGAATGCCCTTTGGAAATTAATTAAAGAAATTTGAATCAGAACACAGTTTTGGACCATCTAAGACAAAATACTTTCTTATGGAACAAAATATACCAGTACAGTTCGTCTATACCAAATAACCCATTGGCATTCTAGGCAAGCTATTGAAAACAACAAAATTATGACTTGACAAGACGCCAAAAACAATAAAGACAGGTCAAAAAGTTAATAGATAATTTCTGGTGAAAGCTATTGGCCTTAGAAACTTTGCAGCAAATATTGTCGGACAGTCAATCTTAGATTGGAAATACCAACAGCCTCAAGGCTACGCATTTTACAGGCATTTTTAAGAAACTAAGTTTAGGATAAGTATTAAGCTTCTGAATTCTTTGCTAGTTTAAGAACTAAAAATTTTTTAAAGGCTCCTTGAATACAAAATGCTAGTGAACTACTTCATAAGAACACAAGAATAGGAAGAAATATAAAACCAAAAAAGAAGACCTTGAAAGTCACAAGGAGCTTTTCTTTCAATTTATCAATGTCAAATAAACAGGAGATCTCTATCGTTGATAAGAATCATTTCCATCCCGTTTCTAGTAGAATCATTTTTGAGCAGTTTCGATCAAACTTGAACAGTTTGGGCAGGGTTTAAGGTGAACAGTGTTATGATTTATAAACGTTTTTGATATCTAAGATGCGTGAATTTTACTGTAGTACCCGTAACCTCTTTCACCCGAATCGAATAGCTCCATGTTAAATGTCTCCAAACAAACATGGAGGCATAGTATAAATGTTTGAGCCAACAAACCTCAGATTCTGCCGGCCTAAATGTCTTCTTAACTTTCTTTATTTTCTTCTTTCGCTGTTTATCAGACAGACTTGCGTATGTCATTAGAATTTCGGCAAATTCAACTTCTTTTATGCAGTTATTTTGTGGATTGTAGCTCTCAAACTAGAAAAAACAGGCATTCAACTTTTTAAATTTTTCCCCTTTAACTTTCCAATTCTACTAGCTTCAACAGGCAAGGCAAGAAGATTTTACTCAAATATGCAATAAACAAAGAAACAGTTTAGTGAGGTTTATAAATTTTCCGTCGGAAAATGGTTTTGTTATAGCAAAATACCAATTTATTTTCAACAACCAAGATAATTTATCATTAACCCAAAAAATATCCTAGTAAGGGTTGATTATATCAAAAATGCAAATTATTTCGAAAAACTAAAGGTATTTGATTATCAGTTCAAATTCAATTCCATGTTTATTTCCTGTTTCACCATAGCAAAAAGGAAATCAAAACACGAAATAATTTATGCGCATTTGTTATTGCTCTTCTTGTAGGCGGCTTCCTTTATCAAGTATATCACATTTTTTCGACCAATGGCTGGATGTCAGACGTTTGCAGATATGTCCTCTGAATCAAATCAGTGTCCAGAACGACCCTTTTTAGCATGCACTGATGCTTGAAACCTACAAAACTCTTCTTTTCTGAAGTAAATGTTTCTTTTATTAGTATCTTCCCTAATAATGCGTTAAGAGTACCATGCTTGCAACTCATTTCTCGTTTGATTTTCATATGATTGCTTTGAATTACTTGCGTTTTATCGACATAAAACTGCCAGAAAAACAATAACGCATTATATAGGTCCTAAACTCAAATGGGCATGGAAATAGGGGGAGGGGGGCAGAGAAATAAGATAAAAATTTCCCTGGAAAATATTTTTTACCTCTAGCCTCATGACCTGCCTCTGGAGTTTTCTTTTGAAATTTACAAACGCATCAACTGTCAGTTTTCCTTTGCCATTTTCGCCAAAAAAGTAGGCCATAATACCAGAATGAGATTCTTCTACAAGCACATTTCCTGTTGTGCTTCTGTCGCGATGTCTGGCTCCTGTCGTTGTCATTGACAAAAACACATTCTTGACCTTGAAACAACGAACAAAAATAAGGTACTCTGGTAGATAAAATCTTTTAAACAAATTCTGCTGTCTCTTAAAATGCATCCTGCAAACAGCCATGAAAATATAGATTTATACAGTTCAAAAATGAGCAAAAGTTACTTTGGTTTCTTTGAATTTATAAGACAATTTCATTATGTTATTACACCTAGGGAATTCTTGAAAGTCTAACCTTTCTACTTAACCATCAGAAAGGCAGACTTAGGGCTAGGATGTTTTGAAATATTCTTTCCATGCAACTATCCTATCCTAAACCACAAGCACAGGTCAACTATTTCCTGGCAGTTGATACAGAACTAGATAGAAAAATGAAGAAAGTTTTACTAACCCTTTTGAACTCTTCCAAAGATACCTCACCATCGCCATTTAAATCAAACATTCTAAATGCAATATCAACATGCCTTTCTGGAGCTAAAATTTAAAAGATCTGTTCAGGCATAGAGTTAGGGCAATGAGAATAAAAATAAATTGTCTCTAATCCAACACATTAGCAAATAAAAAACAACTCACTTTTCTGCAAGAAGCAATCGTTCATTGCCTGCCATATGCTTATCAAAAAGTGGGCAAGAACATCGCAAAATGACAAGGAATGATACAATATAAATGGAAAAAGATTTGCAAAGCAAAATTAAGGGTGCTTTGCTTCTGTGATGTAGTGCTTTTAATCCCTAACACAGAATAGAACTGGTTCAAGGTCATGAAATAACAAAAATGACAGGAGAATCTGTTAAATTGAAAACTTACTTCCAAGGACTGTCAGAAGAAAGACATAATCAGAAAATGAGATTAGGCCACCTTCACCAAAGCATTTGAAAACACTTTCATCTCCAAATAATTTACTCTTGTATTTAAGCTTTTTGCTCTGCAAGAAATATAAACAACCTTACTGGCAAGTGTATTCTTAAATACTTAATTTTCTGCTTTAAGTAAATCATCTTAAATAGCTTCAAATATATGTCTATCAAATATGGTTTCAAGGTTTAGCTACTGGCTGGACCCTCAAGCAAGATCTCAACTAACCATTTCATTCAGAGCTTCAATCATCAAAAGCCAAAAATTTGGTTGTTAGACATGGCAACTTTTAATTGTCCATGATTTGACAGTTAGAATGCACATTCAAATTTCTCTTTGCTAGCATAAACATATGATAACAGAGACAATGGGGTAGGGATCTGGGGTAGGAGACAATGAGGAATTTTCCACATCAACACTATGTTGCTCCACATCAACACTATGTTGCCAGATCCTGACCTGGCCTGCTTTAGGGGTGGAAGTGCTGTAAAGCAGGGGCATTGGTGGAGAATTTCTGTAAAAAAGTGGTCCCCCAGTGGGAGAGCTGCAGCTGCATCAGTGGTCTCCTGCATATGACCTGTGGTCTCCCAAAACGGAATTCTGGGACAGAGGTGGACATTTCCAGTAAAAACTTGGTCACCTGGCGGTTGACAATTAAATGGGGGAGGTCTTTTACATATTCTTAATCTGGGGAAGGGGTCATTGAAAATGCTATTGAGGGTGAAAAATTTCAAAATATGCAATTTGACCCCCTTACATCAAGCATAGAAGATTACCCTGGGGAACAATAAGACCAAATTGTCCACCACTGAGGGTGAGGGGGCAAAGCACCAAGAAAAATAGCCAAAACAATAGCAAAATAAAGAAAGCGTCTCTGTGCAGTGGTGTCTAAAAATACAGTAGAAATGAAAAATCTTAACAAAATGCTTTAGATGCATTCTCTCAAGAAAACTGACTTTCATAAAAATAAATCAGAGTCAATATTCACCTTTCTATCAAATTTGTGGAACTGGTCAAGTCCAAGGCCTGTAAAAATAATTAAACCATACATAGACAGTGAAATAAATGAAGGGAGCACAATTAGGCAAAATGGATCACTTATCAACATTTGATCAAGCCAAGAATGAAAAGCCATTCTCATGCCAATTTTCAGTATTGTCATTGGCTTTGTTTAGGATTTTCAATACTTCATTGTCTTAAAATTAAATTTTCAGTATACTTATTCAAAATCTTCCAATGTTCAAGGGTCTATTAGCAGTTTCAGTTTGCAAAAAAGGGTACACTAGTTCATAGGTAATGTTTCAAATAAAAATATAAGAAAAAGATCTTACAAAAAAATTTGATTTTAATGATAATTTCTACCAGTCAGAGAAATAGTACAACTATTATCGAAGGAGAACAAATCTCTCAAAAATATGGTGCACAGAACTGAAATGGATGTACCCAGATACCAACCAAAGAAATATGATCAGTTGTTTCGCTCCATTGGCCAAGCAAAAAATTTGGACAACAAGGCTAACAATTGACAGTCTATGAAAGCAAAATTTCCCATGTTTATGGAAAAATGTCACACTGATTAACCATCTCTTTTATCAATATCTAGGAATTCAACGCATATTAGAAGTATAGATTTTTACCTTCTGGCTGCATAGTATCAGGAGTCAAAGACCTTACGAAATCTTCTGGTTTCATATAGATTGTGCTGGTTTCTGCATCTTGTAAAGTTGCGAAATACCGGAATACCTTGTCTGGTGTGCTGTAAGCTCTTATTCTGTTTTCATATTCAATTATCTACAAAATTACAAAACAGATCATTATTGATAAATGGAAAAAATAATGTGCTATAATATTTCACAAGAGGCTTCTGGTGTCATAACCTTTAAATTTTTTAATGCAGTAAATTTAGCAGGGCATCTTGCATGTTTCCTAAAATAGGGTTGCGATTAGCCAAATACATCTGAGAAGGCAATATCATATTCCAGTTTTTATTGGGCATTTGGTGACAGGAATGCCTAAAAGATTGAAGTTGACAAATTTCTTGTTTTTTGGGGATTTCCATGTACCTTTAGCCAACTGCACTGCATTAAGAGAGTCCCAGCTCTACTCATATGTCCTAGCTCTCTTAGGTGTGTCATGTGCAATGTAGACATGAAAAGTTTACAAAATAATGATTATTTGCAACCACGAAACATATATAATTTAACCTAATATCCACCCCTTGCAACTAATCAGGCCTGTGTTTCTGCTCTTTTAGTTAAAACAGGCACATTATTCAAGGCTGATTAAATGGACTACAAAATTCTGTTTGAGTTTTTTGGAGAGAATGTTGACTAGAGTAATTGAGCAGGCTATCTTGCAATAGGCAAGCTCGATCTAATTTTGGATGATGAAGAAGTTTTGATCTACAGAATGCCGCAAACTGAAGGTACCAAAGGGTGCCATTCTCACTTTTCTCTCCCTGAAACCTGCTTTGCTCTTGTGCAGAGCAACTTTTTCTGTCGCTTTTGTATTCACTTGTGTGGCTTGTTGTTCTTCTCTCTCTTGATCTCGTAATGTCTCTTGTGATCCATCTTCTAAGGCCTTTGCTTCAACATTAACCATTCTTATATACAAAAGGTATGAAGAAGAAATCAACCCAACCAAAGCTGCAATTAGCATAGAGTAGTATTGACCCATCTTTTTTCTTCGTGCTTTCTCTTCATCTGTGTATCTAGTAGAATCTTCAATCGGTATTTGGAATCCATGATCGTCAATTTCTTGGAATCTTCCTTTTTTGTGAGGGTTTTCTTCCTTTGTATTCAAAAAACGAGATGTTATTCTCGCAAATTTTAAATCATTTGCCGAGTTATTCGAGTTCACCACACACAAGATAGGCCTTGGCCTAGCATAACATCCCAAGGTTCTAAGCCTTGTCACACTTTGCAACAAAGGCCTTCTGGCAAAATTCATCTCTATTAAGGCAGCTCAATCCTGTATTCTACATGACGGACATATTCCTATTTCTTAACTCATCCAAGCACTTCGCTGGTCACTGGAAAACCACCAATTTTCTGCCAGGAGGAGAGCGACCTCTTTGTAATGCAGCTGTGGAAAATACTGGCCCTCGTTCGAGGGGACAGTCGGACCTCTAGATTCCGAGTCTAAAATCCCGTGACTGAATTACTCGATTAAAAAAAGAAAATTTAAACAACTTTCGTCGAATTTTAAAGTTCAAAGAATGTTATTTCTCTAGAATTGATGTGTTTATATAGTTTCATAGATATAGTCTATACCGGGAGTGGTGTAGGGGTGCATCAGGGACCGCGGGACCGGGGGCTGAGGGGTTATAGCCCCCCCAAAATTCAAAACGTACTTTAAACGATACAAAGGCCACCCTACTCGCTCGGTTTTTAGCATGTTTTGCTTCCAAAAGTTTTAAGCCCCCTCAATTTGTATGTGCTCCGCGGCCCTTCGGTAAATTTTGCTTTGATTCGTGAAAGTGCATTTTTGGTGGTCTGCTGTTATAAAATAATGCAAAAATTTACTTTATTTATCTGCTTATCTTCTTTACCTTAAAGTTAAAGCTTAATTTTGAAAATGGGTGTTTTAGTCATTTTCCAATCACCCGAAAGTTGCGGCACTAAAATCCAATCATTATCTAACACGCCCCCAATCGTTGCCTCTAAAATCCGTCCCTGCCTTCGATCTTCCATGTTTGGTGACCTTGGCATTTTCTGCCTCCTTTCCTATAAAAATAAAAGAGTCAAAAATCTTAGGGTTGTAAGCAGACCACTGCTTTTGCTTAATGACAAAGAAAAACAAATTGAAGAAATGATCATCATTGGAGTCAGCCACCTCATGGAAGTCAGTCTGCATTGAAACAAGCTGCCTCTTGAAAGAGGATTATCATCTCAAGCTGTAGTAGCTATTATACAATTTTGCATGGTGAAACAAATAAGGAACCATTGTGTTCCACATTCCACGTTTCATTTTTTAGAGGTGCTAGTCCGCAGATTTGAATCCTACCCGTTTCTGGATGTTGTTGTGTTGTATTGTTTCAATGTTGCAAACATTATGAGGATGTAATGGACTCTCGGTAAGCGGGAAACCGTCGGTAAAGATCGTTCGAGAAATGGCGCTTTGTATCCAGTCCATGTTAAGGAATGTTGCAGCACGATCTATTTATAACACCTCGGTAAGCAAGCATGGAATTTGCCTTGATGAGGGTGCCTCATTTTAGCATACGAACTGTCCTATTTTTGTGGGATAGGCCCAGCCTTGCGGTTCGGGGTTGGCCGGGTAGACAACAAATTCAATAGTTGATAGGTGTGGTTGAATAAAAGGAATTTGCAAAGGAAGATTTACAGAAAGGCAATTAAATAAGGCCTAGGTTAGTGGGTATTTAACTGCAGTGGAAAAGTATGTTATTTTCACTTCGTTCATGCAAGACAAATGCCGAAAGGTCCATAAGATCATGGTCGCATTGAATTGATAGTTTCAATCAAATGATCTTTGTTGTTTTTACCAGTTTCCTCAAATCTATATTAGAATTAAGGGTAAAAATCAATTTAATTTTCTTAAAAAAAATTCTTAAAAAGCTGTGCCTATAATAATACATTGCTTCCACAGAACCACAAGGTTATTTGCTCTTTAAAGAATCTTTGCTAGGCCTGATAAGTTTGCAGACCTGATAATATGCATCATCCGTAAGTTTTTTTATGAGACATATTTCTGGCTAGGTCAAAAGAAGTGGTGTAGTGAAGGGGAGGCAATAGGGGGCAGATGCCCCCCAATGGGTAAAAGTCTCTTTGAAAAAGGGCCTTTCCTGGCATTCAAAAGGGTGGTGACTTTCAGATTTTCCTTGCTCAACTTTTTTGCCCCCAATCTTACCATCCTGGCTAAGATTCTGGTCAAAGGGTATCAATTATAAATCTTTCAAGTACCTTAGAATATATTGAGTGCAATTTGAAGCACACCATGCAATAAATTATCCAGTTTTGACATATAAAATAGAAGAAAATAGATCTTCCAAACAACAATTTTATGAGATTCATTATGTTTGCCCCAACAACGATAAAAATCAGATGCTATTACAGATGTTATCAAAGAGTTTCTGGAGTAGATGCTATTAACAAAGGCCTCCACTTATCATAAGATTTTGAAGAAAAGTTTTAGACATATGACAAGAAAATTGAGTCTGGCAAAATTAGGAATATAAATTGCATTCAAAGTGATGCATTAAATCATTTTTCAGTGCTCTTCAACATTTTCTAGTTAAAAGTGTTTTGTTTTGTTTTGATTTTTTAGAAAGCAAGCCTTGGAAGTTTACAGCTGGTCGTGAATAGAAACTTTGGCAGTGCTGGATCAGCAGGTTTCCTAATTGTTTCTCTGTCAATTTCATGTGTTGATAGATGAATAGATGACATAATAAATTGACAGGTGTTCATTTGATAATGATGCTTTACTATGCCAAAGAATGGTAGTTTTATTACTCCCATATTGTTGTATCTAATATCAAATGTGGTGTTAGACAAGCTCTTAATGAAAGATCATCTTTATCTTTTAATCGGTTCAGCTACCTATTGACAAGATAAACAGTGGGGAAAGGCATAAGGCTCTACTCTTTTTTAGCTTATCATATTATGTATACAATATTACTGATAGAACAAATGTAAATATTATCACAGAACCAAGATATATTTCCATCTAGATTCTGCATCAGCATCATTCAAGCATGGAATTGTTCTATTGTCAGTCCCATTACCATCAAGGAATGAGCTCTGTGAATTCACATTAAAGCCAATAACGCATTCTGTCAAGGATCTTGTTCAGTTTATAAAAGATGAAGATGGAGGCGTGGAAAGGGCTGCTGTTTATAACAATGAAGGCATTCGAATTTCAAATTCAACTCCCATTGAGTTCTTGATGCAAAATGATTTCAAAATTTTAGTGAATGAAAAAGAATATGATGTAGTACCACCAAAAGAAGGTAGCTATATAGTGTATGCACATTTGATTACTTTCCTCTATCAGAAGTTGAGGGCTAGTACCTTATCAGTTGCCTTCTTATCAGTTGCCTTTTTTAAATCCCAATGCCTATTTTTTATTGAAAAAAACAAAATAAGTCCTTGTTACTAATCGAAATTCCTAAATAGATTTTCTGAATTTCTTCCTGGTATAAAATTGCTGTTAAGAGAAAACAATAGCTAGTTCATCAAGCAGGTATAGAAAGGTATATCATGATAACCAACAATAATTTATTCTTATAAAATTTCAGAAATGTTGCTACTGACCTTGTGTTACTTGTGCAGTCAGCACTGCTTTTGTGTAATTGGAAATATTTTGTTCTTTGTGAATTAATTGTGCATACCATAGTGAGTATTCACCTATGTCTATGTGGTTGCATTGTCTTTGTCTACCATTTCAGAATATGACAAGTGCTCCATGCTAAAGTCTTAAAAAGCCTTGTGCGAAATTTTTATGGTTCTCCCTCCATGTTTTGAGTTTCCTGAGGATCCATCAGAGCACCTCTCTCAACTTCGCAACCTTGTCCAAAGACTGCACTCTGATCTGCATGTGCAACATTATCAGGTGAAAAAACTTGTGTTTACAATAAAAGCTTTTGAAAGCTGGTGATTAGAATAATTGTTGTAGAAAAAGCTTAGAGAAAGTTACAAATAAATCTGTATTATCCAAATAAATTGAGCGTACTTGAAGTATGCAGTCATATAATGCCCATTTACCTACTTCTGCTTTAAAATTCTTTAGTACTTAAAGATTTTGACATTGCACATCCCAGAGCAACTCTTTATTTCTTTCATGGTGATGTTTATCTTTCTCACCAGTAAAGTTTAAACTATTTCCACTTGTTGTGCTACAGTTTATTTATAAAGTAGATTGGTTGAGGAGCAATAGGGAGATCTAGGCAAAGATAAAGTTATTTGGGAAAGAAACGGCAGAAAATTGCAGTAAAAGTAGAATGATAACACTGAGTGCTAGAAATACTTTTCGTTTGACTCACGAATAGATAAGATAAGAGAATATAATTGCAGCCAATGACCCAAAGATAAGCCAAAATTTAGCTGCTTTTCTAAAATAACAAAAAAGGATGAATTTTGTTTTTTATTGGCCCATGGTTTTCAATAATATTTGTAACTTTTTCACACAGTTGAAGAATTTAAGTGAAAAATGAAATGAAATTTAAGTGAAAAACTCTTTTTTTAAAATTGAAATTTGACATAGACAATTGAGTATTTTCCAAGTCTCGCAGATTCACATGCTTCTGTGTGCTTCCTTTTTCACTTTCTGGCTACCTACTTTTGATAAGATTGGTTTATGCTAGTTAAGTTGTTCAAACATATGTCTATGCAGTGAAACTATTGTTCTATGACACGTATTGGACTTACCCAACCAACTTTGTACTTAAGAGTGAAAAACGACAGTATTCAATATAGTTATGTACAAATGTGGACTTTATGCTTTGGTGATAAATTATTTGTTTGGTATATCCTCCAAGTATATGCCTGTGTAATGTTTTAATTTATCTGTACTTTAAAATCTAAATTGAAAGGAAAAATCCATTAACACAGTGCAATGATATAGGCAGATGGGATGCAATCTGTTTGTCTCAATATGCTCCTTATTGCCTTTTTTCTTTGTTTTGACTTTTGCTAACTGAAATTACTATGTTATACCACAGGAGCATCGAGAAGAACAAATTCAGAGAATGCTAGAGCATCTTAATTCTGAGCTAGAGCCACTAGAAGACTCAAAAGCATTGCTAGACCAAAAGGCGGCAAGGAGGACGAATATATTGGTGTGGGGAGGCTTGGCTTATATGGCAGCCCAGTTTGGATTTTTAGCTCGCTTAACATGGTGGGAGTATTCTTGGGATATTATGGAACCAGTAACATACTTCGTGACATATGGATCAAGCATCGCAATGTATGCCTATTTTGTTTTAACACGAGAGGTAGGTAGATTTGTTCCAGGGCTGTAGCTACAGGGCATGGAGAATATCACAACCCATCTTTCAAAGTAATCACCTTTTAAAACGAGGCATTTTACCATCTAAGGTGTTCTTCAACATATTTTTAAACTTATTGACAAATAAGGAATGGCTCACCACCTTGTCGGCATATGGGACTTAGACACCCCTCTTTTGGCATATTAGCTAGCGATGGCACTGTCTCTATCGATCCAAATCGTATGATTACTTACATCCCTGCCTACTATATTATACAATTCACTACCTACGAATAAAAAACTCTGAACCCAAACCTAACCCCCCAACTCCCTCTGGGCGACTCCCTATTTTTCCCATTTCGCTTAACCGAAAAGGCCAACCACAATCTTGTTTATGCTGTGGTTCTTTCAAAACCAATATCAACCTCGACTCGACCATGGCGCAGAGCTTATTTTATACCAAGAACGTACTAATTTTTGAGAAGGTATTTTGATAATCATACTTGCAAAGGAGTCTTTTTTCTGGATATTTTGAAATCTATGTGGGTAAGGAAGAAATCCAATCTTGTGTAAGCAGAAAACCTATTTTATCATTAATTGACCCTATGCTTCCGAAATTTGGCATTGATTATACACAATACAAGTGTTAAACCACACTTTGACAATGGTCCAACCAGACTCCAGAAAAAATTCTTGTCTTTCCTTCAGACGATGTCCTAAGGCCTTGGAAACTTCTCTCAGAAAACAGAGAAAATTTCTTTTTTAATTTTTCTGTTGTTTTCTTTTGCGTTCTACACGGTTTTTGACCGTATGACCACAATTTTTCTGGGCTCAGAACACAACGGACAAGGTTGACTTAAGTTCAAATACTAAGACTTCGACTGGGCTATACGCAAAATTTCCATGTGTTTACTCTAAACCGATCCCAGCATTTACAAGGTTCAGCAGTTTAGTTAAGTCAATTGTCAGTTTCATTACGTTTACAGGAAGTTTGGTGATGTTCAAAGAAAGACCATTGTGATTCAGGGTTTTGTTCTTCGTCACTATAAAGTTAAAGCTTTTTAATTGTATAGTGCTAACATTGTATAGGTATCTCCTTTAGTTTCGGGTAATAGTCAGTTAGGTTTTTAGTATTCTGTTACGGAAAAATGAAGTCGATATCTATGTACAAGCCCTCGCATCGTTAGGTAGACTTTACCTATATTCTGTTCCTCTATTCTTATACAATTGATACATTTTCCAGGAATACACATACAACTATGCACGCGATCGAGCACACTTAATCAGATTCCACAAAGAAGCAGAGGGAAACAAATTTGATTTATTGAAGTACAACAACATCAGAGAATCAATTGCTAAACTTAAAGCGGAGCTGTCTCTCCTAAAAAGCCAACCAGCCAAGTTACCTGCAGCAAGTGAAGCTGTTGAATAATCGGGGATAGTGACATTTTCATACCTAGATGTATATTTTCGCACTTAGAATTGTTTCTGTATGTTATCACGTGGGATAAATCTTGTATTCAAAATGTTTTGTCTATTATGTAAAAGTTATAATTAGCATTATATCGAAGGGTTAATACAGTTTTCTGCATGCCTGTATGTTGAATCGTTTGTTTGTCAATTGAAATCTAGATAGCCTGTTAGATAATTGAAAAGTTTCTTGTTTTTTCTTAGAAAAAGACTCTTACTTCACTATTCGCAATGTGAACAATTTTTTTTGCTGTACAGAATTTGAAAATGGCTTTGAAAAAAGCAAACATTTTACGACATACTAAAAGCTTTTTCGTCTGACACTCCTCAGAGCATAAAACGTCAGAATGAGGTTCCGAAAGAACACGATGGAAAATATATACCCAGTTGTGGATCGAAATAGGCCAATCAGAAAAACGCAAGCACAAGACCGGTATTGTTGACCAATCAGTGTTCGCAATGTAGTCATTATGAAAAACAGGAATTGTCTCCATAGAACTAAAAACTTTATTCCATTTATTTTGTGGTCCATGTTTATAAAACTTCTTTTCTTAGTTCAACCATTTGACCATAAATATTACTTGCTTGGTAATAGGGTGCTGTTTTTTCTCTTTTAAAACCAAGGTATTTTATTTCAATCACTCACTCTTATTAAGATTGGTTGCCTATAGTTTTTGATTGGGAGAACCTTCACTCGAAGTTGTGAAAATTTTTTGTTTTTACTGATTTTAGAAGTGCGATTGGATATACCCGGAATTTTTTAGGCTTTAATTCTAAAGCCCTTCGTTCTTTCAATTTCTAGTCCTTGTTTCAAAAATTTATTTGCCCGAGTCTTTCTTTATGATGTGTTTTCCTTTTCCATTGTTTGTCATGTTCAACAAATATTTAAATGCACCAGCATTTTAATGCAAATTTTTTTTAACGAAAGACACTAAACAGAAAAAAACGGTAGAAAACTCATAATATTTTTACGAGAAGATGGGTGCAAAGACAGTAAATTTTGCGCAAATTTTTCTTTTCATGGACTTCAAGTTCAAGGTTATTTAAATATTGTAGCGTTGCATGTTGCCACTGCATGTTGCAATCACTTGCAATGTATTGTTGTGAGCATTCTCGAAAGAGGCTGTAACCACCAGAACGAGGCCATTGGCAAAGATGGCGAAATCGGAAGATGGAAACAACAAGTTTTAACATGTGAATAAATTAAGATGGTATCACAATTTTTTCCACGTTCTGTTTTGAGTAATGGTTTAAATATTATGCATGGACTTGCTTCGACTATTGTTGAGATGTCGACACTCTTCAAGCGGGAATTAACTGAAACTTATAGCATGAGAAACCACGAGAAGAAGACGCAGTTAGACACGGAAGAAAGTATCAACCTTGGCATTGAAGATGTGAATGAAAAGAATTTTCAAAGAGCGGACATAACACAGCTGAACATTTTTGGGACTGTCTTTCTTACACTTGTTTCGACTTTCAGTGTGGACTGGCTACAGCATTTAGTGAAAGTAGAATGTTACTATATGCTTTCATTGTGCGAAACGATAGCCATGCTCTTGATTATCCAAGCTTTTCCAATAATGAAAGGCAAGGGCCGAAATGATAGTGTTTTCAGGTATGTTAATTAGTAAATGAAGCTTCGTCTTAGTTAGTGGAATCGAGATCCTGTATGTTTTCTCTAGAGCGCTGGAGCGTTTTTAAAAAATATCCAATTCAAGGGGTGGGTGCAGCTGGAAACAGCGAGGTTCAATAATTTTTCTTTTTTTACAAATGCTAGTGACATTTCTCCCAAGAAACCTGTGGCCTCCTTCTAATACTTTGCTTGGGTTAGGGAAATGTTTGTTCATTCTTTTGCCTAAAGCGTTACAGTATTCGTTTGATTATAAGCCACCCCTGTTTATAAGCTGCTTACAGTTATAAGCCGCAACAAGTTGGGTTCATAAATAATGTAAGCCACCCTTTATTATAAGCTGCATCCACAAAATCATTCAGCAATACTTTGTTTGAAATGACAGATGAAAAAAGTTTTAAAAACCTGATTGTGTACTTAAACCAAAAAATATACATTAGAAGCTCAACCAACAAGAATATCTTCCAGCATGGGATTATCAATATTTCTTCTAATCCCAGCATGGGATTATCAATCTAGAAGTATTTCTTCTTTATCTTCTACATTATCACCCTCAGCTTTAAAGTAGAAGGAAAGATTGGCAGGATCTGGATAAATTACTTTGGTGGTCTATAATCAAATAGATACAGTATACAAACCAGCCTATTAATGAGATCTTATTTCCAGATGATTTTACATGGGAACCAGCCTTCCCAGCACAAGGTCTTAGTTCAAATTGTTATGCCCTCAATTGTAACAGAATCTTTCAAAAGCATTGATAATGCTTCAACTTCTCTCTTTTCACCAGTTGAACAGTACATCGTCACGAAGGCCACATCAGAAGGATGCTCAATCTTTTCTTTTCTACTGCCAAGTGTCATGTAGCTGTCATTGTCAAAAAATTCCAACACTCATTGCGTATTAATAAACACCAACATAGCATCTTAGTGACAGTTAATTAATTCCCCTTTTAAGGGTACTTGTTCTCCATTTCATTTTTAGCTTGCATGAAAATAAAAGTAGAGTCTTGATAGTTATCATCCAATCATTAGTAATGGCCTTCATTGGAGGGTATTGGAAAGAGAGTGCTAGTAACAATCACTGTCCAGATTTCTATGAGGTAGGTCCTTGTTTTCTATTTTCAAATGAATTAAGTTCTGTTTGTTTTTTGTAGATTCCTTTCTAGACTTCTTCAATTTCTCAAATGCCAAAATAAACAAGTTCCAGATGCTTAGAATATAAATTTTAATTAGAAGTGAATAAGTAACACTGCAGCGCAACAGGAATGAGCAAAAACAAACACACATAAATCGGGAAGGGCTAATATTTTGCCCTGGCATACGGCTTCATCAGAGCAAAAGTAACTTGCCTGTCTTTGAATTTTAATTACTATCTTTGACTATTACAAATTTCATACTTGATTGTTTTGAGATTTTGTTAAGGGTATATAGTGATTAACCACCTTTGTTATGCATGTAGATATGTTATGCATGTAGAAACAGGGATGAAACTGCAAGCATGTAGATACCATAGTGGTGTGGGGGTTTCAGGGCTTTCACGTTCAGAAATCAACGCGCACGGGCAAAAACTTGTGTGATAAGAGTGGGACATAACGTTGTGTCAAATAACAAGATATATGGTTTTTATAAATTAATATCGTTATAAAAAAGAAATTTCCGTTTCGTTTGACATCAAATGTTAAAGGGCCTCTCCAGCCAAAAAAAAATTTTTTTATTGACTAAAAAGTTAGCATCTGGTTGCGTGTATTATGGCAAAGTTGTTGTTTTTGCAAAGTTTCAATTAGGTTAGAAGTTATAAGGCTTTAAAGTTGCACCATTCCCAGAAAAAAACAAAAGCCGAATCAAAATCAAAATCAAAATCAAATCACCGAATCAAAAGCAGGCTTCCTGTTCCAGCTCTTCCCTCGCGTATAATTAATCAACACTTCAGTTGTTTTCCAGAAACGATGAACAACTAAAGGCTTCAGAATTGATATCTGAAATGCTCAAACTAAAAGCCGGTGGAACAGAACTGAGAGTACCAACAATTGCAGTGTTCAATTTACGAATCGCCGACGTTCGATTCGGTTTGAGGCGAGACTAACGAAATACACTGTGACGTCAAAATTGCTTCACAGTGTCACCAAACCAAAAAATTTTTGTCGGTTAATTCAATTCAATTATCGAAATGCAAGAGCTTATATCTCACAAACTGTAAAAAATATCGAAAAAAATAACGAATTCGTGATCAGCAGGTTCAACTCCTTTAGATTAGCCAATAAAATGCAATTGCAATTTTTGGCTGGAGAGGCCCTTTAACAAACTTTAGTATTACTTGTAAAAACTAGCAATGGAATAGGGAATGAGTGTGCAGGAAAGGAGCAACAGATCTAACAATGCCTTCATCTAACAAGCTTTTATTGTATCTTCAAGTCATAGTAAATTGCAAGGCCTGTGTGATTAATTCTCTTTTCTTTTCACTAGCTGTTCATAGTGCTGTCAGTTCCATCTGCCATATTGTGGACATATTGTCAGTCAAGCAGCAGCTCATTAGCAAGAAGCCATGAGGGTATCATTATTGCAGTATCAGGCGTTAAATTGCTGATTCTTTGTACCTCACCAACATACACACTGCAGATATCAAGATCACTTTCCTGCTTGTTGCTGTCAGCTGCTTATGGCTTTTATCTTTCGCTTATAAATTCACTACTTAAGAAGGTATCCCACTTTATGTTTTTCTTATACAGAATTTTTATGCTCTATCAAAATGAAGTTTTTTGACAAGATACATCTCTCTGAAAAAACTCAGCTTTCATTTGAAAGAGTATCCCAATTACAATTCTCACAAAAAAGAGGCATGTTGTGTTTTGTATTCCAGACATATGCTAGCAGGTGTTTCTCTCTTAAATAGCTCCTGGTGGATGTGAAATAAAGGCTCTTAAAATTGCTAGTGATTTGGCTTTTTAAGCGATGATAGCTTCAGTTTTGTTGTTTGGTTTGTCATTCTAATGTATTTTTCAGTATAATCAGTAACACCTGTTTTTTGCATTGGTAAATTTCTCTCTTGAAGGACCTCTATATTATAGGTATACCTCTTTGTTGGTAACATTAAGGGCTTTTCTTAGGTAATTCTGCTATTTATTTCTTCTACTATGTGTAGGGCCATTTTCCCTTTTTGCAGATAATCACTTATTTAACTCTCCCTAAAACTTAACATCAAGTACATAATCTCATATTGAGGTCAGGAATAAACGGCCCCGTTTAATTTTTTCATGATTTTTGAAGAACCCTCACATTTAGTTGTTAGAAATGTTTGATTAAAATTCTAAAATTCGAAATTTCTTGTGATCGTTTAAGCAATACTTTATCTCAATTGATTATCTAAAAACACTGACCCAATTTGTTTATTAAATCCCCCTGTTTATTAAATTTAGGACTTTGTCATGACTCCACATGATTCCCCGTTTATTTCAATCCCACGTTTATTACTCACCACAGAGGGTGGCTTTATTCCAATGTGCTACAGAATAATTTTCGCTTTTGAAATCGTAGCAATTTTTCACAGATGAGTATTGTTCATTTTTGGCTGCCTCTCTGCATACTCTAACCCATTTGCACTACATTGTGTGTGCCATCATATAAATGTTTTATTTCCAGTAACAACTGTAAATTATTGGAAGAAGAAATGTATATCTATTTATCTGAAAGTGGAGAGTACTTTTGGGTTATTCAATGCTTAGGTTTTCTATTTTCAGGCCAGGTCTAATAATGGAGATAAGAATTTTCCTTGTGATCTGATTCTTTTGGGTACCTGATTTAACAACATACCATTTTGATAGTTATGGGTTCAACTACGACATAAAAATATCAAAAAGTAATCAAAGAACAGATGTGTTTAAACTGATTATTATAGAAATCAGTCTTAATAACTATGACATAAGATACCACATCTTATGTGCTTAAACAGCAAGATTCTGTATTTTGGTATTTTTGGGTCTTATCGACACTCCTTAGCTGATATTTTTGGGTCTGTTGAATTTGTTTTTGATACTTATACTGCGGAAGGACCTCCCCGTATATAAAAACTTCTGTGATTCGCCTGGTATTTTCAGTCTCTATTTTTCATCTTTTTCTTCTCTAACTATTCCATTGTTTTATTATGATATTTCCCTTATAGAATCATGCTATAGCAGTACTGCGTTGGTTGCTATTATGGAAGATTCCTTTGGCTTGTTTGCTAATGATAATTTCTGGAGAGTTGCAAACTGCTCATAAAATCAGCCTTTTTAGGGATCTCCCACTAGTATTTGCCTTGGTAAGTTATATTTTGCTGAGCAAGTATAGATGCGTTTGAATGAATGGAGCAGTTTCCTAATTGACGTATCCGTAGACTGTGAAATAATTACCTAACTGTGGAATAACTATGAAATAATGCATATGAAGACCTAGAGTCTTTCTTTTGCACCAAGTTCGACAGCGCAAAAGGTATTTTGATATGGTTCTCAGTGCGCCTTTTCTCTAAAATTTTGTTATGATTAAATACATCTTCTTTAAGTGCTTAGTATGTTTCAATGAACAGTGATTCTCAGTGCTGTTCTCTCTGACTGACTCGCGTAGGCTTCTAAATATACATTTTCCTCTTCTTGATTGGCGTATTTCACTTGATTCTAAGCTGAAGCTGAATTTTGATGCCTTTCGAGCTAGCTATAAGGCAATGCTGGAAATGCAGGTGACAAAGAAAAGACCCACGGACTCCTAAACTCAGGGAATACTTCTAATGGAAATGTCTCTACCATGAATTGGCAGGGAAAGCATTCCAAACCCGCGAACAAGTTATAAAAGATCTGACTCCAAGTGCAGTTCAGTACAAAAAACGTGACAACAAGAAATTTTTAATCGCATGTAGAAGTCTTCTCGGACAATTTAACTTCTCCAATTTAAATTGTTACAGACCCCAATTAAGCTGTAAACTTTTTTCTCCTCTTAGACCTTCTGCATCTTTTTTAGGCCCTCGCTACAACCCTGAAGATGATGTTTGTGTTTGTCTTGATGAAACACTCAAGTACCCTTACGTGTGTCGTCGCAATGAACATGGCCTGGGTACCTATGACTCTCGTCAGGGCATTTGTTTTCAAGTATTTGTTTTTAGTGACATCATTCAAATTACTTTGGTTATTTTTTACTGATTTCGTGATATTGTTTTTACATGCTAAACTTAAGTTATTTACAGAGAGTTTCTTCTCAGTGCTGCAAATTATTAGCGCCAAATTCTTCGTAAACACATTCACATAGTTAACACACTATTGTAAACACGTTCGCAAAGTAAATTCTTTCAAAAATATCCTGAAAATTTAAGAATTCGCAGACTGTTTTTCTTTGACAAAGCCCATTTTCGTTGAAGAAGACTTTTGCCTCCAACGAATATTTTTTATTTTTCACAAAGCATTTATTATCACGAAGCACCCTTATGGCCAGACAATACCAACCAAACTTATCATAGAAATGAACCGTTTAGACGGGAATCAAAGCTAAGAACTGATAGCCCTGCAGCTTTTCTTTGCACCTTCAAAACAAGTCTTAGAAATTGCCTTCAACCTTCGGTTATTTTTAGGAGGATTAAATGTATCGTTTAAAGTGAAGTTTTTTAATTAGATACAATCGATTATTTTGATCACATTTGCTGGTTTTTCTGAATTAAAACTTTATGTCACGACTAAAATTGAGTCATACAAGCTTATTTACGGGCATTATCAAGCCGTATTCATATGATATCATAGTAATTTCATTTCAAACTGTTTCCACACTCCCTGTTCTCACGGTGGCGACATAATCTGCTCTGCAAAGTATCAATTTTGCAGAGAGAAATCACCATAATGGTGCAATGTAATGCAAAGTAATAAAATCTCTTTGTATGTAGGTAATGATTTACTCGAATTGAGATAAAAAATAGGACATCAGATAAGCTGAAGCCCTCATCCTCATGTTTTATTGTTTTAGAAATCGTGGTTTGTTTTGTTTATCTTTCACGTTTTTCTTTCCTTTTCACCCAACATTTCGGACAATCATTAGGCAACATGCAGAGTAAGGTTGCGCCTCAGTCAAAGATGGTACCTCACGGAGCAAAACTTGAATTGTTCATGCTCCTTTTAGCACATACTAGACCATATTCTTTTTCTGTCTTGTCTGCAAGATAACAATTATTGGTTATTAACCACTATCAAACCTTTCCTTCTCAAACTCCCACACCTCTCCTTATATTGCACCCCTGTGTAGCAAAACTGATGAAAACCGTCCCAGAAAGATGTTTTCTGACCTGGCAGTCTCCTGTAGAAAACTAAAATAACCCGAGCGTTTTATCGTTTCCTTCCATCCCCTACAATTGCAAGCTGTGACCCTTTTGCCCCAAGTCAGTCTTCAGTTTCCTACTTAGTTTCTTCCTGTAAAGTTTTGTTTCTTTGACTAAAAAATTCACAGAAGTTCCCTTGAGTAGTTTTCTCCGAAGCCCATTTCTCCGCTCACATTTTACTCATCCTCAACCAGTCCAAGAAAAATTTGCGTTCCTCAACCAGATTTATTTCCTATAGCCCCTGATTAAATAACTAACGCCGTGATTTTATAAAGAGGTTTTTTAGTTTTGACAGGTGATTAAGTCCCTCCCCTCAGTACGGAGCAGTCTAAGCAGATACACATTACCCATACCTTCCAACCTGTAGAGAAGGAAAAGCGGGAGACATCGCGAGCGGAGCGAGCTAAAAATTATAGCTGAGGGTCTGGGGAACGCTCTGACCCCCCCAGTGGGTCCAGGGCAGCGCGATGGAAGGGGTAGAGGGGGCGAAGCCCCCGGAAGCTCCTGACATTTTGTCATTTCTGAGGCCTCAAAATGGCTCAGGATTCTTTAATTTCTCTGTTTGTAATATGTTAGTAGAAAAACAGTTCTACGTAATCAATTGATCAGTAATATCGAAGAACTTTCTTAGAAAGTGGGGGGCAAATGAAGAGGCCGAAAAGTTCTGGGCTTAGAAACGCCACTGTGCACAATTATAATTATATTTTTATTATATATTATATAATTATATAATTATAGGAAATGTTTTCTTGCAATCAGTGCGAGCCCATTATTAGATTAGTTTGAAATTATAAGAAAGGTTATCTTTTATGATGAATAATCAACAACAAATGTAAAAATGTTTGGCGTCTGGCTTCTGGCAGTTTGGCGTCTGGCTTTATCCGATGTCGTAACTATTGTAATGTTGTGAATAAATCGAATCGTTTCGTCCTTTATGAGAAGGTTGCACTGTTGACAGTGATCTTGATTCTTCTTTATTTTATACCAGCTTTTTATTTTTAATATAAGTTTTTTTCAAAAATCGGGAGGATTTTTTAATTGTCGGGAGGTCGGGAGATGACGTCTGAAATCGGGAGTCTCCCGGTCATATCGGGAGGGTTGGAACATATGATTACCAGTAAAACAATATCCAGGTCTTACTAATGGGAGGCTCAAATGAATCGGGTGTCTTGCTACCAATATTTTGTTTTTGGTTTAATATAACACTCGTGTTCCTTTAGACGCAAAAGTTTACTTTCTGTTTACATATCTAGTCAAGCTGTTAAAAAGTGATAAGAGCAGTGATCCAAATATAGACATAATTATGATAAGTCATGTTTGACTCAAGCAAGCACCTATCCGAACTGTATCTATGAAAAGATCCCACTGCAAATGTTTGAAGTTATGCTGTAGCCTTCATCTTTTGACCCCTTGAAATACACCCATCGTGATTTTCAAGGCCGTCGATAAAAGCGGAGAGTTTAAAGATTTCTGAAAAGTTACATGGGTAAGGGGGGTGGGTTGAGGTGTTTGTTTTCGCCCTGAAGGTTCCAACTCGTTGTTGTGGTTGCTTTTATTGGACGGAAATTTGAAATCGAGGCGGGAAAAACAATTTTTGCAAGTGAAAAGAAATAACAATGGCGGACAATCTGGTAAGCCCAAATTCGGCCACTTTTTCTCTTCTTTAGCACAGTCACGACAATGTTGTTTCAGATACACTTTTCGTAAGAAAAGAGTGCAAAACAAGCAGGGGCGTAGCGTGCGGAAAGTGTACAGCCCCTCAACTTTCAGAGAACTCGTCGGTAGAATTAAATTTATAACAAAATATTAATGTAGCAAGCAAAAGAATTTCTGGGTAAAATATGGTTTTGCATCTCTTACACCCCCCCCCCCACCAGCGAGAATGGTCACGCCACGCCACTTAAAATTTTTCATGCTATTGTAATTTGCTAATTATACTTGAACAATATTAATCGCTTTATTGACATCTAATTTTGTAAATTGTTGCTAAATATGAATTGAATTTGAAAACAAGTCTGAAATTAGAGGAGAGGAGGGCGGTGTTAAAGTGGAAATTACATTACAGCCTCCAATTACAAATTGCTTTTTTGACAAAGTCCTATGTCATATGTGCCTTTGTGTTCGATAGAGATGAACAGCATGCGTTGCTTAAGCAGCTAGACCAATATATTTTATTCTTCTAAATACTTGGAATCAGGATAGCAAAGAAAGTGGTACATTTAGTTTACGTTTGTTCATATATATTGTTATAGCTTCGAGAAAATATTATCAACAAAGCTGAACAAATCAATGTGGATAGATCTTATCAAGGCTTATAAGCTCCATCCCTCACAAAGTTACTGAAATCGTCAGAATTAAAAAGCCAACCAGAATGCATCTTTGTTTTTTGTGAAGGGAAGTTCATTATGAAGAAAAATGTGACCAGAAATATGGTTTGAGAGCTAGGCAAACAGGATAAACTTTTTAATGCTTTAAATAAACTGAAAGCTTTGGCCCAATTTCCAATATGATAGCAATTTTTGCATTTGGACACAATTTTTGCAAGAGAGACCTTTGAAATGATTTTATAAGAAACTGCCACAGGTAGAGTTTTAAAAGTTATTGTATGGGGGTTACTGAAATCAGTCATGTTGGGGATGAGGAGATCTTCCCCATACACAGGAAGGAATGTGGATTGGGGATTGGGTCAGACATAAAGATCAAAGAATTCGCAAATGCAATACAATTCTTTTGCTTCATAAAGAAATGAAGGATGAGCAGGACAGAGTATCCGTATAATGCTCAGAGTGCAAGAAATAATCGATCAATGAATAAAAAGTGCTAGAAGATGCCACTGATCCATGATTAGATTGAACATTTTCGTGTCAAATGAGAAGCTGTAATTTCGTTTGTTGTTAAGACCAAATAAAAAAATGGATTGAAAATTACAGGGAACATTGAGGGGGCATTGTGGTAATGGATTGGTCAGTGGCATCTACGAATGAATGCAGGTGCAAATTAATGATAAAGGCTACATGTATCGTATCTTACAGTAAGAAAAAAGAAACTAAAATACAGTTAAAGGCAACATTCTTTATAAACACCATTCTTAAAGCAACAATCACTAAAATTGATTAATAACTGCCAAGGTTTAGAAACACCACTTCCAGGTTGAATTTTTTCTAGTATTTAGCTTATCTTTCTCCCCATTTGAGCTTTTTTAAGATTCTAACCTATGATTGGTTTACTGGTAATAATTTCTTCATTTTTTATGAATTAGGTTCTAAGATGTCAATTTAAAGGTGGCCAACGAAAAGTTGTCAGTGGTTTAACAAGTAAATCATCCATAGCACAATTGCAGGAGCAGCTTTTTATTATTACTGGGGTTGCACCACATAGGCAAAGAAGTAAGTAAGCCTAAATTATTGTGTGGTCTTTTTGAACATTTTTTAGTTCAAGCTTCCCACGTTACGCTCAAATTCTGACAAAAATTAAGGCCCATTTGAAGGCCTACAGTAATAGGGTTTGATAATGGCCTCAAAACTACCTAAACATAGATAAAGACGTTGAAGTTGAAGCAGATTCAATGAAAAATAGCACACAAATATAAACAACAAATTCATGTCAATTTAGGTCTTTGTATACTCATGCATTTATTAAAACCAGAAGAATTATTCAATCTCAAATGATTTATCAAATGATTCAAGATGGGATCATTTTCTGCTGGTATGAATTATAGAGATATGTATTGCATGTAAAAGAGTGTTAAATGTGTAATGAGTTATCAAAGAGAACATTTCATACTGCACTGAAAATACTTTTAACTTGTCAATAGTTCAGTTTCAGTTTCTTATTTTTCAATAAAAAAATTGAACACAACATAGAATACAATAGAGTACTAAGTCAAGAACTAGAGAAATATGAATAAGTATGGGGCCTGTTAGTGAGAATCTTTTAAAGGAGAAACTCTTGAAAGTTAAAATAATTGTGTACAGGGCATCACATTATTGAATTAGACAGCAAATTTGATAATTGATTTCTTGACAACAAAGAATAGCTGAGGCGCCTGCTACTGCGAAAAGATACTCTGTGTTTTTTGGAAGCAATAGATGGACTTAATTCTTTTTAAAATGAAAGGGGATTTTGTTCATTTATACTTCTCCTGGGCATCCTCTATGTGATTATGTATTCTTTTCCCCCAGTTTTATGTGGATTTCCTCCAAAGGAACTGCGGATACAGGACACAAATCAGAACATTCCGGCACTTGAGGTAAAATCAGGTGACACCCTAATTGTTGAGGAAAATAAAGAGGTCCCAGCTGTGGTAGAAGTTACTCCAGGACCTCAACAAAAATATGAAAAATCATCCTTAAGAAGACAGTAAGTTACCAAGGTTTTGCTAACACTCATATTTTTTCATTTCTCCCTTCAAAACTTAAGAATTTTAAGAAGCATAACATCGACCAAGAGCCAAATATCAGCAAACATAAAATGCTCACGAATGAAGCAAAAGTTTTCAGATGAAACAAAAAAAGGACAGCATTAAATTTTTGTGTTACAATTACATTTGCTTTTGGCTTTTAGGACCTTATTTAGTCTAATATAAGTAGAAAACTTATTTTTACTTATCATTTTAATAATCAAGAGCACTTATGTATTTGGGCTTTGCTGATTTCCTCATAAATATGATCCTTCAGTATCATATGATATGGATGATATTTCAAACCCAAAATGATACACTAGGCATTCACCTATTACAGATTGGTTGTTTTCCCTTTCAGTGTGGTGCCAGCAGATAACTCATGTTTATTTGCTAGTTTAAGGTAAGTAATTATGAAATATTTTCCTGTTTTTATGCAGATGAAAGATTGTCTTTAAACATGTGCTTTGTTCATGTGGACCTGTTCTTTGTTTATGTATCTAAAATGAAGTAATACCCAAAATACTATACAAGCTAAGGCCTGGGGGTGAAAAACATTACATTACAGTGGCAAAGATTGGGAAAAGCTTGGTGCCAAAATTGTTTAGCATGTGAAAAACATGGCTAAACATAAGTCTTTCAAGTAGGACCAATAACTTAAGTTTAGCCATGTTTTTCTGACCTTTTGTTTTGGAATTTAACAAAAAGAATAGATGCACCCTTTTCTTGCTACTTTGAAATGTTTGAAATACTGAAAGTTGAAATCCAAACTACTGATGGGGTATCAGGAACCTTTTGGTTTATGTAATATATTCTTTAGTTGTTTTCTGCAAATACAGTCTGGTCGAAATTTTCTCAGACTTACTTGCAAAGACTCATTGCAAAGACCCAATGCAAAGTTGCTTTAACCATTTTTGAAAAGCTTTCTGAGATGTTATTGTTGTCTCTGTGTAGCTTTCTGTTGTTTGGTGGTGATACCTCACTTGCTTCGGAGATGAGAAGTCTTGCTGCTAACTGCATCATTAGTGATCCAGCTAACTTCAATGAAGCACTGCTCGGAAAGCCCGTGAAAGAGTATTGCGATTGGCTGTTAAATCCGTCTAATTGGGGAGGTGAGATCTCTTGAAGGCCTAATCAAATTAATACCGATAGTGTTAAACATTATGATCATCATTATTATAGTCTATTTTACACCATGATAATTATAGCCATCAGTATCGCCATCATTTCCCCCTTTGCTGTTTGTTTCAACTGATGCAGTGCTGCATAAGTGAATTGGTGCATCAACAGACTGCCAAATTTGAGTTCCCTCTTTCTGATAAATAAAAGCCACTCTATGGATTTTGATCCCGTCCTGGGTACGAAAATGGGCTTTCAGCATGTTGCAAACGTTTATAATTTTGTGCAATTTTGAGATTTTTTGCTTTCGATAAGAAAACATATTCTGCATTGAGATGCAAACACCCCAAAATCCTGCTAGAGATTTCTGCCATAGCTTCTTTTCTTGCTGTGATGCAATCCCACTATTTTGGCCTCCCCCCTGATTCTCCTTACTGGCTCCCCTACTGCTTCCCCTACAGAGCCTCCCTAATGCCTACTTAAACTGCTATCTTCTGGTTCCTGCTTCTATCTTTGCTTCTCCCTACTGTTCCCCTACTGCTCCTCTTCCACTGCCTCTCTAAATCTGCTCGTCCAAAACAACTTGATCGGTTGATGATTTGATGACTTTATCTTATGGTAGACGTCACAGACTTCTGTAGCTATAACGCAATAGTTATTGGCAACTGCTCAGTGTTGATTGTTTTTTGCTCTTGTTTATTATCGTTCTTAGTTATTAATTGTCTGCAATTGCAAACAATAAATGTGAAGTTGAATTTCGATTTTATTTTTACCTGTAGTTTCATCTACACTATATGTCAGCAAAAATTTCACCAATCGTGCATACTGTGTTTTCATTTTCTATACTGTAGCCCCCTTAATGAAACGTAGAAATAAAAGCACTATGATGTGGAGTTGCTTTTTGTTCTAGGGGCGATCGAGATAACTAGTTTGTCAAAATACTACGAAACTGAAATTGATGTTGTTGATATACAAACAGGAAGAATAGATAAATTTGGTAAGTATTTTCTTGTATGATGTACTAATTATTGATCGATTGCCGAAGCCGTAGATCGGGGTATATACAACCAACCCTTTTACTCTGGATAATCCTCCAAAGTGCCTTTCTTTTTTGCATCACTCAGTGAAAGAAAGTTGGGTAGATACAAAGTTTTGGACGTTTCCTGCTTGAAATTCATTCTTGTTTCATAACAATATTTTGTCCACGCTCTTATGATTCTTGCAGGTTATCCGTTAAAATATACTCTAGGCAATGCTTCCTGTTATTTGAAAAATATCCCTATTTTTTACATTTTCTTCTATTAATGCAAAAAACTCCTTCTATATTCTATATTTTGCTTCTAAACGTTTCCTACTTCTAGGTGAAAACAAGAATTACAAAAATAGAGTCTTCTTGATATACGATGGAATACATTATGACCCCCTTGTCAAGGACTGTAAAACCAACCCCACTTTGCCTGTGCAAACGATCTTTCCATGTGATGACGACACAGTTCTTGTGGAAGCACTATCAATATCAAGCGAAGCTCGACAGGTATCGGTTTATGTGTACTTTAAGGAATTATGAACACACAGTCTAACTTATCAAGAAAATCCAGACACAACTTAAGTCTATAGTTCTTCTGAGAAAATCCTCGTTGGGTGCCACCAGGGCATCTAGATTCCTGAAAAGAATATCATTTTTGACTGATTGAAAAAGTCTTATTGTAATAACTTTGAGTATTTGATTATTTAGCTTATGGAGAGACTATTATCTACCAAAAGTTAAGATAGAATATTAAGACAATGTTTAGTTTATATGTTGTGATCCCAGGATTCGACTTATTACCCATTATAAAGATGACCCATTAATATTGTATCACAGGTTCATTTATATTCCATCTTAATATTGTATCACAGCTTCTGGGGTTCGCAGCTTTTAAATCTAATTTACGGTGTATGATGCAAACGATCCACATTATTACCTTGGTATAACCACTTTCTAAGAAGGCAATCTTTTCATTTTCATAATTTGTCGATTTTCATAGAGTTGCAAAGCAGTTACAGTATCAAGGAGGCTTTTTGGGGTAATTCCTCCTCATTCTATCAATACCCATTCTACCTTATTCTTCTCAAATTGCAAGCAAAAATGAAAACATAGTATATTTAAGTAGTTTTCTATCCAGCAAACCTCTAAGTAGTATTTAAGTAGTTTTCTATCCTACCAAATGTAAGCAGACGTTTAAATCCAGATGGGGATCGAAATGATGTGGCTGGAAGAATTGTGTGTTTGATTGGAAGAATTGTGTGTTTGATTGGAAGAATTGTGTGTTTGATTGGAAGAATTGTGTGTTTGATTGGTTTCCTTTTTTATGGCCACTTTTGTGTGAGCTGGCTCCGCTCCGGTTGCAAAGACCAATCTAAATTAGTCTCTGAATTTTTCTGTTCAACTAAAGTTTCTTTTCCTTTAAAGAAGTGGAAATGACATCCTCCGGGTAGACGTTGTCCCGAAGGATTTCCTTGATTTCTTGACTGGGTTAAAGTTTTCTTTCTTAAATTCCAAAGTGTGTGTTTTTATACACAGTCTAAAAAAGTACATTTTACAAGAACAAGATTACAAAGACGATGCCAATGGGAGCATGATAGGCATGGCTACCCATTGACCTTAACAAAAAACAGTACAGTAGCATCAAAGGCTATACCAAAATCCTGTTTAGTCCGTGCGGATAGCTTCTAAAGTGTTGCAGGACAGCGGAAGCAAAATGTTTTGTATGTATGAGTTCTCAAGTGGTATCTATACGGTATTATGCAGTGTATATCATCTAAAGATAATTTCACATTTTGTTATAGAATCGACAATATACTGACTTGGGTGGGTTCAAATTGCGATGTCTCGCCTGTCAGAAGGTGCTTGTTGGCCAAGAGGATGCACAATCACATGCAAAGGCAACCGGCCACACGAATTTTGGCGAAATTTGATCGCCATTTTACCTCTGTGAGTAGATCTTTCAATTTGTTTTCGTCACTGTGTGATGAAATTTCTTTAATTGAAGAGTTCTTAAACAAAATTTTAAAGCCCTCTATCAGCGATACTGTTGTCAAAATGTTTGATTATATGTGCAAATTATAATGATTACACTTATGTTTCCAAGTAGTCATGTTTATGTCTAAGGATATTTTTTATCCAAATTTGGTTATAATATGAAGCACAGGAAATTTCATATGTTTTGCTATTCTATGCGACATCATCACGGGTTAGAGGGTTTTGATTGGTCAAAGGACAGCCAATCAACTGTCTTACTATGCCGTTCTGTTTTAGTTTCGATCTTAAATCCCGTATTCATTACTGTTTACTTTATACTCAAAAAATTTTCTGCGACAGGCCCAAAAAAGGTTGAAAATCTGAAACGCAGATTTCACATCTCCGTCTCCTTAGATAGCAATTTTTAAGCGTGGTGTAGGCCTATGACCACAAGAGTTTAGGTGTTTCGGGAAAATGCATTCTATCAACTCAAAGTAAAGCTGTAAAGTCCATTTAACATCAAAATATACGTATCCTTGTTCGTTTTTTTCGGTTGCTGGATCTCTGCAGTTTTTCATCCGGCTAGCCATAAATATCTCTAATAAACTCATGAGCGCCAAGTGCCTCCTAAGTCAAGATAAACCTCTCATGGCTATTGAATGTAGAATTTTTCCAAAAATTAAAGCGATATTTATGTTCTGATTTTAAGCGCTTCCTAGCTCATCTTTTGCATTTTGATACACAAACCATTGGTTAAAGGTTTCTTGCTCTGAATAATTTAGTTTCATAAATCCTAATAAAATAAATTAATGCTAGCAGGAATTTTAATAATTGCGAAGGAATTGATTGTAAATTTGTCGCTGTCCTTATAATCCTGTCACCTAAAATAACAGAGAATTTAAGTGGTACCAGCAATACATTCCTTTTGTTTGTACGAAGCTTCTAGAAAGATCGAATGCCAATAAGAATAGCCCTTAAAACGGACCAATCCTGGACTGCATAAACTCACAAGAAGAAAAGGATTTTGTAAGATTTGCTATGAAGAGTTCCAAGAGTCAAGCCAATATGGAGTAAAATTTCTCTTTGTTAATTGTCCCTAAACATAAGAAACCCATCCACAAATTTCAGGAGCTAATTTTCCCTGTGACAAAGGAGCGTAACGAAACCAGTTATAAGGTTCTTCACAGCAACAAATAATGCAATCGTTTGACAACTAATCTGCTTCATGTGTAGTGTTATGCATCCTTGTTGACATTGTCCGTGTCTTCATTCACTGAGGTCGAAGGGCTCCTTTCAGTTGGTCCATAGCGGGTACAGCCTTTCGACAAATTGTTTTGCTTTTAGTTAAATCACACAACAAGCTTCTATCATTTTGTTATGTTTTTCTTACTTTGCCTGATCTGCTTACTCAAAACAAGGATTAGATAAATTCCTAAGCAGTAAACTGTTTATTTATAAAACCTTTCATTTCCTTTGGTGCTTTCCTATCCCAAAGTACGTCGGAATGTTATCAATTTTCGAAACAAGTGCTCTGTATCGAAAATATTTTGCCTGGTTTGTAAAAATCCAGTAGCAACCACGATATTTTGTGTATTTTGCAAGGAATTCTCTATTCAAAACCAAAATTCAACTTTCAAACTTAACGTTGGCTTTCGTTCTTTGCTCCTTTCAAAAAGCTTGAAGCTCAACTTGCTTTTTAGATAAGATTTTCTTTAATATTGCTAATTTGAACAATTTAAGAAACTCTCCCGTGTCCTGGTCAAGGCAGATTTGTTTTCGCCAAGTAGGCCTATATGTGTGATCTCTCCATTCACTTTAAGATAGCAACTGGACATGAATTGTCAAATACAGTTAAAACTCACATGTGATGTTTTGTCATGAAACTGGCTAAGATAGTTTGTGTAGTTTTAAATGATGATGAAAATAATTTCGATTCTGTTACGACGGTAGCCCTTTTGTCTGAGATGATTTTGAGGAGCCATCATAAACTAGAACCTAAACTATTTATAATTTTCTCAACTTATCTATAAAATCCAAAGCCTATTACAATATAACACCCTTCTAAAACGTCTGCAATATTAGAGCCAATTCAAATATATGTTGGAATCTTGAATGCTTGAAATAGAGACGAATCCAATGTCTGAATGATACAAAATTACAGTATTGCTAGGCTTCTTTTGTTTTGACTCTTCCACGCACTTGCAACTCCTTAAGGGAAACCCGTTTGACCAGTGGTTTTTCGTCGTTTCATGGTTCTTATAGTGAATTTGCTTAATTGGCAAAAAATATACTCGAGGCTCCTAATCTGCAGTTTCTTTAGGTGGTTTTTCGCAGTACAAACACACGTTATTGTAAATCGTTTACATCGAAGCAAATATCAACCTTGATTTATGTTGAGCAAGACCCTTTTTGTTGTTTGCAAGAAAAGTCTGCCGCTCTAATGAGATTTTTTTGCGCAGGTGTAGCACAGCTAGTCCGATTTGGAGCTGCAAGCAGATGCCGAAGGATCTGCAAAAACACATTAATGCCAATATGATTGTCAGTAGTTTCGAGAAATGAAATAGTTTCGTAAGGCTGTTGGGCCGGCGCCCTTTTATAGTTTTCTAAGGTATATTTTTGATCTTACCAGTGGCTCTTTCAAGATACTGTGGAATCAACATACCAAAAGATTGCATTTTCCTCTTCCAGTCAAAAAACATACGAAACCCTTTGACAGGCAAAAAATGGCATCGATTGCTATTACTGTTACTTTAGAATACTAGTCAACACTCTAAAATGTGACTTGCTAGATAGAACATGTTATGATGGAACACGCTCGGGTGGAATATGCCTAGTTGGGACATGTTTTAAATAGAACCTGCTTAGATGGGACATGTTTTAAATGGAACCTGCTTAGATTAGAAATGTTTAAATGGGACAGTTCAGATTGGACATGCTGAAATGGAACATGCCTAGATGGGGCCTGTGTCGCGGGACATAGTTAAGTGGCACGTGCATAGATGGGACATGTTGATCGGACATGCTTAGATAGTCCATGTTATGAAAGAATAAAAAGATGCAATAGAACTTGATCTTTGGTTTTCATTTTCCGGTTGAATAATTAAAAGCCGATTTAAGTCAAGACGTCTTAAAGACTTCTGAATAGAAAATTGAGATGTAGCAAATAAAGAATGTCACCATTAGCATACAAGTCTCTTCTGGCAACCGGAGCTCTTCAAGAATCATGACGAAGTCAAATGTTGTAATCTTATTGTTTGTATTTCATTTTCCATCAAGATTCATCATCTATATTTTGCACAAAACATGATTGTGAGGCCACCACTGAGAATGGGAACTCAGTATTTCATCCTATATACGCCATGAATGTGTTTGCTTGCAACTGTTCCTCGCGCAGCTTGCCTTCAACTGTTCACTGCATCACAGCCTTCATTATCGGTCCAAGATTTCCAATCCAAGTCCAAGAGACATCTTGGTGATACCCAAACCTCTCGATTGCGAAATAACCGGTTATAATAATTCACAAACATCGAAGATCTTAAAATGAAGTCATCCGCACATCAGATGCCTTAAAAGGGCAGCATTTGTAATTGTACCGTATTTTTTCGTTTTTATCATCTGCTTCAATTTGAAGAGATAACAGATACTCCCGAAAGGCACATTCAGTTTTTAAACGGCCAATCGGTGATAGGTTGGGGATTACCCATTGCGAGCGTAACTGCCTACACGATCCATTCAATCTCAACGCTCCATAAAGGCCAATACCCCCTGGGATGCCAGGAGAGCCTCTGCTTCCCCTATCTCCAGCTCCTCCAGTATACCCATGATCACCTTTTTCACCGATGTTGCCTTCAATCCCCTGAGAGCCTTTGATTCCAGCAGGCCCGGTTTCGCCTCTAGGGCAGTTGTAAGCTCTTGGTGGTACCAGACGGCAATTTGAAGGTATGCCTGGGTGCCCTTGCGGCCCCATCCGACCACGATCACCCTAGGTGCAAAGGAAAATGTCACTGAACTATCATGTTCTTCCAGGAAATTCTAAGAAGATGTCAACGCAAATTCTGTATTAAACTAGCCTTCTCTTTAATCCCTTTTTCTTCTAATTCAACCTTCTCTAACTTCAATAACCCCCTTTTCTTCAGAATACCCCCTCAAATTTATCAATACAAGATTTCAAAGTTTAGCTATTTTATTCATTGCTTTTCATCCTGTTTTTGAAAATGCTAGACAAACGTCGTGCTAGAAGGTACTTTAGGAAAGAGCCTTGCCATGGTTGCCACGACCAATCAAGAGGCCACGTACTTGCTTGCGTCATAGATACTTCTAGTTTAACTTTGAATGCTGCTAAAATCCAAAATAAATTTTACTTGTAGCTCACCTTTTCCCCTTTAGTGCCCTTTTTTCCTTGAACGCCCTCAGGTCCCCGCTTGCCTCGTTCTCCTTGCTGAATAGAATATATTGTTATTTGCAACAATGGATTGAGTTTAACAATAATATTTTTTCATTATACGATAGTGTAAAAGCTTGATTCTAGTTTCCCAAGTAAATATTTGTGCCCTGATACTAAAACCAAAGAAATCTAGGAAACAAAATGCTGGAAAATTTTTGTTTGCTGGATATGCATGTATTTATGCCCTGCCTTTTTGTTATATAGGAGGAAAGCATCCTCTGTGCTTTTCATTGAAGAAGAAAACAGAGACGAACACTCTACACTCCAACAGTTGCAGATAACACCTTGTTATACAAAGTGTATATTGGCAGTTTGAAAATCATAGGATTACATAAAAAAAGTACGGTGTCAAAATATTACCCCTCCCCCAAACATTTTCTTATCGAATTTAGACGAAATACAGAATCGATTCTGCTGAAAACTGCCCCCCCCCGTGGCGCCGCTACTGGTTCACCACGACTTCTGCCGCTGTCTCGTATTTTAAACTGAAGAATCCCTACCGGTCCATCTGGTCCTGGTCGTCCCGGGCTTCCGCGGAATCCTTTGTCTCCCTAAAGCAATAAGAACACATCTTATTAATTAATACAGAAATGATCATATATAAAATACATAAAGGCATTGAGTCATGGTATATAGGCCTTCTCTATAGGGGGTCATTTGTTTTCGGCGTGATCGCTGCTGTTTCATGTGATATTTGCATCCGTTGTTAACAATTTGCTATTGATGAAAATTGTTTTGTCAATCAGTACCAGGTGAGTTCATGTGACCAGTTTCAGGTCAACCAATAGCATCGCAGTCATGAAAAATTTACCATGACTCAATGCCTTTAATTTTTACCCTCAGGAGTCTTTTTAGAAACATCCATTAAGCATATGTTGCTTTATTAAATTTTTTCGTCCTCATATAAGCCGCCCAGACTCATGCTGCACAGGGAAAACCGAGGGGCAAATCACTCTACAAAAATCTCGTACACCTTTTGTGAAAATCCTATTGTTTTAGCTGAAAATCCCCAGAAATCCTTTTGTTTTGGGGAAAATCTCGTACGCTTTTTGCAAGAGAGAATTACCCCTCGGGGAAAACATGCCACCGACATTTGGAGATATGTCCCTTTTCTTACGAGCGTTGTCTTAAGAACTTTTTGAAAGTTGGCCCCTTTTTGTAACCCAGTGCCCCTCTCCTCCTATTCCCTAACAAATTTTGAAATGTTTAAGATTTCCTCAAGAAAATACTAAATGAATGGAATACAAAATTTCTTTTTCGTGAAACACGAAATCGCATTTTAAGATCAAAGTCCCTACACCTGCAAATTACACAATATTTCAATTATTTGCAATAAAACAGTAGTTTTGCATTTTTTATGACATTTGAGAGAAACACGAGGGAATAAGCTAAATGAGATTCCTACTGCTTCTCAAAATAGCAACTTCAGCTATTTTTTGGTTGCTTTTAGGCTTCTAAGCTGCTCGTTTCGCAGCTGTGACATTCCGATTGAGCAATTTCAGTGGTGCATTTAGCAAGCGAGGTTTTTTCATGCTCAGTTTAAATTTGGATTTGAATACAATAAAAACGTATAAGAGCAACGTGAAAGGAAAACGAGGCGTTTCACCAGAGTTATCAGGTTTTCATAATCCTCCACACCAATTCATTTATGGATATAGCTAAATTAAGCCAAATCAAGATCGAAGATAATTGATTTGGCCTGTGACGCAGGCTAGAGAAAGCTTTTATTAACTGACCAACCCGTGCTATAGTGTTGGGAAGATTTCTTTGAGTCCCATGATACTTACTAAGAAAATGATGATTATGCCTTCTTATAATATACTGGAAGCAGGGGTGTAGAGCAAGGGGGGCTCAGGGGGGCTAAGCCCCCCTTGTTGATGCCGAAAATTGGCAGATCACTACTTTTGCTATTGTTTTTCGCAACATTTTGGGCAAGAGCCCCCCTTGTTATTTTGATAGCACTACACCACTGACTGGAAGCCATTGACGATTCAAATATATTGAGAATATGTCATGTTGGGAAGAAAAGAATTCACTTGAATCCTGGTTACGATAAAATTTTAAAGTGCATCAACGTTAAGGTCTCAGCCATATATCATCAAGTTCGAAAAAAGCCAATTTTTGTAAATTTGGCTTAGAAGCATCTTTATCGTCAATCCTAGACGTAGCAATAAGACAATTTCTTGTACTATTAACTGTGCCAAGTGCAGAGGTGCATACATACCTTACCTACCTTTGGGCCTGGCAAGCCAGGGCTTCCTTGCCTTCCAACTGGACCTTCACCTCGAAACTGCAAAGGAAAAAAGGAATACAAGCGTGTGTCAAAAGCTATTGTTATAACACATATGCTGGTCTGGATTTATACGTCATTTGCAGGGGTGTGATGCTATGAAAATAACAAAGGGGCCCTCGTTAAAAATGTCTCGAAAAGATAGCGGAAAGTAGGTAAGAGCTTCTATCTGGCACTCAAAAGGGGACTGTTTCTCCTAAGTTTTCCCCTGTTCTACACCTCTGGTCACATAGCAGCCAAGAAATTAATAGTTATTAAAAAATTGTGTACACCGAGTTCAATATTCAAGTCCTCTTTGGCAGTCAATTGAGCTTAGATTTTGTATCTCGGCTTATCGAAAGCTGAAACCCTATTAAGCTAAAGGTTTTAATTGGTCATTTGAAACCCAGCTACGAGTCTAATTTGCGAAAAATTCATAGATTAATTAGAGCCTCTATCTGGAGCATGTACTTTGTGTTGTCCCAAAGTTGAAATTATATAATTTTGTCATCTACGTAAATTCTATTGGAGGTGATATATACAAAAATACCAAACTAAATTTTCGGTATTGCAAAATTTGAGGAAGGCATGGAATAGCGGAAACATAGCATTCTGAAGTGGTTTTTTCGTCCGACATTCTTAAAGATATTCAACTTGTAGATCTAAAATCCTATTTGACTACCTTGAGTCCAGAATCGCAGTATACCGTACTCCCTGTGATGAAGCACTAAAATAACAAGATTTTAAATTAGAAGTAAATCAGTGCAGGAAATATCATTGATTATTTTTATTCTGGCTTATAACTCATATGGCTTTATTCTCAGATTATCTTGTACAAGCTATTCACTTTGCCGTTTTTAGCTGAATGTGATCTGGGTAATGCTGTGCAAATCCAAATTAATTTCTCAAAACATCAGTCGTTAAAGACACTTTTATTGTTACGTCATCCTTTAAAAGGCTTCCTTTGCTCCAAGCTTCTAACGTGGTGTATAGCAGATTTTACTTCTTTTGCAAGAAAACTTGAACTCCCTCAATAGATTTCTAAGGGTTCCTTAACAAAGTTTTGTTCCGCTGACCAATAATTTTCAGTGGGCACTTAAATGTGGCATATTTCTGTTAATGTCTTACTTTAATTAGCTTGAAGCTATCATCAAGAAAATTTTAGATTGATCAATTATTATCATATAAGAATTATTTTGTTACTTCTAGATTTAGAATTAGTTACGCTAAGAGCAATGGCACTCCGAAGTACAATAAGTAAATTGTAATTAAAAGGAATAGTTGCTACAAGCCAGCCAAAAGGCCCATACGCGAGGTGATATCTTTCGTCGACCAAGTCGCCGCTTGAGTGACCTGGCTGCTGTCCTTTCCGTTACATCAAACTGATCATGTGTCTCGGGCCCACTTCCCCTGGCAGCTAGTGTAGATCTGTAAAGTCTCGTTCTGGTTTGCTCTGGGTTCTAAAAAATGACAAATAAGGAATGACAAGAAAATAAATAGGTTATCCGTCATTTTTCTTTAGAGTAAGGAACTGAGTTGCTCTTGCGGTACAGATCAAAATAGTTAATTCACATCATGAATAAAATTATTACAGATTCAAGCTACCAATCCTAGTTTCCAAAAATAAAACTTCTGATTTTCAAAGTGTATTTCAAAGTTATAAGGAGGTCCAGTCACTAACAATACTTATCACAATTTTAATGACGTCATCACCTGCCCCATCTTTTTTTGCCCCAGGCCCCGGAAAAGCTCTCGGCTAGCCCATTGGTAATTAACAAAGATTCTCTTATACTAAACCACCAAAAATTAAGAATCTGAAAACGTATACTGAGCTACGTTTGTCATTATTTGTGCAAACTTGAAGCTTAGTGCGGTGACTCTTGAAACTCTGGAAAACAATGTTTCTACAACAATTGTCTTCGAACGTACTACAATTTTTTAACAAAGTTCCTCTTGAAGATGAGCGAAAAATGACCGATTTTGGAAGCTTTTCACTGTGTTTTTTATTATTCTAGACGCTTAGCTCTGTGATTTTTTTATGCATAAGTGTAAATCGAATGAAAGCATCGCCAGGGTACACAGTGTCGCGATTAAAAGCTTGAATTAATCTTAAAATTCCTTTTTACGGTACACGAAATCTACCATGACACAGTCTACAGAGGACACGGAAACGACAAATCGCTATTCGTCAAGCTTGAAGCTACTAAAAGCACAATTTTAACAGAGTGTAAAGGTTAACCGCAGCCATCCAGTCTGTCGGCAAAAAGTCAGTAAATTCTTTTTTGTTAAAATCGACAGATAGAAGCAGGATATCCAGTCAGGCATGGTCCGTTCTGGTCACTGATCAGTGGTTCTGGTTGGTACCAGGCCCGCCAAGAGGGTCGAGCAAGGGCTGATTGTCCCGAAGAGATATAACAGAGTTCTTAACAACGAGAGTAAAATTCCTCAGTTTAAATGACGTCATAACGGCCCCCATCATTCTTTTCGCCCCAGGCCCTAGAAAAGCTCTCGGAGGATCTGGCTGGTAGTGGCCACTGTAAAAAAAATCACAGGGCCTTGTTGATTCATGCCCTGTGAATACAGCCGGTTTTTCTATTATCGCTACATCCATGTGCTCCTCAAATTTTTGGTTATAAAGCAGAAATTTGAATTGACTGCGATGGCGAAGGGTGCGAAATTTCCGACTGACGTTAAGTAAACTGTAATTTCGTACTTATAGTCTTTTCTTACAGAACCCCAAAATTATACGGTTCGGTTGTTTCTTTCCAGAATTGAGAGAATGTTCGGCATTGGTGTTGGAATGTGACACCCCTGCCCCCATTTATGTGAGACATGCAGAAATAACATATTTTACTATGATGTATATTTGCCAGGAAACGGAAAATTGTTCGAGATTCCGGGTGAAGAAAATATCAAAAAGTTTTGCCTATACCAAAGCGATATCAAAACCGAATGCGAGTGTTTGAAGCAGGGGTAGCTATACCACTTTCACGACCAGAGCTTAACTGAAGTACGAAATGTGCCTCTACTGCAGGACAAGCATTGCTCTTCAGCATATCGCTACATCAAAAACCTTAATATGATATGAAGCATTTAATGTGTATCTCTGGTTAGTCAGTATTGGCAGCCTTCTCTAAACTGAAAGTTCTAGTTTAACACCAACATTTTCTTTTCCCTGAACCACAGTATTTTCTATTTAGGTTTCTTACGGTTTTTAACAGTGAACATACTTTATCAGTTATCATTTTGTCTCTGGATGTATCATCCTTTATATATATATGATTAAGAAATTATGCAGCGATATGAAACCGTTTTAGCACAGAAAACTGAGTTCCAAGCAATTTGGTTATGTAACATCAATCTGTAGCATAGCTTCGCAACAAATACAAAGAAATACTTTGTGAGTGAGAAATACTGTGAATCCTCGAATTAGCCCCCTGTGGGCTTATTTATTTTTGATATTTTTGGATGGGGGCTTATTCGAGGGGGGCTTATACGAGGGGGGGTTATTGTAGACATTAAGAAGACATTATTAAAAGACCTCGTTTATTTTAGTAGGAATTTCTTTATGAGTATTTAATTAATTACTACCAAAAGTATGAATTTGTTGTGGTAATTCAATATAACGCCAAAGACAACCTCAGATGGCAAAAATCATCAAATGGAGGGGTCCAATTCGAGAATTTACGGTAGCAGTGGGGGCTTATTCGAGGAGGGAGGGTTGCTTATTGGCAATTTGTAGTTCTAGGGTGGGGGCTTATTCAGGGGGGGGCTTTTTCAAGGGGGGGGGGCAATTTGAGGATTCACGGTACTCATATGAGCAGCTGATGAAGAGTTGGACGATATAGGCAACCTTTATTTTTCCAAGCCATTTCCCATTCTTATCTCACCCTTCATATGTTGTGTCAAAGCGTTTCTAACTAAATACTCAACGTGTTATAGTTATTAAGCAATCGAAGAAAGTTGCTTATTTTCAACACTTTTGGCGCTCTGGTGTTCACCTATCTTAGCTTAGAACATAATGTTGACAAGTTCACAGGGAAATTGTGTATGTTTGTATCACATGTGTTTTTCTGTTTACACATTACACACTTTACAAACAGAATATATCTATTTCGGTGCATTCGAGTGCCAGCTGGGGTTGTTTAAATGCAAGTCGTGAAGAATTCACATTCAGATAGCTACCATCTGTCAGCCAAACCACACTACAGTAAAATTATGTTGATATTTGTGAGAAATGCAACTTGAAGCTCGACGAAATAAGCTGTAAACTCCTATACAAACCTCATTCTTGCTGTCTTCACTCTTTAGTCCAATACAATGCAGCGACAAGAACACTAAAATAAAGAAGGAAAGTTCCATGATTTTCTATTTACTCCTTATCTGCTGCTTATGCGAAGCCTTGTAATTTATTGAGGGGCTTGAAACCACCTCAAAACAGATTTACCCGTCGGCACACACGAAAATAATTAATTGATTCTCAACATGAATAAGACATAATCCATAATGGTTTTTTCAATTTCAAAACAAAGTGCTTCACGATAAAAGTAAATGCATTGAACCAAGTCATCCGACTATTTTGTGTTTTGCTCGCAGCTCCCAGCCCCGTGACCTTCACGGAAGGAATGTTTTGAGGCCATGAGGATAAGATGGTACAATAACACGCAACAAAAGATAGAACAACCACAATTATCTTCATAAATGCGAAAAATATAAATATTTCAGTATGAAAAAAATTCCGAAATCCACTGCAACTAAACAACTTGATTTCTCGTTAACAATTGCAGTTGGGACATTCTGGTTGCCGAGTCTTCCTACAGAATAGCCCTTGTAAAAAAGTTATGGATTTGGCCATCTGTTAGAGAGAGGAATTTATTAGAGAGAGACGTTTATAACTGAAGGCTTTACATCTATGTTTGTAGGGAGAATAGTAATACTTATCAGAGGGAGGCATTTTTTGGAGATGACCGTTTATTAGAGAGAGGTGTTTTTTAGAGAAAGGCATTTATTGGAGAGATCCAATTGTTAGATAGAAGCGTTTATTAGAATGAGTGGTGTTAATTAGAGAGAGGCGTTTATGAGAGGGAGGCTTTATTGAAAAGATCTGTTTATAAAAGAGAGAAGAGATAGGTATTTTTTAGAGCGAGTGGCGTTTATAAGAGAGAAGAATTTATTAGAGATATCCGTTTACAGCAGAGAGATGCATTTATTAGAGAGAGAGAGAGAGAGAGGCTCCTATTAGAGAGAGAGACCGATATTAATTGGAGTGAGGCATTAATTGGAAAGATGCGTTTATGAGAGATAATGAAAAACTTTAATTTAGTTGTTGCCAAGGCCAAACTTTCCAAAAGTCTGTATATGTTAAATCTATACGTGAAAATGTAAATACAACAAAGGGAGGATCTTAGTTGCGAAAAAGGAATCCAACTACTGAGGTACCACATATACCTGCTCCGTTACAGTGCGAAGTTTTTCCGTATAAATGATGATTATGGCAGATTGTTGATTTGAATAGCAGATGGCAGATGGCAGCTTGTTGATTTGAATATTCCTGAATCATACAATGTCTTAGGCCTGGTCCAAACGTCGCACTTCTCATGTGCCGAACCTAACTCTGTTTGGAACGACACTTGAGCATGGTTAGCGCGACTCCAGTTTCCAACGTCGAACTTAATTATGTCGCGCCAAATGGATTTTAGGAATGTTACATGAAGTATCTTGGTTAAGGCTCGCAATCTCAAATATTTGTTTGAAACGCATGCGCCCTCCAAGAAAGAAATTAATTCTGGGAAGGAAAATAAACTAAATATAATTATGCATTGAGTTCGGTACATGACAAATTCGACGCTTGAAACCGTGCCGTGCTGGAGTCGTGCAGCTCGGCAAGCTCTGCCGATCCAAACTAGTCTGTCGTACCAAATTGATTCAAACGTCGCGCCCATAGAAATAGTAGCGCTAGAATGCGTGGTCTATCACGTGACGCGTGCGAACTATGGGGAACCAAGATGGTAGCAACAAGTTGGCAAAAAATTACGCGGGAAATCACAGCGGACAGTATTGCCTACCCCTATCACCGTATACGCGCTTGAATTTCTAATTAATCTAATACACTGTTGCTAACATTGAATGATAATCAAACTTTGATAAAAGAAATGGTAGTGTCGTGTGCTGCTTTCGGCTGTCAGAATCGATGGATTCCTAAAAAAGACTTGCTTCCCGGTCAAACAAACATATCGTTCCACAAGTAAGTAGGCCCGTTGTGTGTACTGTGTTTCTCGTTATTCTTGATAGGAATTTGAATAGAAAAAAATATCTTCCAAAAATTCTATGATACTTTTATTAAGTATTCGAAATGCTTTTCATCATTGATATTTCTACTATGTTTACAAACAGACAGTAGGTACATAAAATCGGGAGGGCAGTAAACCAAATTAAAAGTCATCTTATGGTTCGTGGCATTAATTCTTCAAAGAGGGTGCAATCGGGTGAATTTACTCGGCTGCCGAAGATAAATTCTCCTACAATTTCTTATATTGTAGCAAAATTTCCTAACAAACTTTGGTGGAAGGGGGGACATATAACGTATTCTTATGTATTTCAGTAAATACATACTTAAATATGTGGAACCATATATCTCTTTATTTAATGAGTTTATGAGGAAACGCATAGATGGGTTAAAATTTCCATTCCTATTCTGTTTTTTATACTGGATTATAATAAGCAGGGGTGGGGGAGGGGGGTGGTTGCGAAAAACTACTGATCTGAAGAAATACCATGGTATGTCCCTATTGGGTACTTTTTAACAAATAACCTAAATGCAAAAATATTGAAACAGCTCATAAGTGAAGCAATTAACCTCCTTGCTGAGAGAGAAGCTGAAGTTCATGCAGTCATCTTTGATTGTGCTCTTAAGAATGTTAGCATGGCTGAGAAACTTGGATGTGATATAAAAAACCTTTGCACATTATTTCCATATCCATCAAACCCCAGTGAAAATATCTTTGTAATTCTTGATACCTGCCACATGCTGAAGCTTGCAAGAAATGCCTTTTCCACCATCAAGATCTTTTGTACCCCAGGTGGACAAAGAATATCTTGGGAGTATGTTCTTGCACTCTATAGAACACAAAAAAATGACATACTATCAGTGTTGCAGCACAGACTTGCAATAACTTTTTTGAGAAATCTGGGGTTGCAAGAATTTAAGGACAGCAAAGCAAGCAGCGACTTCGTCCTTCTGATGAACAATATCTTTGATATGCTTAACTCAAAAAGCAAATTTGGACAGCATACAAAGAGACCTGAAAACAACAACGCTGTTTACATATATTAATTTGAACTGGAAAAAGTTGATTCAAAACTTCGAAATTTTGTCACAGACCTAACGGCTGGGATTTGATTTCAAGGTAAATTAAGCTAATTTTGTTATTAGTCTCGAATGCATCAAGTTTCAACAAGACTTTCTAGACACTGAATCACGCTGTTGTTGACAATTTTGTTTACCAGTAACTTCCGCGTTTCTGCTAGGCCAAAAACTTGAGGAATTTATTAAGTACTACTCAAAAATAATATCGCATACCCATTTATAATGGTTGAAGGTTGTCTAATGATAATGAACTTGAAATTGAATAAATCCATAATTAATTACTAAGCTGCCTTAGGAAAGGAAATTTGGTAAAGAAAGGAGTCCAAACAAAATACGAAGAAAAACCGTAAAACGACTCGCTGTGGCGTAAGGAAAAAGTAAAAATGTCCCTTACCTTCTTCTACTTTGGCGCTGGAAAGTTTTCATGAAATTTTTCTCCTCATATCACCACGCAGAATCGGTAAGTCCATAACTTCTTATTTGTGTACAACGTACGCCACAAAAGCTTTTTGCCAACATGTTGCTACCATCTTTGCTGCCCATTGGTATTACGCAGAAAACAATAGGCGAACAATAGAGCGCGCATTCTAGCTCTACTATTTCTATGGTCGCGCCCTTCATGTACTTAATTCTCGAGTTAGGTTCAGCACATGAGAAGCGTGACGTTTGAACCAGGCCTAACCTCCCGCCTTAATGGGTTAAGAGTCTGAACGCAGGCTACGCAAAGTGCAATCAATGCCGCAGAAAGGGCGGATTTCAGGGCAGTTGCAGAATAAATCTAGCTGGAAAATATTCTTGTTCTTCCCTTAGTAACACAGTCCCAGATAATACGCCCCTGAATAGTAACAGATTGACTCTGCCCTCTGCATCTGCTCCTGAATACTCGCCTTCAAATTAAGAACTTGACCAAATGTCTTTATAGTTGTATTTGAACATACAAGTTTGTGTGGGATCGCTTCACGGCACAAGAGAGATAAAACGTTTGCGTTCATTACCATGCAGTGAATATGCGCAATACTTGCAACGCAAATGACAATAGACACCTATTGAGCTAGACAGATATTGCGCAAAAATGCGTTGTGAGATTTGTTTAATTCCTGCGTGGTGAGCTTTGGCGTCTCCAATTCGACACATAAGTTGTCAGAGACGCAAAAACATTGCACACCTACAAACCTGGTTTGGAGGAAGGTTTTAGTCAAAAATTGAGAAAGTTTTGTTGACAAAAATTAAATTTTATATTGTTAGTATAGTTCTTAAAAGTGTGGAAAATAAATCATCAATAAATACGTAGAACCATTAAAAATCATGTCAACTGTATGCAGCTGGTGGAGTTATATTCCAAAACTATATCAAAGAAGAAAAATCAGGAAAAATGAGTTTTGTAAAGCTTTAATTTGAAGTGCAGAAAAAATTTAACAGCAAATTCTTTGCACAGTCTTAGGAAAATAGTAAGGTTTTAGCAATGATTGAGGATTCAAGCAAGACAACTGACATTTCACTGCATGGGAAGCTGAGGATAGAAATCATACAAGTAAACATAATGATAGGCTATTATGTGTAATAACCTTCTAATTATTTTTTTAAAAATATAGAGTAATTTAGTGTAGAACGTATGAACATTCTCAAAGGAACATCGAAACATAAAATGATGGTTTTTCTGGCACAACACATCAAATCCCAACAAATAGCTCTTAAAATATGGCCATTTATATTTGAAGTGAAATGACATGGTGGAAGTTACTATAAAGACTTTAGTGACAGTGAGGAAAAATTTTGAGAAATGTACTGGGTATCAGCTCTTTTGCATCAGAGTAAACAATTAGGATACTATACACTGGAGTGGTCCACCGTTGATTAAGCTGGTCGTATAGGAGAGGCAGCACTTGATGGCAGGTTTGTCACACGTGCAAATAAGACAGAGTCGGTAGTCATTGCTAGATTAAAGAGAGAAAAACGCCCGGCTGCCTTTTTTCTTACCATTTAACAATCCAGACATTCAATGACATTATTAGGTGAACTCATTTGGACATGTTTTGTTAGCTTGTTAGCCTGTACATTAAAATCAAGAAATAAATATCTTGTGGGTGTCCCAGAAAAGTACTTCTGTTTGCAAAATCATCAAAATTTTATCGTAATGCAGATCTTCAAATCCCATTATCTTGCTAGTAGATCAAAAACAAATTATTTTTGCAGGCAAAGCTCATCTTTTAATTTGTTTTTAAATTAAGTGAATCATTTTGGCGATTTTGCAAACGGGAGTATATTTTTGGACACCCAGTAGCTTTTAGATGTTCTTACCTTGAACCCTTTGTTTTCCCCTTCCCTTCCCCAATACATTTCAATTTATGGATCGCTTCCTTAAGACTGTGGCCTCCCTTGTATTAAAACCTGGTTAGAGTCCTGACACTTGCGCTCAAACAGACAAATGATATGGGTAGATCCCTAATTACAGGCTTTTGTCTGGCTCACAAAACACCGTCGAGCCATTTTCGAGTAATTATATATTGTGTTAAAATGAGGCAGGTTGAGAGCATAGATTCAAGTTTGGAGGAAGGTCAACAACTTTTTGCAGCTCTGCAAGTTGTTTTTGTTTTTTTCCCAGTGACAGAAGATACTGTAGTAGATAGTCTGTTTAGCAGAACGTGTATTTCTTAAGCCTCTCAGAAATGACACCTGCACAACGACGCCTACACAACCGTGAACGCCCGTGGAAACGTCACAAAACCTCTTGTCACAAACTTCACACCGAACTTCAAGGGGGCGAGAGGCTTATAGAAATGCTTTTCTTTTTCAATAAAAGCAAGTATAATTTACTGAAAAAGCGGGGGCTGCGCACCCTGGCATCCATACAGCGTGTGCCAAATTTTGCCATTTCAGCTTTTCCCTTTAACCTTATTTTTCTTTGCACGCAGTCCATGTATATCAGTCAGATTATTTGGTTGTTTGGCATCTTTTATGAAGACCTTTTAACAGAACCCCGTTTATAATTGCAATTTCGCAAAAACCATACCGTGGGTCACTTTCAAATTCTGCCCGCCAAAACGTCTGTTGCGTGTGGTCAAAAGCCCAAAAACAGAGAAAAATATTTGTTGACGATGCTCAAATTTCCAAGCGTACAAACATTTTTCCGACTTGGAGTTCTTGTGTTATTCTTTCCTGGCTTCACTTATATTGACATATGGCAATGTTTGGTTTTCTCGAAATTCTGTTGGTTCATTAGGCCAAACTTGAGGATATATTTAAACAACTTGGAATAAGTAAACTATCACGCTCGATATTGGTCCAAAATCTGAAAATAATCGGATAATAAAGTAAAGGCCGATTTCCACTAGATGAATTCTTTCGCACGAATTGAATTTTTGCCAATGTGAGCATGCGTGGTGTAATGTTCTCAGATTATGCAGCGAAAAAATTCGATTCGCAGAAAGTAGATCACGGTCCTACTCTATCGCTTCGAATATTTGTTCGATTCGCGCGAAAGAATTCGCCTAGTGGAAATCGGCTTTCAGTTAAGTTGAAGCAGTTATCTAGGTGGGTGCTAGTAGCTAAGGGCCACTGGAATGAAATTCGTAGGGGGTATAGGAGGGTGGCTGTGAGAAAAACAAGGCCTCTGTGCTTCTTGTTAGATGTTAGCCAATTATTGTAGGGTTGTACCCCTCAGGTCTCGCTGCTTCCGAGTATTATGAAAGCTCAATTTCCAAGTCCAGAGTCAACTCAACCAGGCCTGTATTCGGCATCAAACACTTGCGAGGCAAGCTAAGTCGGAAAGGAGGGTGTCTTAAGCATTTTCGTTTTAGGAGGATGTCTTAAGCATGCAAAACTGAATGTGGTTTTACAAAGAAATGGAAGCGATGAGATCAATTGCGTATCACTGGATATATTTTCATAGACGTCGGAACATTGGGGTCAACCATCTCTTTTACCCTTTGATAGGAGGGGCGAGGGTATCAAAGTGCCCTTTTCAACAAATAGCCCTTGACATCAGCATTTTGTGATTATCAAAGAGATTCATCTCTCGAAACTTGGTGTGCCAAAATTAAGGCTTTTTCTAAGATGCCTAAAGAAATTCGAGACAGAACTATGAAAAATCAGTAGAAGCTGGGAATGATTTATCAAATGCCCCCTTACTGAAGCCTGCCCCTTGCCCCTCTCTTCATTCCGGCGTCCCTGTATATTTGGGGGCGTGTATGGGAAAAGGAGTATGTCTACACTACTGCAATAGCTAGTGCTCTATGTCATCCTACTGAAGGCAGCAAATCTGTGTAGAACGAAATGCTTATACTACTGTTTAAGAACTACTAACAAATTGCTGCCAAGTTTTTGAAAAAATAATGTGATTTTGTTAAGCTTTCCATGGTGTGACTAAGCATGTGTGTTAAATTTGTCATGCAACTGTATCGAATAGAAACATGTCATTGAAAAATCAAGTCTCTGGTTTGCGAGAATAAAGCCAATATGTTGTTTCGTTTAGGCCAACAGGTTCGAGCAATTTATTTTCAATAGGCTGGTCGAACCAAACACGAGAGCGATAATGCAGAAAAAAAGCATTAATGTTTTATCTGGTACCTTTTTCTCATCTTCATAATATACCTCCAAATAGAATTTTAACGTTATATATAACAGTTACACAACCCAAGGTATTCAAAGCTTTTTATGTACAGTAGATTACATCAAATTTGATATATTCAAGTTCAACTACAAACACTGTCTTTACCAACGTTCAACAATGCTAAAGAAGGCTAGATTCGAAGTAAACTGCACCTCGAGAGATACTGAAGTTGCTTAAGTCATCTGTCAAGCAATAGATGTTTAATCAATAAGAATCATACAGCTTGAACGCTTACTAATTGGCCAGTGTTTTATTGACAGGTGGCTTAAGCAATATTGCCATTACTGGGAAGAAATTTTGTAGCAATCTACGTTACATTAATACTAATCCAGATACCTGTTAATGTCCTTGGATAGTGTATTTTTTATTTATTTTTATTTATGTTGATTATGTAAATTTATTCATATTTATCTTTAGAGTTTGATTAAACTAGCATAAGAACAGGTCATACAAAGATTTATAAAGCTAGGACCCCAAAGAACATAAAGGGTGGGGGCGTTTAAAAATCTGCTTGCTCGTGGGTGTCTCCTAAAGCGGGGGGGGGGCTGGCAAGGAGCGGATAGTGTAATACAACCATGATCGACGAAAGTGGTCCGAGTTAACGAATGTGGTCCGAGTTAGAACTATCGGGGGCTAAGATGTATTGGGGGTAGGCTCGAGAGGTACGCAGAAAATTTTAAGGGGACTCTAGTTATCAGGATTATTCCGCGCTCATTTTCAAACGCTCCTCGCATTTAATTCTGGCTTTCCAGGTTTTCCTCAAAAGACCCATCTTTGATTCGTTTTGCGAAATTTTAGAGTCAACCTTTGGGCACCTTTTTTCTTTGTATTTATCAAGTTTTCAAAATGGGAATTGCAAAATCGTTCTGGCTGCATTTTATATCGTAATACAACGGCTTGTGGCTGTATACCGAGGAGTCTTAGGGATACCGTGAGAAAGCTATAATTTTTGCACATTGTGTTCGACTCAACAAGGCCTTTCCCCGCAATGCATATCTGCTGTACTGTGGTGTTGCTTGTTGCAAGACAAAAGTTTAAAGTTTCGAGAGCTGAACAGGTGTTTTCCAGAGCAAAAAAAGTTCTTAAAAGCTGGATCTGCGACGTGAAGAGCAAGCCTTCTTAAATGAATTTCTATATCAGTTCGCCTTACCATTTCATCAAGAGTTCTCGTTTATTCTAAGAATTTGCTTTGTGTACAGATTAAATCAAGGCTCATTAAATCGGTACAACCAAATTTCTTATTTTGCATTTTTCAAGGAGAGTGAAGTCTGCTCTTCTTCGATGCAAATGGGCATGCCCATACATTTGAAAGTTTAGAATCCCAAAGTATCCAAGACAGTTGACTTAACAACCGGTCTTCAACAAATGCAGACCCTATCTTGTGTTTGTTTTTAAAGCTCATGTCCCGACTTACCCTGGGTACCAGTGCCTCATTGAAAGGGCTGGGCGACAAGGGGCCTTATCACTAACGCTTTCACTGACCTGCTCTTTCACTAAGGCTTTGACACACATGGCAGTCCCGATAAACAAAGAGATATACAATTATCGTCGAAAACTTGTTAGCAGAAATGTAGAGACAGGAGCAGAAATGTAGAGACAAGCCTTTTAAATGCTGAAGCGTAACCCCTTTCTACATCTTGCTTTTGTTATTTGAGAATTTTTCCTGTGGCTCCTTGTTCTTTCATAAAAATAAATCCCCGCTTTTCGGCCTCAGTCATTCCTGATGAGCAAATCTTCAATAATTTCTAACTTTTTTACCTTAAAAACAGCTGCAGAGATCACTGGCAATGCTAATTCTATGAGGCCTCAAGTTTGACTGTTATTTCTTTATGTGAAAAATTCAGTAAAGCTTGGCAATTTAAAGCTTTTTATACTGACAAGTGAAGTGAAATTGAATGTGAAAATCTAGCGCAAAAGGAGCTAAGTGTAAGATTATTCCTGACACTTCAACACGCATGCCTCGAAGTTTGGTCTTTGTTGTACTAGTTAATACCAAAATTAGCAGCGCTTGTAAACAACGAAGTGTGAATAAAGAACAAAAGCATCTTTCAAGTTTCCACCACTAGTAACTGAAACTGGCTGTCCGTGGCAACGCAAAGTAAGTTTTGAAAGAGCTCAAAGAGCTGCATGAAAATGTATCATCATGTAAAACCCCATGTACGCTAGTCACCTTTGTGTACTTAGTATAAACCAGCGGCACTGAGGCTCCTTTTAAGGATGATGTCACTGCAAGCTGCAAATGTTCTGTCAATGTTCTGTGTGTCCGTAGCACAAGTGAAGAATGAGTAAATGGAACCTTTTTCGTGGTGCTTTCTAAAACGTTCTTCGAATTTATTTTTGATAAACAAGCCAGTGTTTCTGTGATTGCAGGGAGTGGAGATAAAATCTGAGAAATGCTTAGCAAGCTCCCAGAGATTTCGTTTCTCTTGAAAGATGTCCGCCTTGTTGAAAAACAAGATCACGCTCGCGTCCATTAAAGCTTTAGTTGTGCAAATCGAGGTGAAGACATCTAAACTCTCATTCATGCCAAAAAAGTTGCTCAGATCGACTACAAAGAATATCGCCTTGACGTCATCAAACAAATGTATCCATTTGCGTCGTTCCGTTTTCTGTCCTCCGACATCAACCATACAGAAATTGGTCTTCTTGTACCGAAATTTGGTGAACACTACTCCAGTTGTCTGTACACGTATACGCAGAATGTCCTCCGTGTTCGGTATGAATTTCTTGTAAGTCGAGACGGTATCCATCCGGTCTAAAAAGTAGACCAGGAATGCTCCACATTGCTCTCCATGTCCGTATTTTGAAAGGATATCTGTGCCCTGGTAAGATCGAAAGAATGGTAATACCTTTGTAAATACATCTTGGTCTTCTTTTATTGCTTGTGCAGGGACGTTTGTTAAATCCGTTATTTTCTGAATAACTTCTTGCGTCTTCAAGTCGCACGCATAGCTCGGTAACTTTGATAACAGTTCATTTGCAGAAACAACAAATGTAAACAAAAACGAATCACTGTGAATCTCGTGTTGATCATCAGCAAAACCCCCAAGGTGAATGATTTTCATTTGCTTAAGAATCGTGCTTTTACCTGAACAAGATGTTCCAAGGCATAATATTTTCATGTGCCCTTTTCCTTTTTTCTGTCCCTGGCAATGCTTCTTTCGATTTCATTGTTTGTCTTTCGCGCTGAGTATACGGTGGTTTTTTGCCTTTTCTCTGCATCTGCGGAGAAATGAATTTCTTCAGGACGCTGTTTCACAGAAGATGTGGTACCCATTACAGCAGAGTTAACAGGATCGCTAGTAATACATTATATTTCAACGCAATTTGAGTTCATGTGATAATTTACGTTGTGCTTTCTCGTTGATCTTCCAAGCAATATGCAGCAGCTTTGTAAACACTAAACCAACGAATCAGAAAGAATTTCATCCAATTGATGTCTTTTTGTTTGCCAACTCTTTCTTTGGCAAATCGATACGTGTGTGTATTTGCAATTCACTAGCCTGTCCTCAACACTGCACCTTGAACTTACTCCTTTTAAAATGTTCGCAATTATTCTTTGCACGCAGTGAATTATCTATTCGCTCCTGCCTACACGAAATTTTTCATCACCCGTCGTTTCACCTTTGTCAATAGCGTTTGCTGAACACTGTGCCTACACATAGACTGACATTTGAAAATGTTATTCATACATTTAACTCCAGAGAACCTTGCGCAGGTGTTTCTCGCAGATCACGTGTTCAGCTTTCGAGGCTCTCTGTTATGGCTGATGTTTGTTTCCAATTCAACTCGGTTTAACGTTGAGACTGAGTCAAGTTTCGAGGACAATCATCGGACCAAATCTTACTCTCCTGTTGTACATGCAGTTCTGCTGAGAATATATACATAACTTAAAGCCTTGAAGTTAATTTCTCTTGCTGATTGCAATGAGCAAAACGAATTGTAGCTTGCGTAACCTGTTGTTAAAGCAACAGCAAACACACAGCTGTTAGCCATTTACAGCTAACTGGACAAATGATTTAAAATAAGCAAAAAAAACCAGAAATAAATGTTTGTTCGAGTGAGCTCAAATGTGGAAAGCAGAGCTTATTCAAGAATTGCAACCAGGTAGGAAAAGACTTCCCCGAATAAGTCATTTTTTAAGTCTGAATCGGACTTACACCACGAGTCACAAATTTCGCTGTTCATTTGAACTGACGCTGAATCTGTTTTAGCATCTGCGAAGTAAGGCAGTAGCGAAACAGAGGCTCATAAAGAAAGCTAAGTCCAAATCTGTTTCAGTCGTTATACGAAAAACAGTATTCTCGCTCTCATCATAGGTCATGATCACTCCAAAGCCTAACCGAGTCTGAAAGTTGCGATATCAATACTGCAAGGTGCACTTCAGCTTCTTCCAGGTAGCGAGAGTGAACATGCCCGCGAAAATGTATAAACAAACATAGCAGCTTCATTGCGGCCAAGTTTGATGTGATGGAAAACTACTACAAGTCATCCAGGAGGAAACCGTTCTGGATCAAAAAATTACAAGCAATTAAAAATTAAACATTAAATTACTAATTCAGGATTCAGCAAGCGTAGGTGACTAGCCCCAACCTTAAATATCTGATCTCTGTCTGGGAGAACGCAATAACTGGCGCCAAGTAAATTATAAAAATGCGGTACTATCTAAAACCAGGAAATTTATAATCCTCTATCATAAATTATTATCATAAATTATCATAAATGATAAAAAGCCCAAATTCGAGGTGAATAGCCTGCATAGTTTACGTGGACAATTTTCAAAGGTCCTTTTTCTATCGCTTTCAAAAATCGGGTAACAGTTTCAAATATGACTCTCTTCCGTAGAGAACACTTTTAACTTTGACAAAACAAAGTTACAGCCATTTCTTAGTCTATAATTGTTCGTGGAAATAGATTTTAAGTTGTGCGTGGTTACAAAGTGCTTGTCTTCGAAGTGACTCTTGAAGCCCTTTCATGGATTTCATTTGTGTTATTATTTAGTTCCCTGCCATGGAACATCAAAGTCAAAGGAGAGTATTGGATCAGAAATTTATAAAAGCATTCATTACGGATCTCAATTTGTGCTAATAAACGAAGAAAGTAAATATTCGAAAAATGGTATGTACAATTCTACATCTTTATCATGTGATTCGAATGTGCGTTTAACATCTAAGCTGATTGTTCTGTGCAGTTTATCTATATATCCAATTTTAGATATATATATATATCCCTTTTTAGATATATATATCCAATTTTAGTTGTCATGGACAGGCCTAGTTTCCCATAATGCTAGGAATTGACACTTTATTGGTTATATTAGCACGATCACCTTCAAACCAATCTACAAAGTACAAAAGTCATTTTGAGACTGGAGATTACGTCTTCTAATTGTTAACCGCTTGCGTAAATTGTAATGTCTTCATTAAAATAGCAAACTTGAGTGTTTGTGATAGAAACTATAAGATAATTGACATAGACCCTGATATTAAAAAGGATAGGACTTAATAATGACTCTTGCGAAACACCATTAGAAGCGTCTTTAAAAGAGTTCATTACACCGCTATATTCGACACTCTGGAATCATAAACAAAGGAATCAGCTGCTCAAAGGAATCATAACAAAAGCCAAAGGCGTGCAGCTTTGGAATGAGCAAATCACGTTGAATGTATTGTAGTCAATGTTTTGTGACAGGTCAGTCACCAAAATTCGTCATTTTTGATCAACGGCAATATTTCGTTGTAGAAGTATAAACACAGAGATATAATGTGTGTTGCATTTACGAGACTGATTAAGAATAATCTAATTACGCGTTTCTACAAAAATGCTTTCGGTAAAAAACGAAAAAACTTTAATGACGTAGAGTGTTCCCCCTAGCTCGTACCCACCATAAGTTGAGTGAAACTGTCGGACCTGTCCCTACTGTATCAATTAAAAGTACTTAATGTGACAGAATAACGGAAAAATCAAAGGGAAGCTACTCGGCTAGAATTTCCATATAATTTATATGACGAGAGCCCTAATCGGGCTTATTGTCGTTATAGATAGTGAAAATACTGATTAATCGTTGCGAAAAGTGACAGATGGATATTGTTATGATAAACAATGTAAAGACGGACTTCCAATGGTACCGTACATCTTGAATGCTTCTTGGCTGCCTCGATTTGAATTTTTACAAAAATGTTTGGCTAAGTCAAAATTAAACGATTTTCACGCACTGCTTCATATTGTCTCTGGTATAGTAACAATCAAACTATTTGTTGTCAAATCACAAAATATCTGCACGAATAATTTATATAAGAATAATTTTCGTCGTTGATTTGTAACCTATCATTTCATTAATCATCAATACAGCTTGTTCAATTAATAGTTCAAGAACTTTCATTTTTTTGCACATCAATATCTGGGAAAGGTTTAAAGATGTGATTTACAGTACACATGCTCTGTTGCGCAAGAGCTCCTCTAACAGCTTTTTAAAATATCCTTGAAGGTGTCTTATAAAGAAAATTGAACTGCATTAAAAACTGTTCATGACGTCACAAGAACTTTGAGATTTACTAGAGTTGGACTAAGTTTGCCTTGAATTTTATCATTGAACAATGGGTTGGTCAGTTTCTGAAACTCCCTTTCGAAAGTTCAATGCTCAATCAACAGTCTTTAGATTTACAAAGGAATAAAACTTCATGCAATATTCACCAATGTTAAAAAAATGATCGAGAATATCAGATGTTTGTCCAGCTGCCAGCTTCCCACCTAATGTTGTAATAAAATGCAAATCACACGTGTACGAGTTTTCAGATGAATAGCTATTTCTTTTATCTTATGATACACATGTCATGTTAGGCACAGCTTGAAAGATGCGAGGTTTTTTTGAACAAAAATCAAAACATTGCCATCTCAGCTATTTTGAGATATGATTTCAGCATTTGATTATAGGAAGCTCATTTTAGCACACTTCCAACTGGCTGGGCTAGAAATTTCTTCGAAATCTACAGTGGTATAATTTATCAAGGGAAATTGTGTCAAATGGTTTAAAAGCTTTACTATAGATGCATCTATAAAGACATTAAATCGATTTATATACGGCAGTGAAGTGACAGTTTAGGACTAATTTGGGGGTGAAGCTGTTATTTATTGTGGAAAATGTTTCTTAAAATCCCAACAAAGTGAAGATTGTCCAAGAGATATACCATGATATTCTTATCCGATAGATTCTAAGCACCACAGATAAATGGTGCGGACATAATGGCAAGATCTAAAAAATAAATCTTTATTCGAAGATTACTCCTGATACAAGCCTTAGCCATGAATCAAAAACTGCTGATATTATGTGATTTTATTTTGCAAATAGCAACAAAATAACTTTATCATAGGAATTATAGATAAAAGAAAGATACAAAAATTGTTACCTTCAAAAGATGGCGTGTGGAGAAGAACTATTTCTAGAAATATACCGTCACAAAGAAGTTTTGCCACTTCACTAGTGGAATAGCTAAATTCCTTTCATAAGCAAGTCTTAGCTAAATTTTATTAGGGATCACGAGTCCTGTTCCTAGATCGAATTTTAAAACTACTGAACATCGTTACGTAACATATAACATGTAGATACATACTAAAAGTCAGTTGATGAAGCATTTTGTGTAAAAGATTTTTCGTTAAGATAGCCCCTGGCATGGAGAATTCCCCATTCGATTATCGTAAATCCTTTGGTACGCCCTCAGAAGATCCCTAATTTCGTAATAACCCACATAAAAGCCTTTTCTGAACTTCATTAAAAAACCCTCCAGCTTGTAAACAACTAAACTGCTGTAAAAACATCTTTAACACAAACGTCCAATGATTTTCTCAAAACGTTTTTCGTAACTAAGTTAGGACAAGGGTGTAGGGAGAGAGGGGCAAGCTGTCAAGGATTTACGAGAGGAGGTACCATAAATGCCAAGCATGGGTTACAGGGGGAGCATGAAGCTTACTTTTCAATTGATACGATTGCAACACGTAGTCTCAAAACGGGAAGGAACAGAAGTAATCTAAATACGTTTTGACTGTATCAAAAAATTAAATGTAATCATCAGCTAGGGGCGGTATATTGCTTGACGCGTTGCACTACAGAGAGCCAAGCAAAACTTTCTCACGAACGAATTATTACCACGATCTTGGTCACGACTGGTCCTTCAGTATTTCCACAAACGTAAACGGAAAGTGTCCTTTGTTGCCATTCTCCAGGTTTTCGCCTTCCCATATTCCGTTTTCATTGCGTCTAAGCACTCTGATTCGATCGTCTTTCTACGAAGTAAACATAAAGCGCGTTAAATGGAGTAATTATGACGACAGCTATTTACCAGTCTATTGAGGAGTGCTCGAGGCTGTGCAGATATGGCGGCAAATGCTTTGGCATGTGGAACAGAATGGTTAAATAATTATTTGGTACCGCAAATTTTAAGATGGCACGAAGTAGCGGAAACATAGCCAACAGAATGGTTCCTGGCTGTTTCTTATTTAGCGCTAAACTTGAAATAGCAATTTATCGATGGAACATAAAAGGCAGAGTTTTCGTAGAACTAAAATAAAAACATCAATTTTGACAGTTTGAGCCATCTACTATCTCATCTAGCCCAGTAAAGCCAGTTTGCTACAGATGATTTTTGGAGGGCGCTTATCAAAGTCTTGAAACTTTTCTTAACAAGAAAAGACAGGCATAGTTTCAATGGTTTCTCCTTAAATTCAGCCTTCCTTTGAACTTCGTGTTTTTTAATAAAATTTGATGCACCGTGTTTTTTGAATTGATCGACAAACCTAGCTTTTTCCTTAGTTTGGGTTTCAATCACTAATGTACAAGACAACTAGTATTCAGCGAACAATTACTTGATCTACGTTTTTTTCTCTGACGAGATTTTCCAACTCTACCAAAGTAGTACCATGGTACTCATGGGTGTTGTACAATGAACATTCACGGGAAGCTCGGCCAAAATGTCTCAAAACCAAAAAAAGTAGAAATATGATCCTTTTAACGAGGCACTAACAAGGAAGCATGTCACCCGAGCCCTCTTGCACTCGAATCCTGAAAATAGCAACAGTGGGTCAAAAGGAAACCTTCCAACACAATTGAATATTTCTAAAAAACAGGTACAAGCCCAGCTATAACTATAGATTCTTATCCGTACCGATTTCTAGCAAAAATGACAATGTCGTGATGCTTAGAAGTAAAAAGGTAGAAGTGTATTGTCAAGTCTGGGTATCTGTGCGATTCCAAGCAAGGCTAATTCCCTTTTCTTTTTCATTCACAATTTAATAAACATGTGAGTGACGTGTTGTAGATGAAATCTAGAAAAGAAGCTAACAGAGAAGCTTCTCGGCAAGATTTGCAGACTGTTCTGTTTCATCGATGGTGGAAATTCTGGAAAAAAGGCTAAACAGCTGCAAGTCAATACAAAATGTCTGCGCTGGCCTACAAAGGAAATGGTGGCAAAAGGCATTTTAAAACTGAAGACTTCCGCTTTGAGTTTCGCAAAATCAGTTGAATACAAAGTACTTAGTGCCGCATTTTAACATATTTCTGTTGATTATGGCCATATATGAGGCAAATATTCATTACCACTGACCTAGTCACTGTTGTTGATGAATAGAAAGAAATTAATTTATAGAGTTTCTTTCGCTATGGAAATAGCGACGAAAATCATCATAAGCCACCCACGTAGAATATCAGGCAAAGTTTTCTCCTCATTTCAGCAGGAATTCGCGTTTGGCGCATCAAAACCACGACATTACTGTTGACAGTGAGTTTTTAAACAAATCTGTAAGTGGCAGCCAACGATAAGATAGCTGATAAGATAACAGCTCTTGTTCTAGTGACACCTGCTTGAGATTTCCAAAAGTTTTTCGGTACTATAATGTAGAATCTGCAACAAGACTTAAACACCGTTTAGATCATATTTGCACTTCTTACATGCTTCTTTTTTTTCGATTTAAAATTTACGAATATAGTAACAAGTAACAACATCATTATTTGGACTGGGAAGGAACAACAATACAATTTTATTGCAAATAATAATCTCAAATAAAGAATACCTGCATCTTCTAAAAATTGAAACGTAGTAAACAATATTCTGCATTTTGAAATTTCTATCGCGCGGAGATGCAAAGTTAACGGCTTGACGGCATTATCTATCAGATATTGTGAACACCGGACATACCAACAAACTAAGATAACGACAAACTAAGAAGAAGAATCGAATTGCAGGATATCTCAAATGAAATTAATCTTTTCCACTCTCAACCAGTAGCGTAATAGACTAAGGGCCCCAACCTTTAGGGACCACCAGCAAAAATGCCTTTATGTTATTTTACCGTTAAGCTGGTGTTCTGGATGTGATAAATGATTTCAAGGAGCCCAGCATGATATCTCAGTCTAATTGAATGGAAAGTATGTTCATTCCAAACTTATGTTTGTCTTTATTGTTTTACAAATGCTTATTATTAGGGGACCTCGAGCAGAAAAATCTTTAGGGTTCCCGGCTGCCTCGTAACGCCACGTTGGGTAATCCAAAATTGTCATTTTCGATGATGGATACAATTTGACTGTGGTCACAAATGTTGGCTGCCGATATATAACAGTTCTATTGTTTGAAATGTTGGGTGAAATGTTGGATCGTTTCACCACCTCAGCCAACATTGTGAGCTCTACGTACGCGCAGTTGGTTAAAGAACGCCAAAAATCAATCATCTCATCGTTGTTGTTTTCTTGGGCTGGTTTCGTTCGTTTCGATTTTAGCCTTTGCTTACACTAAAATTATGGACAATATGATGAAAGATAGCCAATTCTGTGCACAAGAAGAGGCATCAAGCGTCAATGAAGAGGCTGTAGCACAGACGAGTTTAAATAAAGTGCAGGGTAACGAATTTAAGCCACCGTTTTGATGGGAGATTCGACTCTTGTCCTGAAGGACCGCGACAAAAATGAACAATATCTGCAGTCGCTTTCCTTGAAGAGAAAATCTATAGGGAAGGCGCCGATTGCCTTTCGTTTTCTCTGATCGAATCTTACTGTGTAGACTTCGGTGTGACTTTCAGTGTGATGTTGGGTCGTTTGACCATCAACGTCGGATCACTTTCTAACATCGAAGAAAAATGTCGAACGAAATGGCAGATGAAATGTTGGATCGTTTGACCAGGGCTTAACATTAGCGGGATTGCCTGAAAGGTTTCATACAAGTCAAGATTCAGCCATATGCCCTTCCGTTAACAGACAATTAAATGGCGAGAAATCGAATTGCACGTGTTGAACACACCCTAGAACTCTTACACTTCGAAGTGGACCAACCAACTTAATTATTGTTTCATTTTAGACATTCAATGTTATCAATAACTATTTTCTTTCATATGTAGCCCAAACAAAAGGCTTTTGCTTTTTTCATACATTGGTTTTTGTTTTTAAGTCTGAGTTTTTGTCAACTAGCATGCCCAGTGTGTGTGTACATTTCTGATGTTTTGAAAATTCTCTTCAATGTGTTGGTACTCCAACTGCGAACAATGATCAAAACATTGCTGTAGCCGAAAAAAACGACAAATAATCCGACGTGGCGCAAATGATAGCGACTGAGGAAACCTCTTATCGTCTACTCATTTCTTATTCATTAATTTATTTATTTATTCATACATTTCGCATCAAAAACATACGCACTTCATCAAAAAGGAACGTGGTTCCCTTGGTATCGGTATCCTTAGCGATAGCAACGTCAGTACATGCTGCCATAGGTACTCTGGCTAGATTCTTGAATAGATTGTCACCCTAACTCAAGAACTGAATCACCAGACATTTCTCCTAAGAGTATCAACAGCTCCTGAAGACCACTTACGTTTAAGTCTGGTTAAAAAGCTATTGTAATCATCATAAGAATCGGGGGCAAAAGTGCTTCCAGTATCCGGAATTCATACCATCAGTGTTAAAGCCCTTTCTTGACACAAAAATTGCCAAAAAGATCAAACCAGTTTACTTGGAAAAACAATGTTTTTTCCACAGATAAATATTCTTTACAGTTGGACATACTGAAAATGTAAAAAAGAACACTGGTTTCAAAAAAGATCGCATGTTGATTCCTGGATGCAAACAACCTGGTCTATTTTCAGGCCTAGATGTGATGTTCAAACCAACAAGCAAAGATTATGCCTCTTTATAAGTTCGATTATCTCCGGTGTCATCAAAAGTACATTCGTGTTCTGATGGTCAAGCACTGATAATGGTTGGAATTAGTTCTTATCATCGTAGAAAGGGCTTCTTGGTGCAGTGATTATATCAAATAAAAATTGAATTCATTTATTATAACCGCCTGACATTGCTTCAGATAAGTAGGAAAAACTAGCTGTAATAATCCCCCACCCAGCAAAATCGTTTTAGTCCCTGTTTCTTATAATTAAGGCATTTATGTACAAAAGTTTCGGCTTTGAATAATAATCACACAAATTTATGTTGGATAAAAAAGATTTCCGGTAAGAGCTAGTGGCTAATTTTATTTTCAACAGTTAACATTTTTTTTCTTAAAAAATAATGGAATCGCTTAGCTCCGTTACACAGGTTTCAGGAGTATTCAGAAAAAACGTTTGCTGTCTCAGGTAAAAGATATTTGAAAATCTAAAATGGTACTGAAATGAAATTAGGCCTTGTTTTTCAGGAGAATAATTTCACGAATTTCAAACAAATCTCGCTCATGTTCTCTACACTCGGCTGTTCCTACATTGATGTAATAGCAGATGGGGTGGTAATGGAACTAACTTTTAAAATCAATAAGAAGGAGGGCAGATTCTACAAACAAAAGTATTTACAGATGTAAATGTAATAGACAGATGTAATAAACATGGAAGAACAAAGTATAAAATCTAAAGGCAGAAGCTCTGATTTGTTGTGTATAACAACCTCTTTTATGGGGGAAGAATTTTGCACAAATCTTTAGCTTTAAACAAAAAATTTACTGCTTTTCCTAGGCTGTAATGCAACAGTGATCATGTTCAGACTTTGTAGAACATTTTAATTACGCTTTTAAACATATTTTATATTAGATCATTGATTATTGGACTAAGGCTAAAATGCTCTTTACCTTTCAAGGATATAAGGATATTTTCATTGGCTTTTACTGGACAGAATTTGAACCCAGAATTTTAACTGTAAATTTTTGACTTCCATGCATGACAATGAGGCCCGTTGAGATAATGCAAGAATCCTTAAGGAAAATTAAAACTTTAATTTTTCTAAACTCGGACATGCCATGAAATTGCTAAACTTGTCTTAAAATCTGGCAAAATCAACTTTTCACCTATCTCCATACTGGATGCCATTTTGAAAAGCCTCCTAATCGCATCGAGATCGTATAAATAACACGCACATATGTTTGAAAGCTTACCTGGAACTTTAATTCGGTGGGATCATAGAAGCTTGGGTCCCTGGATTGAATTGCTCTTGCCATTACTGGACCAGGTGGAAGAGCTGGGATCGAAGGCTCTTGGGGTTGTCGTGTATTGGGTGTACCCTTTAAAAACATTGCAAAATGCTTAAAGCTGATCAAAACTTAAACATGAATAAACAAATGGCATATTATTTGTTGATATGAAATTAATTGAAGACACCATAAGCATAAAGCAGCAGCCATAAAATCAGTAGTAACCCTTTCAAGCAATGCCAATTAAACCTGACTTCTGCAGACTTCTATCAAACAATGGAAGGTGAAGGATGTATCTTTTGAAGACTGGCTTTTAAACTTTTATATACTCTAATAGTCTTACAGAAAATGCTACATAAAATACAAAACAATACCATATAATATATAACAATTTATCTTCAAGCATAACATAAAATATAAAAAAGTACCATTGGCTGACTGTAATCAGGTCCAGATGAATATCGATCTGGCATTGCACGGTCTTGTACAGGTGGATAGGACGTTATCCTTGGCCCAATAGCCACTGCTGGCATCTGTAGACAAATAAGAATTTTCAATAAACTCAAATTTGACTGAGACTTTGACTATCTTCTGTGCTGCACACAACAGCCAAATGAACTGAAGTGGACTATCAACATGAATCAACAACATATCTATTGAATCTATCTAATGCACCATTTGTCCATCTTAACAAAGTGCAGCCATCTAGAAATTGTGTCAATGCCCCAGAGTGTTCCATTCCCTTTGCAACCATCACTCTTGCTGCCTCAAAGCCTTTTTCAATTATTTTATCCACAAATCAGCAATATATACATTTTATGAATTTTTTTATATATGCACCTATACTAGACCTCAAAAAGGGGTAAATATCTTAAGAAGAAAGTAATGAACAGATAAAATACCAATGAAAAGAAACTGCGAATTAAGAACCTAAGCTGATGTGTACCAATGAAGCATCTTTGACATAATAACCACACATATAACAAAAGGGATCATCTTAATTTGCTACAGAAAATCACTTGTTCTTTTATGCATGTTTCATAAGTAACTTCCCTAAGAAAAATTCAGCAGATCCAAGTTTATCCTGCTGCATTACATTTCCTAGGGCATATATCTGCTTTTTAAAATAAAGGGTGTAATGAGGCCCTTTTTGTATTTTAGCATGATGAAGAATTTTGAAGTACAAAATTTGAAATTTATACCCATTTTTTAAAAAGGTAATGTTTGTGCTTGATTGTAAACTTAATACAATATGAAATTAAATCATAATCATTTAAACAGGGCCTAAAAATGTTTCCTGTAAAGATCAAAACTCATAGCCTTGATAAGGTGTGCCATACACCACATTTCTTGGGGAAACGAGACTTGTGCCAAGATGGATGCATGGATCACATGACTTTCCGAGGATGGCCTGCAAAACTATAAAAACATTTCCTTACATGTGGTTCCTATTCTCTATGCTAATCACAATTTCATGGATAAGTTGATATTCTCTACAGGTAGATAAATTCTTTTGCTCCTAGGAATCCAAAAGATCTTGAAGGAATTTTGCATACCTCTTCTACATAGGGTCTAGGTATAAGCCCCTCTTGACCATTGCTATGCCGAGCTAACCACCAGTCATCCTCTTCTTTTTTCAAAATAGTTAATATATCACCCTTTTTAAATGAAAGGTCTTCCAGATCCTAAAATGAAATTAACAACTATATACATTTAACATTGTTGAAATATAAAAAGATTATTGTTAACCGATCTGTCATACTTAAATTACTTGATTTTGGCAGATTGTGTGATGACTTATAGCCTAGTGATTACACACACAAAAGCATGTACTAATATGCTTTTTAAAAAACTTTATAACAGAAACAAAGATACAATAAATGTGTGGTTCATGAAGTCAAACAACATAGAAGTTAAGGAGAAATTCAAATCCACATGTTAGGTCTCTACTTCCATTCTAGTGGTTTTTCACAATGTAACCTACTTTTCAAAACAAAGTTTTAGATCCAAAAATACTTGATGCATGCTGAAGTATAAAATTATTGTACTTACACTGCCAACAAAGTTGTATTTTGCTTTAACTTTGAGTGAATTGACTGGTGCTTGTCTTGGGGGTTGGCCACCACCCCCACCTGGGGGCTGAAATCCAGGTCTAGTTGCCTATTAAGGCAACACAAAACATGTTAAATTCAAAACCATAGGCATTTGAAAGAAAAATAATGAGTTTTCAGGCAACCATTTTCATGTCAGGAAATGCTTATTTTTGTGTGAATGCTGATAAATATTGACAGAACAAAATAGAGAGAGTATTTTATGAAAAAGTTATAAGCTGCCAGAACATGCCTTGATTAGTCAGTAACAATACTGTGTGGACAAATGTTGTAAAATCTTAAAACTAACATAAGATACCTTGCTTGGATTATTTTTAAACAGTCACTCACACTGGTCAAATAACATCCCCATTTTAAAAAGTGAACTTAACTTTGCAAAATAGAAGTATAAACAACTAATCTGCTTGGTTAGCACTATACATATTTGGGAATTAAGTTATTCAAAATTGGTTGAGTTAGCACACAAGAAATTATTGTATATTCAGCAACAACTTACAGGCTCAACCAAAGTTGTAGAGTCCAGAAAATGTTTTTTATAAAACTCAACAATAGATGGAAGGTCATCGAATGTTTGTTCGCCAATCTTGTAAACTCTGCTTGCTCGGTTAAAATTGATAATATAATGACTCACTTTGCCCACTTCCCTACAAGAGACATTATATGAGGTAAATCAAATATTGTAATAGGGAAAATGTTTATAAACTTGTCATGTTTGAGTTATGAAATAACATTTGAAAGTAATTAGCACTACAAGGATGAAATAAAAGTCACTCAATTGTTTACAAGTCCTGTTGTGGTTTATAAACATTCAAAGGTTATGCAAATAATGGGCTGTTCAAGATTTCTTTGATAAAAGTGATGATTTAGAAGCAGTAGGTAACATAGGATCATATAAAGATCATGGTATATGCCTCAAATGATGTCTTAGTTCTGATGATTCTGGACATTGCTAAAGAAACAAATTCTTGAAGTTAAGCACTTGTTGCTTCACTAATAAATGTTTAAGAGTAAATGATTAAACATACAACCCCTGCTAAAAAACAGCCCCTGCAAAACAAGAGAGGGGCACTTACTTGAATAAATACCATATTTTCTGGAAGCAGAAGTATAAATTGTCAGAAATTCTTCGTTTTTATTATAAGTTTATTCACTTGCATTTATGACCAGTTCTCAATTAGTGCCCCTGCCCAGTAAATGCCCTTTCTTGAGTATGCACCCCAAGATCAAAGAATAATTTATAGGTGCTCATTCTGTCCAAAAGAACCTTTTGTCAGGTAGGAAACAGTTAATTGTGTTTATTCTTACAGTATCATACTCAAAGACTTTGAGTCATATTGCCCCAATACTAGATGGTTCTTACAAACCCTTCTGACCCTTCAGTTTGTTTATAATTCGTTCTTAACTTTGACCAATTTTGAGGCTTTTGTTTTTATAAAATTGTTCTTATAAAAAAAATTAAAACAAAAAATAAAGGATGCAAATTGCTGATTTCTTACCTAAAAGTTACCTAGCCTCCATGCACATTTGTTGAAGTGACATGCAAATTAAGCAAACTGTCATCAATTATAGCAAGTAAGGCAACAAATGTACTGCATTTTACCTGACAGACAAGACATAGTCTCCTTGAATTGTGTTGCTATCCCTGACAAGGAACAGGCCTGGGCGATCCCTCTGATTCAAAAGTTGTTCACACTCGTTTCTGGAAACCTTCCCATGGTACCAACTATAATAAAATATGTATATATATATAACTGTAGTTTTACTTTCTTCAATCTATGATATATCACGCTCTACATGCTAATGTATTGAGCACTGTGCTACGGAAGTATCAAAAGACAAATTTCTATATATATAACTATATATATAAAGATATCTGATTCATGAAATGAATCTGCAAACATGCGCAGAATCAAAACAGTATCAGAATATCACTAGTGTAACATGCAGTGGCTTGGTTTGATTCTTGCCACGTGCCTAAATTCAATTGTTTACCCTACAATCTTTTTCTGAAAACAAAGAAAATCAGTTGAAGGAATTTGATGTCAAAAACTTCCTAACATTTTCTTCACAGATTATTTTGGTACACTGTTGGTGTCAGTGCAAAGATTGACATATAGAACAATTTGTACTAAAGATTCAATTCGTGAAAATGTTCATATTTTGCCTGATGAAAAAAATTGTTTCATATGAAGAAGTAGAACTAAGAAGTTCTATAAGAAACCTTGCTAAAAGAATTGGGTCTATTGATATAACTGTATAGCATGTCTAATATTAGATAGGTTCTTTGAAAAAATCAGTGTATATTATTTAGAACTGACTCCTAGATCTCCTGCTCTGATAATAATACAAATTAATAACAAATATATTTTATTATCAATCAACACCATGTTCGTACTGAACATGAGATATGTTTAGGCTGTCAGTTCTTTTCTTCAGATAAATCTGTTTCCAAGGCAAGTGTTTTGGAATAACAGTGAGACAGCCTTTCTCACTATAAATGCTAATCAAAACGCTATATTACAGTTACATCACATTACTGGGCACTACAGATTTAAGATCCGAAAATTTGATTATATCTTAGAGGTTGGTAATTAATTTTTTCTTGATATTTCATATAATCTTGAGCACTTAAATGCTTTAATGGTATAAATGATAAAGGTTGATGATCCAGCGGGGAATAACAAAAGAACAATTAGGCAGACGCCCTAATAATTGTTTTTCTTTATACCTATATGAGTTCATGGAGTCTCCCATTTCCTTCTCTCTTTCAACTGATTTAAAAGATCCAGAGTTCTTACGGAGAACGTCTACTCAATTCTGGCAATGTCCAGTTTCTTGATTGGCTCAGATTTGGGCCTACAACCTGATTGACAGCTCCTTAGCTTTCCACTCTGGCCTGTTCCTGCCTGGTTAATCTGGGATGCATCTGAAGTCCTCGATTCTGGTGAAATTGCCAAATACTTTATAGTGCATAAGCTGTAAATATAATGAAGGCTTAAATGGCTAGCTTTGCTGCAGGTTCCGCAAGCAAAAATTACATACAATTTCCTCTTTTCCTTTCCTTCGCTGAGGGGCGATCCTTGCGTATACCGTTCTGCGCATGACCTTTCAACACTGCTCCTTCGCAACACCGTGGCATTCTAGGTATGTGTAGGGTACAGTAGGGGGCATCGAAGCCCAACTGAACCCCACTAAGAATCACATGTTAAATTTTTTTTACTTAAGCAAAATAACTTGTTGTAGATAAAGCAAAAATGTTTTATATTGCAAGAATAAACTCATCTTTCATTTATAAAGTTGAACTTTAAAGACTATGACCTTAGAAAACAAAATATCAAAAGCTTTCGGATTGGCGTATCAGTATTTAAAAAAAAGATGTTTTTTAACTTTCTAAGTAGGAAAAGGTTTCTAAAAACAATACTGTAAAATTCTTTTGTATGTTGCTTTATATAAGAATGCGCTGGACTCTTTTGTTATGTAAACCTTTGGCATGTCGCCTCAACAGCATTAACATTATAAAATTAACATTATAAACTGAAGTTTCTATTACTTTTGTACACGCTTTTTTTAGAAGGAACCTACCTCAAGGCCTAGTTCCCAAAGTTCCTTATTCGTAGACTTTGAATCATCAAACTGTAGTACCAAAAGTTCCTTAATAGTTCCCTAATTTGTTTTGACTACAACAAGCCTTAACACTTAATAGAGAGAGGGGCGAGGAAGCACTTGACACACGAATAGCAAACAACCTATGCGAGTATTGGTTGCAAATGAATGGAACCAGCTTTTTAGTTCTTGATGCTTGCAGTTATAAAAAAATTTCAAATCGAAAAGTTCCTTAGGGATTTCGTTTTTAGTAGTATAAGTTCTTTAAATATTTCGGCCTTCTACTTGTAGGTTCCTTATAAAGTGGTTCCTTATAAAAAGCATGTATTGCTGGTGCAATTGTCACCATTTACAGACCTCGTGGACTAATTAAAACAAATTATACTTCAAAACAGCTTCATCATGATGGCAGAGACTAAATTAAAAGACTGAAACTAAGAATAGCGAATAAAGTTATGGACCAAACATCTATCTCTATATCAGCCTTGCTTGCCACATCACAAGTTTTCTGCATCTAAACCTTCATAAATGGAACAAATGGACAAAATGGACACCCTATGATAGACAAAAATAATTTCTGCCCATGATTTTGTCATCAAAGCTATGTAAAAATTATATTTTAATTACGGACACCTTCCTACGTCGGACAATAACCCAAGTCTCGCAGAAATCATTAATGAAGGTCGCATCGCATTGTATATGTTTTGAATGTCGCCGACACGTAACCATTACTTGAATTGGGAAGCTTTTTATTCATAGCTTCTTTATGTCGCTCGGATTTTTCATCTACATAAATATTGCTTTAATTTCAGCAAAAAAACTCCTCGTTTCGATGCGGATTTCTTTCGAAAGAGAGGAGGGGCTACTTTCCAATAGCTACGGTATGGCTGCACTCAAAGATGATTAATCACAAAGATTTTATACGAATTTCCCAATATTAAGATATATATCATTAAGCGAATGAAATTTAGTGCTTTGAAGATTTTTGCTACAGGTTTTTGAAATTTTTCTATTGTACAGTCTCTGCTAAAGTCTGCTAATCATTGGAGCTCTGGAGATTTTTATTTTTTTAATCTTAAGAGATATTAAGGGTTAAAAGTGCAAACATTGGGGCAATGGGAAAAGTTGAGAAAAAGCATAGTGCAGGTAGCTCAAAAAGTCAAGACTAAAATGGTTTTTCCATGTCAGGGGGGAATAGTAAATGTTGCTGATGGATTGTTTGGGAGGAGATGGGCAACGGATTAATTGAAAAGAATGTGGACAGACAGTATATGGGAAGTAATGGCCATGAAAGACATGCTAAAGATGGATGAATGAAATTTGCACGAGGGACTTTCCATGTGGTTGGAATGAAGCTATTTCTCGGTCACTTGAAATTTTTGTAACCCCGAATTCTTTTGCCCTCCGTTCTCTGCGAAGGAGTATTGTCATGCCAACCACATCGGAAGAAATATGGCCGCCGTAGTTTGTTGATCAGCATAATCAAGGTTAGCATTTCTTAATATTTTAACCGTTGTTTACTTTAATTGGGCCAGTCTGATACAATTGAGTGACCCAATTAACTTTGATATACAGACAGTTGCGAGATAGTAACCCAATTATTGTTTCTATGGCCTTAAAATTCCCATTTATCGCCAGCATGAAATCCAGACCGCAGAACTTATCCTAAGCTGGATTTGGGCCCTTTTCATGAAGCTGGCATTCGAAATATGGAACTGGATATCTATAGAGTTGGAAAATTCAAACAAAACAATAAAGAAATGTTTTGTTATTCAATATTTATTTTTAATTGGAATAAAACAGTTCGGCTGTATTTATGCTGTTGCTGGAAAGTCTCTTTGTGGGTCATATGGAGTTTGCAAATGTGGGACATATGGCCTCATAAAGTAATAAATTCAATTTTAAGAATGGAAGACGTTTAAACGATGTAAGAAAATGACTGCAAGAAACATTCTGAAATGTATTCAAGAGATGCCAAAGCACATTTTTGAGTGGGGGGCTCTAGACAAGTTTGATGGCTCCAAATCGTATTTTGCCACCATTACCTTTGATGCCACAACTATGACATCATAGTTTAGCAGAAAAGTGGGGGGGGGGGTGTGGTGCCAAAAGTTTTTTGCTTGCAATGCTTGCAGGGACCTTTGCTTTTTCTTCTGCACCGCAGCCTCCAAAACCTATTGGGGGCCCTTACAACACTTGAAACAAGTTGATCTATTCAGTGGCTTTGAAGGGTGAAAAGCACCAAGAAATATTTTTATGATTTGTGGAGCCGAAAATATTCCTTAGAATAAGCTCTGCCAGACCAGCTTGTGTGAAGTCATAAAAGCCTCTGCCGTAAATCTTCAAATTAGCCCTCTGGGGGCTTATTTATTTTTGCTATTTTTGAATGGGGGCTTATACAAGGGGAGTTTATACAAGGGGGGCCTTATAAAATTATTGTAGACATCAAGAGCCATTATTAAAAGAACTCGTTTATTTTAGTAGGAATTTCTTTATGAGCATTTAATTAATTAATACCAAAAGTATGAATTTGTTGTGGTAATTCAATAAAACACCATAGGCAACCTCAGATGGCAAAAATCATCAAATTGAGGGGTCCCATTCGAGAATTTGCGGTAGCAGTAGGGGCTTATTCAAGGGGGAGGCTTATTGAAAATTTGTATTTCGTTCTAGTTTGGGGGCTTATTCAAGGGAGGAGGCAATTTGAGGATTTACAGTAGTCGAAATGTTTTTCTAATAAAGCATGTTTCATTTGTGACCTTCTATTTCTAATTGTTTGCAATAGTTCACTTGACAGCAACTATATGTTATTCATTAAAAGCATCCTGGTTGCAAATCTCAATTTCTTTTCATTTTTTCAGCTTTCAGTGTAAAATTGCAAGTCAAATGGATGACAGAATCAGATCAAACTTGCCTCTTTTGAAGAAGTTAGAGAGAGCTAGACTTAGAGATCTTTGTGATTCTATAGAAGAAGAAAGGCAGCCAAGTTTTGACAAACCACTACAGAAGGCCAACCAAAAGCAAGGTTTGCTTGTATTCTATAGTTTATCATTCTGAAAACTACCAAAATGTTTTAACTCTCAAACTTGCTACATAAATTATTGCAAGTCATGTAGACCTTTGTTAAATGATTTTGTAGAAGTGACTGTGTAAAAATGGACACAAGGGCAGTGACAACATGAGAGTGGATCCAATCTACTCAGATAGGTCTTGTGTTTACACAGGAACTGATGGATCCCTATACTTTTGGACCTGCTATCCAAACAAAGTTGATCCCATATGGATCTGATCTGGACTGGATCTTATGTAAACAGTTGGATCTGGTCTATGTCAGATCCTTTTACCTTTTTTATTCAAATTTGAGCCAGAATGATTATCATTTTGAGGTACTTTGTGGATTTGGCATTAGGAAACCAAACATGAAGTTGACTTTCAAGTTAGTTAGTCAATAAGTTGAATTCAAAAGTCTTAGAAATATGTTATAGTATGTTTTTTATTCTTATTTCTGCTGTGAGTCTGTCATTAGTGAACAGCTCTTTCAGGATAAAATGAGAGTTGAATTTACCACCCCCATGTTCAGTTTGGACTGTTTGTTTTCATCTCAGTTGTTTGACAAAAGTCTGATGCATGCCAATTTTTTAAAAGCCAGCATTTGAAAAGCCAAAGCAAATGGTTTTGGATTTGATCCCATGAAGGGCCTGTGATCAGATCCACAAGTATCTGGATACTTTTTGATCCGATCTGGTCCAGGTCTTGTATAAACAACCCTTAAAGACCTTTGAAAAGCCAGTTATAGCTGTTTTTCTTTTAATTGGTTAAGAATAAGCAGGCAATTTTTTGGAAATCTCCAAAGTTTTAAACTGGTTGGATTTTGAAATTTTTTAACTAGGTAGGTTTATCAGATCATAACATCTTGCAAAATGTACCAGAAGAAAGGCAAGCTAAATTGGCCATCTGTAGAAATTTCAGAATTTTGTGATGACAGTAAACACTTAGCAAGAACTTTGTGTTGATGTGGAACCATGCAATTTGAAAAGAAATCAAATATCATTACACTCAGACAGACAGGGCTTTATCAGAGTGGAGTGTTAAGCACTTTTTCACCTATTTTTATTGCATTGCATCTCATTGTTTCAGCTTACTGTTATCTTTTCAATGGTTTGTGGTTTAGCTTGCTTGTTTCTGTGCTTATTTGCTTGTTTGTACTTCAATCAACTGTTTTTTGATTCTCTAATAGTCACTCAAACTTCCTAATTCCATTTATACTTATAGTAGTCTTATTAATGTAGCAGTACTTTGGGAATGGCAAGCTGACGATGAAACATGGCAGCCTTTTGAGAAAGATGAGCAATCAAGACTTGAGCAAGCATCACAATCAGGGCAAAAAACTATCCCATTTCTTGACAGTATACATTTTATGCAGACTGTGGATCTGACTTGCATGCAAATGGTAAACATGAAAACTGGTGCCGGGAAAAGAATACGAAGGACACCTGAACTGGACTTGTTAACTTCCTATGATATTCATAGAAAATCAAGTAGGTTTTGTATTTTGGAACTTTTTTTGAGAGAAGCGCATGTTACCATGTCAACTTGTACTGTTTATGTCTGCTTTGGTTATGGCACAATTTGCTTTCTCAGATTTAATTTGAGGTTAATTTTTATGCAGCTTTTTTACTTTATTTATGAGGACAACTTAAATGAAACAAAACTGTTTTAAAGGTTTGGGAAAACAAATTAAAAACTGTTCATTTGTTTGAATTGATTATATTTCATATTGATGTCTTCTTTTAATGCTAAGTCTCTATTAAAATTTTGTGTGATGAGAGTGACAGCACCTGAAAAGAGTGGGTAAGTTATCTTTTGAGAATTAATGGTTTTCATAAAAAATGATAAGATTTGCCTAAGACACTTTAAACTGGAATCTATTGACGTTAGAAGGGTTATGTATGATGTTTAAAGGGCATGACAGTATGAAAGAAGATGATCGGTAGAATGATTTGATATTTATCAGTATCATGTTAGTTACATTTTTGCTGGAAATTGAGCAATGTGAAATATCTTCAAAGGTTGGCGCTAATTGTCCAGTTTTTACTCTGCGTTGTAGAACGATTTTATGGACGAGAAAATAGATTTTCCAGCAATGGATGGAACTTTGACCTTGATGACGATGACAATGAAGATGTAACTACGACTGCTGACAGAGACTATGGCACACTTGATTGGGAGCTATTTCCTTCAGGTCGTCAGAGATCAAGAATTAGAGCAAACCCTAGTGCCTATGAAGACGGTCTTGATGTTCTAGGTGAAAGTGGCCTGCTTAGCACAGTCTCTACACCTCGAGTTTCTGAATGGTCAAGATATGGTGAAAGAAGATCTGCTACAAGAGATATCGGCAGCAGAAATTATGTAGAAGTTGGTAGAACAAGCAAGAAGAAGACTGTTACAAAATCGCACCGAGCCACTAGCATGAAAGGTAGGCAGCTGCAACCGCAAATGGAAAGAAAACTAGAAGAAAATAACAAAATGAAGCAGTGGCTTTCAAAGGTCAAGTTGGATGAATACAGCGAAAAATTTAAGCGGGAAAAGATAACTTTAAAGGAAGTTCATACCCTTGACGAAGAAGACCTTAAAAAGCTTGGGCTTCCTATGGGTGCTCGTAAAAGGTTTCTCGCGAGTGTCAAAGAGATAAAGACAAGAAGGGAACCACCTAACGAATACTTATGTCCCATTACAATGACAACAATGAAGGATCCTGTTATTTTAAGTGATGGATTCACATATGAAAGGCGTGCTATAGAACAGTGGCTAAAAGCTAATCAGAAGAGCCCAATGACCAATCAAAAACTCGAAAATGAGAACGTAACTCCTAACAGACAATTGAAGAAATTGATCGAAGATTTCAATGCCTTCAACATAGATCAGTAGTAAATAATGGTGCTTATCCGTTAATAACAGGTACTCTTCCTTTGGATTCATTGCGCGTTACTGTTTGCCCTTTTTGTCATATTCAAATATGACTATTGAATTTAGTGTAGATTGCTTCCCCTATACAGCTGGTTTCAGACGTAGATCCTACATGTCAAGGTTCCATGTGCATTCTGACATCAATCTTTGAGGTAAACAGGATTACTTCACTGTCACTAAAGTGAACTTCACTGTCTGTCACCCACACAGTTTGATTTGCATCTATTAAACGTGTGACCTAGCCTTTAATGATGCTTTGTGGATTCCTCACTTCAAACTTATTTTGTTTATTGTCAACTAAAATTTTTTCTATTTTCAAACTTAGGTTATGTTTTGCAAAATGTTTTTAAAATGCAGGGAACATTTTACCTTAAAATACCATCATTCCATTTCCCCCAAAGATTGGTATTGCTTCTATTTGAATCAAGAAAATTTGAAAAAAACTTATACGTTAAAAGTTTAGTAAATTCTGTATACAGCTGTATAAGGTGCTTTTGGGAAGAAGGTCTCTGCACGTACTTATTTTTTGATTGCAGTGTTTATGTGTGAAAACAAGCCGACGTGAATGTCAATGTGAAAGATTGATGAGCTTCTAACTGGTACCTGAGAAGCTTAATGAAATGCCTGATGAGATATGCATTCATAAGAAGATCTGTCTGGTCTACCTTCAAAATTTGGCTTACGTGCAATGCTTCCTGTCAAATAGCTCAACGACATCTTTCTAGCTTAGATGCTGCATTAATTTGGCAAATAAAGTAAGTGTTTTCCTTAGTTTTATGGTATTAAACTTAATTCCTATTCACGATGCATGGTATTGTTAACATCGAAAAGCTGGAGTTTTCCGACAGTATGTCAACTGGAGGCGGGAACTAAAGCTGTATGAGGTGTGATGGTATCACTTCTGCTCATAAGATAGATAAGCAAAGCAATCTTTTTTTGTATTTGTTCTTTTGATTAATAAGCTTTTGTTGACAATTTGACGCTAGCAAGGCTAGAATGTGTTTGGTATTAATAGTTTTCTTAAACCATGGCAAATGAATGGAAATGCTTGAATGCTAGGGTTGTGCAAAATGCTAGGATGTCCCATGCAAAGTTTGACATCTTGTGCTATATTGTTGTGGTGTCCTGCTTTTGACATCCACAGCCCGTATTTTATATCGTTACCGTATCCTTGCTTCAATTACTGTGTTCTTTTTGCTGCTTTCTAATGTCTTCCATAACAAGTGTATAAACGTAATTTTAGTCAATGACGTTTGAAGTGAGTGACTTGCGTCTCAGCACTGCCTTTAATCCCAACCATAAATAAAACGCAATTTTCTACATTGCCACTCCTTTCTAGCACTGCCTTACCTCACGTAGTTGCCCTTTTTATGTAATCAGTGGATTTTAAACTCAGAATTTCTTCAAATGTAAATGCATTTCGCTGCTTTAATTATAAATGAAAACTTTCTTGTTCGAGATCTGTCGATCTCAAATTTATCAGTAACTCTACAGTTTTTGTGATTTAGTAGAGCATAATAACTCTGTTGTCGTCTTTATAAGCTGACATTAGATGAGCGCTATTTGATTAAGGTCTTCTACTTAAATTGAATTTCAAGATATTGCAATTTAACTCCCATTGTATGGGGATCAGTCAAATAGAGGAAAACAACAGTGCTAAGTCATATCTAATTTTGTGATACCAGGTGGACTCTTGGTACCATTCATTTATGTTTGAAAAGATGCCACCAATAGACTTTCATGTACCTGTTGAAAATGGATTGTCTCTCAGACTAACTTTTAGGCTTGGCAAGATATGGAGACAAATTTGCTCGAATGATTTATTAATGATTATGTCCTTTGCTTATGCTTTCGGCATGCTGCATGAAGGAGAAGATTGAATGCTAAAAATATTAAAAAAAATGTCTATGACTATTGTAATCACGGTTTTATGATTATTGTAATCATGATTTGGTGATCATTGTAATCTTGATTTTTGCGATTATTCCAATCTTTACTTTCCGACTATTTTTATCATGATTTTGTGATTATCAACTAGACTATTTTGTGATTATAACTATTTTGTGATTTTGTGATCAACTAGACTAGACTATTTTGTGATTATAATCACGATTTTGTGATTATCAACTTAGAGCAGCTTTCAAGAAATTACAAGATATCAACCACCATACCACTCTACGGTGACACAAAGACTATAAACCAGACAAGGCAAACAGTCTTTTTGCCTCACTTTCCTTCTTGCCCTGAAGAAACCCCTAGACAAAACTAAGGTTACTTATAGATACCATAGCTGTAATCTGACGTACAAAAAGCTTAATTTATCTTTATTTTCTTTTAGAATATTATTTCATGGCGTCTATCAGACATTTAGAAATGGGAGAATCATACAACAATGCATCCGAGATGGAGCTAAGTCTCCCGAACGATGATAACGATGGGTCTGTAGAAGATCAAAAAGAGAAAATACGAATTCTGGCAGAGGAATTGCGAGAAGAACTTATTTTGAGTAATTCTTTGACGAACATTATCACTGAAAAATCTTCGGAAATTGACTATTTGAAAAACAAGGTAGAGGAGCAGGATGCAAAGATTCGCAACCTTGAAGATCAAATTGAAGAATGGACAAATCAGTCGGAGGCCTGTGATAAAGTGCTGGAGCAGAAGGACTGTGAAATTGAAATGTTTAAGAAAACTTTAAGCATAGAGAAACAGCAGAGGCGAGATTTAGAAGACATGACAATGGAGGTAGGTTGTTGGAATATCTTTTTCTGAAAAACTAAATTTAGCTTTCATCTTTTGTTGAACAACTGGTCCAAATCAAAGACTGTTTTAGACTTATAGCCTTCATATTGGTATCATAAATCGTTCTAAACTTTTCTAACTATTTACTTTTCCATTATGAACACAGACTTTTTATTTTTCTCAGGTGTGTGTCATGATTAAAAACTGAAGTTTTCTAAAAGGTTCAATGCTTTTTACCGAGGGTTAACAAACAATTTGACTTAAACAATTTACAAGTAAATGTACAAATAGGCCCTTTTAGTAGAAAATTGTGACAGCTAACATCACCGTTTTTAAGTTGCCATTTTGCGATTCATAAAATGGCCTGCTTTATTCCTTTTCTCGAAATCTGTTCTTGTTTCAAAAGCTACTGGGATGGCTGTGTCCTCTGAGAAAAATTCCCAAAACATAGCTCGAGCCAGAAAGACTGCCCCTTCCCAGTTAGCGCCTTTGTTCCTGTTTAATCATTGAACATGGGCTTAGAATTTGCAATATGAACTTAAATCTTTAGTTCTTTGGAATATTCCCTTCCTTTTAAAAAGAAAGTTTTTAAAAACATCTAACTTTTGTTTCTGATATAGGTCTTTTTTTATGTCATTTAGCATTGGTTGCTGGCGGCGTTACCTGAAATAAAATTTCCCATCATTAATTCATAATTTCAGGTTGGTAAAGAAAATATTAAAGAACGGGAACTTTTGGAAAATAAGATTGAAGAGTTGCAAGGAAGAATTGTAAGAATGGAAGAGGAGAACAAGAAGGGAAAAGTTGAGGCGATGCTTTCTTTAACGCCTACAAATACTCAAGCTGAAACTGCAAACGAAGGCAAGACATTAGACATTAAAAATGAGGAAAAGCCAGTTAAGGAAGAAAGCTCAAAAGAATTAGGTATGCTTGAATTTTTTAGTAAAGACCTAAAGAATCACTAAGATATTAGATGCTTATAATCGTAATGCAACCAGATGTTACGATAACTTCAAAACTTAGGGCCAGTTTCAGTGCTTACTACAAATAATATTTGAGCACGAGTTTGAAAATATGGTACTTACAAAGAATGTACAACATGATGAGAATGAATAGATGATGATGGAAAGCTAAATAAAATCACTTCAGGCATTTCTAGAAATTCTCTTATTGGGATAACTGCATATCTCATCTATTTTCACCAATACAGCGTCCTCTAATTTCTAACACAATTAAACACTCATTAATGGAGATATCAAGATATTTTTGTTCATGCAAATATACTCCAGGAAGCTTTAACGCCTGCATAGGAAGATAATCTTCACAATCTTCAATTTACAGTGACTACTTATCGTTTCATACTGCGAAGACTGTTTGGCGGAAATTCGTTCTAAAAAAATATTGTCTGCTATCTTGAAAGCCACGTTTGGCCTCACAATTATGATTAAAACTCTACCAACTTTATCTTGAATATTAAACCCTAGCAGGAAACCTTTCTAATTTAATTCTCAAATCATGAATTATTCTTGCTTATTTTGTGGTCTTTTACTGAGTTCTTGGCTATGAACATGTTAGAAATATAGCATGTGTTCTTGTTTCTGTTGAAGCCAAAATAAATTAATTTTTCTCGTGGAAAAACGTACGCTTGTCAGATCAATGCACATATTTTGCTAGGGCTTTTTCATCTATGTTCATCCAAACAACATTGAGGCTCATTCTGATTGAGATTACTTGGAAATATTCATACTTTGAAAAGCCTTCAAGTCCACTGAATAACAGTCTCGTAGCGTTCAGAGAAGGCTCAAAGTAGCTCTTGATTATCTTGTTCATTGAATTGAATGGCTTTCATCCCCAATTGAATTGAATGGCCTAAGGTCTCACAAATGAAATTTCATCTGTGCCAAAACGTCATATCATTCTTGCTACCTCTTTTTGATATCACTTTACTTGAAGATTCTGTGTTTTTATGGTGATCATTTGTTCATTTATATTGTATATGATACTTTAAAAGTAGTTCTAGACAAATAATAACTTGTAACCTTTCAATTTATTTTTCTAGATTCTCAACTGAATGAAGAGTACAAAGCTGACATGGAAGTGCTTATGAATGATCTTTTTGTGCTGATAAAAAAGAACGAAGAGTTGAAGGAAGAAGTCGAAAAATTGAAAAAGGAGCAAGTAAACATACTTGAGGACAAGCGAAGTGTTGTCACAGACCTTGAAACCACATTAGAAGAAAAGTCAGCTGAAATTCAGCACCAGAAGCATGAGATAAGGAGGCTCAGTTCTGCAGTCGAGGTTGGCGATGCAACAACCGATATTGAGAAATACAACCAAGCAAAACAATTACGCAAGAAGTTTGAAGACAAGATTGAGCATCTAGAGACTACAAATTCTGAAATGAAAAATATTCTTGAAGAAAATAAAGCTGCCAAAGAAACTCTCGCGCGTCAACTTCAAAAAACAAAGAAGAAATTGCAAATGGAGAGAGAGCAAAACACTGAATTGAATAAACAGATTTTGGAAGTCTCTACGCTATATGATACTTTTTACAGTAGATGTGAGGAATTAGAGAAGGGAAGGGTCAAAGGGCTCAGTTGTCTTCGAAAAGATGCTACAGTTCCGACAAATGATAATAACACGAACAGCGATGCTGTAACAAAAGAAAATGCTGGTGACAAAGACGATGCTAATGATGAGATTATTGGTTATGATGCAATTGAAACTGATGACAAAAATATCAGTAGCAGAGACTCTGAAAACAGTATATCTTCTGTAGTAGATTCGAAGGTAGATGAACCCTGTACTGAGACGTCTACCCGAAGCTTGGACAAAGATGAAGGTCCTGAAAGTAAGATGTCGTGTTCAGGTGAAGACCTAGCATCATCTCCTGGACAGGAGAAAAAAGGGAAGAAAAAATTAAGCAAGAAAAAGAGGGCAAAACTGAAAAAACAGACATCGTCTGAAGTTGAAATTGAAGACAGTCGTCCACGGTGGAGTGAGTTATTCTTAAGTTTGAGCACCAGCTTATTTAAGATTCTGCTGCTAGTTGCAACGACATTTGTCGCTGTTTCGACAATGCATGTCCACTTTGGCGTGTCAATTGTCAACGCATTTGCCGGTATGTTTGTAGCATACTTCGTGTTTATCAATATATGGAGAATCTTATCGCCACAGAGGCAAAGGCAACTGCACCAGAAGAATGGCGCTACAGTGTATCCAGACTCAAATACAAAAACCCTGCGAAGAGCAATGCAAGATTTGATTATGCGCCTTGGCGATGATGACTTTAAGCAGTTCAGTGAAACCTATGAAAAGTACATCGACCAAACCTTTGCAGAAGAGCAAGCAAGTTTGTCCGGTAATCTCAAAGATGAGGTAATCTATTTAACTGCAGCTAAAGATGTGCTTTCAAAGGAACTGGCGAAGTATAAAGACCAAAATCACAGTATTCATATCACATACGAGGAAATGAAGGCAGATATCGAAAAGTTTAGAGCAAAAAGGGCTGAAGAAGAGGAAGAAAAAGATAAAGTCATACGATCGTTAAAAGATGAGATAAGTTCTTTAGAAGGAAATCTGAAAAAGGAAGGGAAATCAAGCAAAGATAAAGACGAAAGACCTACTTTTAAAGTGAATGGTTTGACGTATGCAAAATTTCTGGTGTTTATCGTCCTTGATGTTTGTGTTGTTCTGACCGTCGGCAACAGTGCGATAGTGTATCCCTTTTTATTCCTGTCTGCGTTGCTAATTGGTTTGGTTTACAGAGCTGACATGCAGTTGATTCAGACTCTTACTATTAACAAAGGATACCAGATAACGATTCAAGATCTCCTTTGCAAAGTTGATGAATACAAGAAAGAGGAAAAGCAAATATCTAGTGAAGTGAAAGAGCTGGAAGCGCTAGTCGACAAAGATTACGAAATCATATCCAAGCAAAGAAATGCAATAGAACGGCTTGAGAGACAACTCAATAGGGCCATTAACAAATACACAGAAAAGAAAAGGGCCCTAGGAAAAGTTATTTGGTTGCAAGAGAGGAATATTGAAAGTCATCCTGATTCAAAGTCCAATATTTTTGGAGAAGAATACATTGGTAGCTTTAGTGAATCACTTTTAACTGAGGAGAGATCTCATAGCAACAGCAGATCTCCGAAGTACAGTGTTTTGGGGACCGTAGCAATTGCTTTCTTGAAATTTTCAGGCATTTCTTTATTAGGTGTTGCCTTTTCTGTTTTATATGGATGCTATAAAGCACAAAGTGTAGCACCTGATATGAAACCGATATGAAACCGTATGCATATAGCATCTTTGTTGGTCTAGGAATACTTGCTTTTCTTTGGAAATTGATAGGGAGAAAAGCCCACGCCCCAGGAAATAGAAATGCTAGGATTTTGAGAGAGTTGCAACAGGATAGTGATTTGTTCCGCACTCAGGTTGGAGCTTTGCGCGAAATTGTGGCTGCTGAAAGGGAATTTTCTGCAAGACTAGAGAAGGAAGTTGCAAGTTTGAAGGAGCCGGCTTCAACGAGAAGGATACCGAAAGAGGAAGTGGCTGGTGTAATTGACAGGTTGATCGAGGTATCCAAGCAACACGATGAGCTCAAGGCTGAGGCAGCAACCACGAAGAACAAATACGACCACGTGAGAAATACACTGGAAGACATTCTGAGTCGGGAAAAATACCTGAGTGAAGAAGTTTCGTCTCTAAGAACTCAGAAGCGGGAGCTGCAAAATGACTTGATGAAGGAACAGATAAAACATATTGAATTGTACGAGGAAGTGAGAAAATTGAAAGAAATTTCTGAGAAGGAGGATGTGTCTTCTGAAAAGTCAGCTGGTAGATCTGGTGGTGATTCTTCTTGGGGTATAGATTATATGGATGAAGAGCTAATCAGTGAGAAAATGGTCTCACAGGCAGCTTATGCCCCAGAGGCTGTAATGGACGACGCTATTCTAGATACTCTTGAAGGAGCTGGGTTGCAAGCCCAGAAAAGCCGGGGTAGACGTAGAGGCAAGAAGATGAATAAAAGAACTGAAAAGTCTGCTGAGTCTCAGAAAGATCCTGACTATTTGGGAGAGAAAGATGACAGTGAAGTCAGGAAGCCAGAAGGGCAACAAAATGAAATTTTGACAGAAGGAATCGAGAACCTTAAAAACTTGAAGCATCAAGAACCAGAAATGAAGACTGGCTCTATTTCACTTCCAGAATATCGTCCAGAAAGTCAAATAGAAAAGAACAAAAATACTGTTGTAGATGAAAGCAGCGCTGAAGTTATAATAGAGGAGGAAGCGAGCAAGGAAGACATTATAACACGAAGTGACGACAAAGGTAAACTAGACCAAGTGCCTGCCAATGAATCACTAGAGTTACAGAAGAAACTTACCCGCCAGGAAGAGCTCCTTCAAGCCAAAGAAGTTGAGCTAAAGCAACTTAAAGAATTACTTGATGTGAAGAATTTTAATACCTTGATAGAAAATAGAAACAACACGCCAAACTTGGAAGGCCAAGGCTCGAAAGGAGGTAAAGAGTCCGAGCTTGTAGCTATTGCTGATATGGAAGAGGTGATTGGCTTTCTGACAACTGAGGTTTCTCGATTGCAGGAAATTTGTGACAGTGATATAAACATGAAAAATGTTGGAGATAATACCAGTATCTCAACTTTGAATTTTCTTATCGAGTATGTCGCACTGTTTCGATACAAGATTTCTACTGAAAAAGCAGAGAAGATTTCGAAGATAAACGCTTTAGAAGAGACAATGGATGAAATGCAAAAACATAGCAAGAGATTGCACTTGGATTTGGAGAAAGAAAAGAAAGCGCGAAACCACGCCATCATGGAATACGAAAAAGAATACGAAAGACTTGAGACTCGTTTGAGCGAAGCTTATGACGTCATAAGAAAAAGGTTGATGGAAGAAAGAGAATTGAGAGCAGATATTATGAAGCAGTATGAAATCGAGATTGAAGACATGCAAAGTAAAACGACAAAGATATTGCAAGATTTACACGTCCAGTTGAAGCATGAAAGAAAAGAAAAAGAAGAGGCAGAAAATAGGATTGCCATTTTGTTAGAAAAGTCGAGTATTTTGGAAACAGATATCAAGGTAATGGAAGAAAATTTTCAATTTCGTAACGATGAAGCTTTACTTGCAAAAGTTGGCATGGAGAATCCAGAAATTCTGTCAAAAGATGCCGAGAAAATAAAGAGATTGGTCGAAGAAGAGGCAGATAAACGGGTCAATATTCTGAAAGATAAGCTAGAGCAGGCAACGCAGAGTGTTGGAGAGCTTAAAATAAAGTTGGAAAAGAAAGAAGATGCGATTTCTAGATTAGAGAAACAAGTGCTGGCCTACAGAGAAAAGATTGGCATCCAGGATCAGCGAATGAGTGACTTAGAAAACGAAGTACGGAGCAGTGGAAACGAAGACGAAGAGATTAAGCAAGGCAGAGGTATGACAATGAAAGAAACATTATATGCTTTGTTTTTGTAGGTAATATGTATGTATGAATACACTTGACTCGCAACTAAATAAGGTTGGAATTTTCGCTGGTAGAGTCGGGATGGTAGCTACGTGAAATTTATGGGAAATTTTCTATTGTCATATAGGCTTGCCATGTTGTGATAGCTAAAAATGATCTGTGGAGTTTAATAGACATTTCATATTCTGTGAGTGTATATCTTGCAATTTCGGATTTCGAGTGCTGATGAGACAATAATGGAATAAGGAGTTGTGGCGGGCTGGAAGTTTTCACGAGAAGCTGTTTCAGTAATTGGCTTTGAAAAACTTTTTGGGAATTATATTGAGCTAAAGCTTAATTGGTGCCAACCCGAGTTACCCCCCCCCCCTTGCTACATAAATGATCTGAATGAAATATATGATTATCATCAACACTTTATTGTTTCATATTTTCAAAGGGCAGCAACAATGGCGGCGCCAGCAACAAAGCTCTGGGGGGAGGGATAAATAGAAAAAATTTAAGCCACGCCCTTTTAACCACCAGAAAATGCCATTTTACCAACAGGTAACGCCAATTTTATCCGAAGGGAACGCCTATGACTAACTTTTGTTTGAAAATTGGCAGTTTGAAAATCATGGGATTACATCACAAAAAGTACGGTGTCAAAATATTACCCCTCCACAACATTTTCTTATCGAAGTAAGACAAAATACAAAATCGATTCTACTGCGAACTGGGGGGATGTGCTCCCCCTAGTCCCCCCCCCGTTGCACCACTTAACGCAATAGAAGGGTCAGAAAGTTTGCTTGTACGGTGATTTGCTAATGCCACATTCTGCATTTTTGTAGGACTTCGAGCTTTAAAAGAAGGTATCATTTACAACTTGGCGACCAAGAATGGAAAAACAAAATGGCAAAACCTTGCATCTGTTGGTATCATGCAGGTATCAAGAAGCTCTGCTGGTTTTGGCAGTGCTTCTGATATTCTCGATATTAAGGTATTATATTATATGAGATTTCATAAATAATTCGATAATATCATCTTAATTCTATATTTTATCATATCTCATGTCTTAAATCATATATGTTATGAATTATATTATATTTTAGTATATTATATTTTATTATATCACATTATGTATTATCATATCATATATTATCATATCATATATTATCATATCTTAAGAATTTCATATTATATATGATCAAATCGTAAAGTATTAGGTTATTTAATATCATAAAATTTAATATCATATAAGATCAAATCGTAAAATATTTGGTAATATAATATCATTTCGATCATATTATTTGCCTCGTTTTTAGCCCAAGCCATGCAGTACAGAAAATCTTGAAAATTCTTGGTTTCAACTTGACTTTGGCCATGACATCACAGTTATCCCAGAATCCTATTCACTTTGTCATGGTTGGCTGTCTGGGGATGGCTGCCTGCGAACCTGGGTATTAGAGGGTTCCTTAGACGCAAGCCATTGGCACATTCTCAAAAAGCATTTTATGGACACCAGTTTAAATGACAGGTAAGTCTTAACCGACATTCCCATCATGTTAAAACTTCAAATTATCACTCTATTGAAAAAGAGCCTTTATTGACTAATTAAACTCTCGAATTCTCAAATTTTTGCCAGACACGTTGATTTTAGTAGGATTTTGAAACTTTTTCTTCCAACTTTATGCTTGGTAAGGTGATTTTCATAGCACAGCCAACCATTAAAAGGCAAAGTTGAGTCTTGTGAGACAATGTTGATTTCATGGTTGATGAAAATTGCATAATGTCGTTTTACCCTTTTTTAGGTACATGGTAGCATCTTGGCAGTTGTCAAAGAATCATCGTCCATTCCGCTATTTGAGGATAAGAATAACCGGACCAAATGCTTCCAATACGAACGAGCTTTATATAGGGGGACTAGAGATCTTCGGGAAAACAGTGCATTCTGCAAATTAGATAGGTACCGCACCACAAGACTGTGTTATTGTAATAAAACAGCTTTGTAGATGCAATTATCCAGGACGTAGCGAGAAGTCATTGTATATATTCTTAACTATTATATGCTCTTAAATGCTTCTGCCGAAAGAAGCAATAATTTGAAATTTGTATGGCTCTAACAGAAGCAGATCCTCAGGTGTGGCAAATTTGCCACGATACGTCACCACTAGTGGTTGCTTATTAGGATGATAAACAAGGCGAAAAAATGATATTCAATTAAACCATTGATAACTTTAGTATACTCATGATATTTAGCAGAGCGTGCACTTATCTACTTATAATGTTGTCCTAAAGAAGAAAAGAAGAACTATATACACCAGTTCTGCACCCTGCAACTATCAAAACTTCACTTATAACACGCAATCTTTGCCAAAACACTTGGAAATCTTCCCTAAAGATTGCACGCAGCTTTCCCACCCCCTCGCTTCCCTCGAAGCAATGTTGATGATTTTTATGGTGATGCATCATAAACATGCTTTTTGATGTCCAGGTTTTGCTGCAATCAAATAAATATGAAAATTTGCTAATCAACATTGTTTTAAGGGCGAGGGGGAGGCGGTTGTGTAAGACGTTAGGGGGTCTAGAGAAGTAGAAAGAGCGCTGTATTGCGTTTTTCAAGAGGTTTTGGCATGGATTGTAGCCAGCTGGCGGGCTCAGTAATATCACGTGATATGTCAATCCATGAAAATATTTGTCAAACATTGCACTATTGAACGATTGCCCTTTCAAAAGCGAGAGGGCCAGACTCCCAACATATGAGGGTAACCATCTTATTGGTCTGCTGTTGAGGTGAATAGAGGTAGCTAGTCTAAAATGGATCAAATAGATCCATATCATGTGATCAATTCTTTCACAACACCTCTTTCCACTCACAAAAGATGGTAAATTGCATCTGAAACGAGGACTTATTTATTGATACAGACCCAAGCATTGCTAAAAGACAGTACGCAGTCTTAAAGACCAAAACCCTGTTAATCGCCAGGAAGAAAATTTTATGATTGAAACTTACAATACAGAGTAGACGTTTGCTGCTATCAAACGCAGACTTTCTCTCAACTTCTCGTGTATTTATACAAGTTTAACTCCTTCAAAGAACAACACCAACCCCACCCATTTCGCCGCGTCCAGCTTCAGCTTCAAGTCAGCTTAAAGTTACTTAATCGCTCAATGTTTTTTGATATGTTGTTGTTTAATTTTTAGAGATACGATCAGTTTTGAAGAGAATCGAAACCATTAGACAGACTGAATGACAATGACTTAATCTCACAACTTGTTGTCAAGTAGTATTATTTTCAAGCTAGTCTCTTTGTGCTATCCAAAAAATTGAATGATGTTGTTCTGTTTTGAGCTGAATATAAGATGATTAAACCCATTGCTAGCTTTACGCTGAATAGTGTCGCAAAATTATTTAAATTCAGGCTTCTTTTACCGATATCTTTACCTTTATCGATATTCATCGAAAGAATAAACTTTTTCTTCATCGAAAGAATCAACTATTTCTGGTCTTTTTTGTAACCATTTAATATATCATGTTCATCACAAGGTTTTTTTTAGATTTTGAGCAAATATTAAGTATGGAGATATTAAATGTTGAATTGATAGTACTTTTTTTTGTTAAAATGTATTAGAAGATTTTCAACAGGACGGCCAGTTATACGGCAGATTTTTCGAAAAACATTGCCCACGTGCTTGCTGGATGTAGCACGTTTCTGTCTGGAACTGTATTATTGTAAATTAACAGCAATTATGGGTCAAGAGAGTTCCAATTGAAAGCATCAGGTCTCTGGCAGATTTTTCGAAAAACATGGCCGTGTCCACGTTGGATGTAGCTTGTTTCGTTTCGATACTGCTAAATGTTTAATGGAACGATTCATATTTCCTCAAATTAAGAATATTGACAACTCGTCTCCGCTCAGTTCATTGAATAATTAATTCGCTGTGTGTTGCGAAGAAATTGAGTTTCGTGTAAACAGTCATCTGTGTTTCATAGTGTTTTCTTGGGAAGAATTGAATTTTATGCAACGAATTGGACAGAGATGGCAAAACCTGGGTACCAGGGTACCAGCGCCGCAAAATTTTGACCGTTGCTCCTCCGCTTCTCCACTCCTATTTTTAATTTCTGCGCTTGAAATTTTGTGACCCTGGTACGTAGGGTATTGGGGAATGGTTGGAGGAAAAGCTACATTTGGTGTTAATGATATAGATGTAGCCTGTTGTCCTATCATTGAGCTAAGATGTACCTAGGTAAGTTGACATGGGTGCCAGTCCTAGATACACATAGGTACTAGATGCCATGGGTACTAGATACACGTAGGTAAGTTGACATGGGTACCAGTCCTAGATACACATAGGTACTAGATTACATGGGTACTAGATACACAAAGGTAAGTTGAAATGGGTACCAGTCCTAGATACACATAGGTACTAGATTACATGGGTACTAGATACACATAGGTAAGTTGACATGGGTACCAGTCCTAGATACACATAGGTACTAGATGCCATGGGTACTAGATACACGTAGATAAGTTGACATGGGTACCAGTCCTAGATACACATAGGTACTAGATGACATGGGTACTAGATACACATAGGTAAGTTAACATGGGTACCAATCCTAGATACACATAGGTACTAGATGACATGGGTACTAGATACACATAGGTAAGTTGACATGGGTACCAGTCCTAGATACACATAGGTACTAGATTACATGGGTACTAGATACACGTAGGTAAGTTGACACGGGTACCAGTCCTAGATACACATAGGTACTAGATGACATGGGTACTAGATACACATAGGTAAGTTGACATGGGTACCAGTCCTAGATACACATAGGTACTAGATGACATGGGTACTAGATACACATAGGTAAGTTGACATGGGTACCAGTCCTAGATACACATAGGTACTAGATGCCATGGGTACTAGATACACGTAGGTAAATTGACATGGGTACCAGTCCAAGATACACATAGGTACTAGATGCCATGGGTACTAGATACACGTAGGTAAGTTGACATGGGTACCAGTCCACGAACTCTGAGGGAGGGTTAGATATACTCAAAGTGACCCATCTGTTCTCAGCAGATTAAACTTTGAATGGGGCTTAAATACTCTATTGCACCATATACATGTGCTTCTTTTTAAATCCTCGTCGCTATCAACATTAAAGGCAAATTTGTATAGCGCTCCCAAATTTGTATAGCGTTACGCTTGACAATCTACAATTCTTAACAATGTCAGTTTGAAAAACTAAAACCTAAAACCTAATGTCTAAAACAAAATGTTACATGATCATATAAAATGCCATCAGAAGTTAAGAGTTTAGCCGAAGATGTAATGTTGTCCTTTTGGTGAATGCCACCTTTTACAGAGTCAAGTTTGCAGTAATTCGTGCCAATTAATATGTTCGTGAAAAACCTGGAAGATACACATAACAAATATGTATTATCAACCATATGTGCACCAAAACACACTTGTTTCTGATCTTGATTTTCTCAGGTCATCAAGAAAGTCTACAGCTTTTTTTCTTTTGTTTTCGAGTTTCGCAGTTTTAGAGCTTTTTATTATTGAAACTTCGGAAATACTGCCCATAAAATCCCCAAATGGTTGAATACTTGATGTTTGAGCATTTACATGTCATGTAATCTTTTCTGGGCATGAACCAGGCTGTCATATCGAATTCAAACTTTGAATTCTTGAAAATGTGTGATTATGACAGTTTTTTGAGAGAAAAGGTTCGAGGAAGCATAAATTCTTGATTTTCGCTTGTCTAGATAACTGGATTACAACTGGAATACAGCCGGTTCTTGAATTACACTTTGCGATGTAAATATTTGTTTGATAACCTCAGCAAGTGTAGAAATTTTGTTTCCGAAACTTACAACGAAATCAAAGTCATGATGGTGCTTATTCTCCTTTAATAAACCTTAATTATAAGAAGGGATTCAAGGCTGATTTGCTTCTTTTCTTCGACTATTTTTTAATTTTGAAGATACACGTAACAAATATGTATTCTCGACCATATGTCCTCCAAAGCACACTTGTTTCTGATCTTAATTTTCTCAGGTCATATTTTTTCTTTTGTTCTCAAGTTGCGAAGTTTTAGAGCTTTTATAATTGAAACTTCGGAAATACTGCCCATAAAATCCACAAATGGTTGAATACTTGATGTTTGAGCATTTAAATGTCCTGTATTTATGAAACCTGAAAACGCTGGAACAATCTATCTTAAGCTTTCTGTCAACCTCAACAGCCCCTTTCCAACTGCATAAAATAATTGCAACTTCAAAGCAACATTTTAGTTGTGAACAAACTCTTTGAAAAACATTGCTTTCTTTTTAATAACGGATAAACCCTAGATCATTGAGTATCCATTTCAAGTGGATTTAAGACCAAAACCCATTCACATTTGACTGTGCAGCAAATCCTTATCATTCACAACTTGATAATTTTAAAAATTTTAGACATTAGATTTGCAGGGAAATCAGCTTCGAGGGCTTGTTATTAAAGGAATCACTAAGGCAAGTAACGATAAACTGAGAAACTGAGGCTTTCGTTCAATGGCAAAAATATTTGCATTAGAGAAATTATCAGTTATAAATGGCAGTTCTAAAAGTCTATCCTCGAATCCAGTTTCAAACTGTGCCATCGATCTTCGATGCCTTTTCAAGATTAACAGCATGACTTGCCAAACGTAGCCCGAACCTTAACAGCCCTCCCTACCCCCATAATCAAGCTTCTATCCTAAAGATACCCTAAATAAATGATAGGAGATGTTTTTGATTCTTTAATTTCCAAAGAAGTAGACTTGCTTTGGAGACACAGCAGCTGTTTGCGAATAAATCGTGCTTTTATATTTTGTTTTGCATTTTACAAGTTGTGTTTGGAAGTGATTTGGAGGCCAGACTGTAACGAAAACGAACGAGCTACTAGTAACACGACAGGTCTATAAAATGACAAAGAGGTTTGAAAATACTTCTGGGCACCAGTGCTTGATATCTCTCCTTTAATATCAAACAGGCCTAAGTCAACAAGGACCAGCCCAGCTCCACGTTTTAGCAAAACAAAGGAACATACTGCAGGCAAATCTTTTGTGACAAGACTGCACTTCATGCTGCTGCCCAAACTTTTCAATTTGCGTTTAAAGCATCGACACTCTTGTTTCAAATGCCTTTTTGGAAAGTTTCCTCTTTGGTCATTTGAGAAATGTCAATAGCCAAGTAAATAACCTCCTTTATTGAGGTGACTCCCTAATGAGAGGTTTTCTCTCAATTCCCACCAGACAATGATCGTGCGTTTAACTCCAAAAGCAGCATGCATTTCCCAATGGAATGCTATGGTATAAAAGCTTTTCCCCGCCGAATATTCGCCCTTTGCCTGTTGAGATCATTTTGCAGGATGACCTCTGTGTAACATGCTTGATTGCAAAGTTTTAGGCCATCAGGTTCGTTAGCAAATTGTGTCTACATACATTTATCAAATCTAAGATTTTATGTTTTAAAACTACTATCCGTCCGTGTATATAGTCTAATTGTTGATTTTCTGCTTTACAAAATGTCTAATTTATTGAAGCTTCATAACGAAGTTTAGGCAACCAGTTTCATTAGCAAATTGTGACTACATAAATTCATCAAATGCATATAGTCTAATTCTTGATTTTCCTTTACTTAGAATCCAAGCAGATCTCACGAAAACATGTGGTGTGGGATATTAAAGTGACAGTCGCTAGTTCGAAGGCCCATCGTAAGTCATTATTTTAATTCATTGATCATTTCTGGTTTTTCTGGTGTTGGTTTTTTTCATATCCTTAAGAGGTTGTTTTAAGCTCGATGATATCTTAAACATTTTATGATCTTCAGCAAAATTATCTGCTGAAAAGTGCTATTACGTTAAATGCTGCAGTATATCTTCACCTTTATAGGTGCACTGGGTAAGAATAGGCTAGGCAAATTTAATTTTTGGAAAATTCAAAGTTTAAGAAGTATTTGGACTGAATGTATGACCTTTTGATAATCAAGATTTTTCTTCCCACCTGCCTTTAATAGCACAGGCCTAATCTTTGTACCTGAAATAAAAGACTTCCAAATTTTAGCATGTTCAATAGATGTGTAGATTTTTCATAAAGTTAGAAGCTCTATTTGTGAAAAAAATTGAAATAATATCTAATGAGATATGTAGCAAAATAAAAATATTCATTTGCCTCCATAGTCCTGTGGAATTATGAAAATAACTTTAGAAACTTTTTTTTACTTTGAACATTC